TTTCAACACGCCAAATTAAGCGCAAACGTAGGCGCGTTTGTTGGTTGCGGGTTTCTCAGTATTCTGTTGATCGCAAATACAATAAAGAATGTCCGAAAATAATTTTTTAAGATATAAATGAATTTTTTTTATAAATTTCAAAATAAAAAAAATATATTTTTTTTGAAATTGCAGGCGAGCCGCCACTGATGCACAGTGATATGTGCTGCAGTGAATTTGATTTTTAAGCTAATGCTGATAATTAGTTTCTTATTATCTTTCAATAAATATAGAAACCACTTATCTATGCACAATTATTTAGTGGGGCCAAGCAGATGTAAACAGTATTGTGACCTGGATTGATTCGTGAGTCACTGGATCAAACTTAAGAGCCTGTTTTGAAAAGTTGAAAATTATGGAGTCAGGTAAGGCTAGATAAGTCTACTTTATATATGTATCAATCTTATAGTGGTAAAAATCTTGATACAAGAGTAATATTGGATCAAAAGAGGGCACAAAATGTAGAGAATATATCTCAATAACATCTACTTTGGTCTACAATCCAAACTTCAAACATAGTATCCTGACACATTGTACATTTAATGAGAAATGCATAAAAGAGTTGAGTCTGACTAGATGTTTAAATACTATGCCCAAGTTTGGAATTACATTAATTACAATATACTATTAGAAATATAAGCAGACTTAAGGTATAGTATAATTTCATTTTTTCAAGACAACTCAATAATATCACACAATGAAACATATCCACACCATTATAAACGAATCCTGAAAGAGCTGAAACAAACGGTATCAAATGCTTTGTCATTTATTTCTAGAATAACAATAGTCCAAATGGCAGTGTGTCCTTGTTTGGAAAAAACAGTTCAGATAAAAAGCTTACCTTAAAAAGTCTGGAGATCTATCAATTATGTGCTCAAATTCTGCAAAAGACAAAGCATTGTCATCATCTAAATCTGCTTCTGCTAATATGTTTTGTATCAACATGCTCATTTCTGAGTCATTCAGTTTGTTGTCATTTGTTAGTCTATTTATAATTTGTTTGAGATCTGAGATTCCCAGCATATCATCACCATCAAAATCTGAAATAAGTACCAAAATACCAAACAATTTATTTGCCAAGATAATCCACAATCCAAATAAATAGCAAATAATTGAAATCAGATTGCGTGTGAGTATTAAATCTATCTTCCTCAGTGAAGGGTGGCTATTTCAGTAAATCACTCCTGGTCTTTAGCGATTCATAAAAGTTACTATAACATCCAGGGATGCTCGTAGGGAGTCCACAGCCCCCCTGAGAATGTGGCTGAATCTTAAAATGTACATATTTGGTACCCTTTTTGTGTACAATTTCTGGGATTTGATACCACCTTCTTCAAATGTTTCTGCGACATGTTCAAGTTCACAAAAAATTATCTCCCTGCAATGATCATCCCCTTGGAAAAATTCCTGCAAGCGCTCATGGTGACATCTATATCATAGTAAAAATATTATAACATTGGCAAATGTTATTTGAAATAATCAAAACTATTGATATGTCATAATCTAGAAGTTGGAGCTGGTCAAGAACCTCTACATAATATGACACAATAGGTTATATGATTTTAAAGCTTGACCAAAAGTACAATTTAAATGCTACGCAATTGCTACTGTTTAATTATGTGAATTTTAATTTTCAACTAATAGCATGATGTTGAAGGCAGAGAAACAATCTATTTACAGGGTGGTCTTTAGCTGCATGTACGAAGAAGCTTATACTATGTTCATTTTTTATATAAAACTTCTAGATATCATATACAAATACAATGTAGTTAGAAGACATTAAGGAACCATGATCAAATAAGGACTGTTTTGGGATTTATAGGCTTCTGATATTTTGTTCCTCAACTATGACCATTTGCGGTAAAACAAAAATGTACTGGGCTATAACCTATAACTGTATTTATTGAATAAAAGATTGCTCATTCAATACAGATTTCAGAAGGGTGCCACATGTACTATTTGGAAAAGAGAAACAAATACATTAAGCTGCTGCTGAGCTAGCCCAATTGAATCTGAGAACTCTAAAAGCGCCTTTTCTTAAGAGATGCCGAGCTTGTATTAGAGTAGGAGGTCGCCAATTTGAGCATATTTTGTCAATAAATGGATACATTTTTTCCACAAACAATTTGTGCTTTAATTCACGCTGACCCATCCTTTACAAAAATAATTCTTTTGTATTGTTTCTGACTCGAGCTCGAATTTCAGTAAATTTCATAAAATCATATCAGGAACAGGTAATAATAATGTAGCTTTGAACTATTTAGCATGTCACTGATCAGTAACCAGGTTTGTTTTTTTAAAATTTAAGAAAAAATTCAATATGTAAAAAATGGTGACACTTTTATATAGGTAGGTTTTTGTTATTTGTCCAAAGCCTACCTTCTCCTGAAGTTTGTCATGGTACTTATTGGGCACCCTGTATAATTTTTTGGTGGTCTCTAGTAAATGAGCTAGTCAGCAGTTTTTGATGCTCACCAAATATTCTGAAAGCATGTTCAGCTTTAACCGGTTTTGGAGCATTTTCACAGAAGACAGACATCATGTCCAAAAAATCCTCAAATGTGCAATCACCATCCTGACTGGAACTGAACACCTTACAAATTCTCTCTCCAAATGGGTTAACACTTAACTCTGGAAACTGCAATAACTTAGACATTGGCAGCTTTGCATTTTTGTTATGGCCCACTTTCTCAGGAGCTAAAGACTTAAATTTTTGATGGGCACTAGAAAGAACAATGAATACAATCTAAAGTTTGCTATAGTCCTGGATTCAGCCTTTTTGTTTTGTAATTTAGCATTAAATAGATTGTGTTTACTTACTACAGTACTTCCTTCTTTGTAAAGTATGTTAGGTCCTAAAACAGACACATTATTAAACATCCTCTGAATTGGTTTCATGAAATAACCTACTTGGTAATCTTGTAGTTCATCTTCTGTGAATTGACTTTTACCTTGCCCCATTGTGCAGTAGAAATTTTATTATATTTTTATTACATTTGTGAGAACTTTAACCAAGTTCAATACTCCTTTTTTAGTTCTTTGGTATCAAAACAATATTAGCATTTTTAGGTGATTTTTAACACACAGGCCACAGGCAGTGTTGCCGAACCCAGAAAACATACACTGAAGAAGGTTAATTCCATGGTTGATCATGGGTTGATTCCATGCTATTTCGATGATGCAACACAATAATCAAATCCAAGCGAATAACCAAAATTTCTGTGTTATGTGCCGCGGTTATAACATGGTTCAAGATGACACACGGGTTGATGACGTCAGTTACACGAATCGCTTGAACGCATTGGTTTTAACCGCGGTTTTGTTGCAAGTTGTTTATTTTAGAAAAGCGCGTATATAATCTCTGATTATTTTCATTATCACTTAATAATCGGTGCTTTTTCGTCTACAACTGTATATGGAAAGTTTAAATAAGAAACATTTCATAATATTCATGGGAGAAATGTTTTTTTTCAGATTTTTTTTTAATGATGGAACCATGGCTTTGTAGCTATGATAACTTTCAATTCCTTAAATTTTTCCGCATGTCAAAGAAAACATTTATTGATTCAGCAGAAATGATGAAAAAAGATATTAGCAAAACCGTATACAGGTGGATATCATCTAGTGAGTTTATATGGCCATATTTTAATATTCTCGTGGTATATGGCTACACAGAATACTTTGTTAAGCATAGGAACTACATTTAAAGTGTCCTCAACAACCGTAATGAGTATAACTAATAAGTTGCTCCACTTTATGGTAAAACTGAAGTCAGCCTGTATCATTTTTCTCAAAAATGAAGCTGAAGTACAATAACAATATCCAATACCCGGCAAAATTCTGACTTGTCACATTTCAAATAATAACCAGAAATATAAAACTACTCTTGAGTTGGGTAAATACCACAATTTTGCGGTGATAACTATGACATATAACAGCTGATTCGTGACGTCACGGATCTTATAACCAAACTGATAACTACACTCGCTTAAACGGATTGGTAAATACCAACCCAAAATGGTAAATACCATTTCCATTTGGTTATCCGCTTGAATTTGATTAGTGACTTGTGCGGTTGTCAGCGCCCATTTTTTGACATGGTTATCAGATTGTGCATTAATGCCCCGCGACGTTGCCAGCTCTACATATAAATCTGAGATTGCTATACTCTTATATACAGAAATTTGGTGGGATGTGGGAAATCTTATAACAGCATGTATTATTAACATTTTGCGCTACGAATAAGTGCTTTTTTTGTATGTTAAAATAGCAACGTCAATAACGCAAGCTGTTATAAAATCACTCATAACAAATTTATTATATAAATCTCATACATTTTCATACAAATCAGTGTTAACATCGTCATGGTCCAGATGTTTTCATTCCCAAATCTTTCTTGGTACCTGCATAAATAAAAAATTAAGAAAAAATTGAATTGTGTTGATATTTTACTACAATTCACAGTTTTCTTTTGTTATTAGAACAATAATAGGTACCCACAGGAATTTTTATCAGGGATGCTGATCATCATCAAGAGACAGCTTTTTGTGAAGTTGTACCCGATGCCCCCAAAATTGTTTGATGAGCAGAGGGAACAATTTTCTCAGGGGGGACAAATCGTAAAAAATATCTCAAAGATTTACCATACTAAATATGCAAATTTTAAAGTCAAAGCAGATTCCCAGGAAAGACCATGGCCCCCGACACCACCCTGTGGGCACCTATGCTATTGTTTCATAATAAAATGTGGCTTCGATTTCATTGAAATTATACGAGTAGTGAGCTTTGCATATCAACCATGCTGCTCTAAAAATAGCTGTTTTGAAATGAAGGATGGAAACTAACTTGGAGAAAAAGCAGTACAAATCATTACTGGTTATTAAGTCATATAAAAACTTGTTATGGTCTGCAAATATCCTTCAGACCTGTGCCTTTTGGTTAGATCACAAGTAATCTCTGAACTTCTGATAATTGTGAGGACCTCAGGGGTTGACAACGACGGCTAAACTTTTCGTAGCGCTCCACTGTTCAAAAACTTATGCAGAGATTCGAACAGGTATGATCTTTAAATATTATATTCCTCAAATGAGTAACCGCTGCATCTCTGCTCTTCCTCAGGATCTGAAAGAAACCTGGCATCTGACTGGGATCCCTTTGGTACACATAACATAACTACATATTTAGGAGTTATTGCAAGTTTAACGTGTACAGGACAGTGTAATACATATGTAATAAAGGTTCACCATATAAATTGATCTATATATTCTGCCAAGTGTTTGGACTGTAGTACTCCCAACCTACGGAGGTACATTTTGAGCCTCGACCAATATCCCTCTATATGGTTTATACACACACCTGTTAAGTAAGCCACACACTGTGAGACTTGCCTCGAGGTACGTCGCGAGGCGAGGTCTCATGATATCGGCAGACGTCAGTCCCCAGTCACTCGTCACCCCACACCTTGAGACAGTATCGCAGACGGTATCACACAGTTCGCTATTTTTTTGAGAGTGAATATAAAATGGCCTTTCATGAATATTCAAAAAAACAAAAAGTTGCACTTGGTGTTGCCATTGGTTTGGTACTATTCGAGGAAAAACAGGAAAAAAGAAAATGGTCAAAGAATTGGTTTCTTGAAAGGAAGAAGTTCTCTCACATGCCACTTTTAAAAGAATTGCAGCAAAAAGAACCCAAAGATTTTTTGAACTATTTGCGTATGAACGAAAAACAATTTAATTTTCTTTTAAATTTAATCCGGCCAGACATTGAAAAGAAAAATACTGTATTAAGAGAAGCGATATCAGCTGAAGAGCGATTGGTCGTTACTCTTAGATATTTAGCTACTGGTCGAAATTATGAAGATCTGAAATTTTCCTGTGCTATTTCTCCACAGTTACTGGGTGAAATTATTCCAGAAACTTGCTGGGCAATATACAACGCTTTAAAGGAAAAGTATTTGAAGGTACGTTTTTATAATATACTTTTTATTATTTTAAATGCAAAACATATTAAACATTAAACTTAGCTAATGCTGTCAAAAAATACTTATAATTCAGTAAACGAGTAGTAATACAGTTAACGTAATATTCCAGTGGCAGAACTAGTCTTGGAAGTTTTCATAATATGAATAAATATCTCCCTGTGCAGTTGGTTGTTGAGGTTGCTGCTCAGATTGCTGTACTGTATAAGCTATATTGGAAAAAGTATTACTCGGTTCCACATGGGTGCGGGCCTGTCGTACTTCAAAGTTTTCATTTAACTTATTCAGTTTGCCGTAGTACATTACATCATTTATAAGCTTTTCTGCAATTACTCTCTGATTAGATGTCATTTGCTTTAAATCAGAAGCAAATTTTTTTCCTGCTATGTCGCAGGGATTTTCAGGTTCCGCACATGTAGGGGGTTTAGACAAAGCCCTATGAGCTAGTTCCACAAGTTCATTTTTTTCTCCTCCATTCCTTTTTTTCTTTTTAATATTTTAGTTCCTAGTGTTGGAGTTGATGTTGAAGCCGATGAACTTGGCCTAGTAGTACTTGGTAAAGATTCCGAGTGAGCAGGAGGAGAAAAAGCGTTATCATAACTGTCCTCATCTCGAACATTGTTTTGATTCTAAAACAAATAATTATTATTAATTCAAACAATTTAATACTACTTTTTTATTACAGTTTCCATCTTCCGAGGAAGAATGGCGCGGGGTTGCAAAGGAGTTCGAATGTTTGTGGCAATTTCCCAATTGCGTGGGTGCGATCGATGGAAAACACATACAAATAAAAAAACCTAGAAACAGTGGTTCATATTATTATAATTATAAAGGAAACTTTAGTGTTGTGCTAATGGCAATTGCAAATGCAAAATACGAATTTATAATGGTTCATTGTGGGACCAATGGTAGGGTATCAGATGGTGGAGTTTTGAGTGAAACCAAGTTTTATGAAAAGCTTATAAATAAAAAATTATGTATGCCCGATCCGACAGAACCCCATGCAACCAATGTGATGTTACCATATACATTTGTTGGAGATCAGGCTTTTCCATTAACTGAAAATTTAATGAAACCATATCCAGACAAAAATTTAACAAGAGAACAAAAAATGTTTAACTACCGACTCAGTAGAGCACGCAGAGTATCAGAAAATGCATTTGGTATTATGGCCTCACGATTTAGAATTTTTCACACAATAATTAGCATAAATGTAAGACATGTGGATGCTGTAGTATTAGCCAGTTGTGCATTACACAACTTTTTAACACGAAATGGCTCAAATCGATATATACCGCCATTGTATGCAGACTCTGAAGACGTACATTCCGGAGAAATAATACCTGGCCAGTGGAGAGAAATAGGAGAACTTATACCTCTGCAACGAATAGCGCGTGCTTCAAATGTGTCTGCGAGAGAAATTCGAGATAATTTTAAAAATTATTTCAATAACAGCGGAGCAACCGATTTCAGGACAGGATGGTCGTTTAAAGAGTATTAAGTTTTTATACTGAAATGTCTTAAATAAAATAATAAACTACTTACTGTTATTTCACTCTCTTGACTTTCGTCTTCGCTAGTAATAGTTTCAATTCCTTTTCTAGGGATTTCAGTGTCCGAAATAAAACTTAACAGGTCAAAATACCAAAGGCTGGGTACATATACATCATCAGCTTGTGTACCCGTAGGCTTCGACTTCTGTACTTTTTTCAGCTCTCTTCTAAAAGCACAGCGCATGTTATGTATTTTTTTTGAGACATAATCTCTATTTGCCATTGGATATATTTCTTTGCATTTTTCCACCAGTCTATCTAACGCTGAGTTTTTCAAATTTCTATCCATATACGTTTTAGCTTTCACATCCCATAAACATGGGTTGCTCCTGTACATTTCAATAAATTCTTCCCAAAATTCTCTTTCCTTATTCATCTTCTTTATTACATATAATAATTATAACAATTTCGGAACAACGAAATCTCACGAGATTCATGCGACTTTGGCACACACGTTGAGACTGGTCAGATTTTTCCTCGCGGCAAGTCTCAGTCTCCCGCCCGCGTCGGTCTCGTTGAGACGGTATCACACGATACAAAAATTATCGATACCGCAACACACACCATGAGATTTGTTATCAGAGATCTTGGTCTCGCGGCATGTCGCGAGGAAGATCTCACAATGTGTGGGCTACTTTACGGTGTCTAAAAAATAAAACTGTCAACCACAGTAGCCATTTTGTAGACCACGGAGCATCGGGTAGGTACAACCTCACAAAAAGTTATCTCTTGATGATGATCAGCATCCAACAGAAAAAATTTTGCGGGTACCCAAAGACAATAATATTATTGTTCTAACACGAAAAGAAATCTGTGAATTGTGGTAACATTTCAACACAATTCAATTTTTTCCTAATTTTTTATTCATCAAAACATCTGGACTATAACGATGTTAATACTGATTTCCAAGAAAATGTATGAGATTTATATAATAAATATATATTTAGGTATTTGCAGTATATGTTTTCTTCTGAACCTTTCCAGATTAGTAAGTGGATATGAGTGATTTTATAAGAGCTTGTGTTATTGACGTTGCTATTTTAACATAAAAAAAATCACTTATTCATCAAGATAGCGCAAAATGTTAATCACACATGCTGTTATAAGATTTCCCACATCCCACCAAATTTCTGTATATAAAAGTATAGCAATCTCAGATATATATGTAGGGCTGGCAATGTCGCGGGGCATTAATGCACAATCTGGTAACTATGTCAAAAAATGGGCGCTGACAACCGCACAAGTCACCGTGTTGCATCATCCAAATAGCATGGAATTAAACCTTCTTCCAGGGGTTAAACGTCTTATGGGCGAACTGGCAACACCAAGGTCATACTCTCTGTAATCCTCTCCAGGCAAAATCGAGGTAACTGTATTACCGGCATCTCGTGACGTAAGCTTGTCGGATTTCAGGGTTGCCAGGCGTGCCGATTTTTCGCCAACGGCTTCAAATGGATAGCTTGGCGATTGGCTACTTTAATGGCACCCAGTATCCAGCAAACTGGCGATATCAGGGCGACACTCCCCAATGAGCGCTAGATGGGTACTGACCAAAATCGCTCGTCTATAATCATGGAGGTGGAAACCTTGCCTTGGAAGGTCAAGATAAGTAGAGAGCAAACTAATGCATGTTTTTAACATATACCTTAATTCAAGGAACTGGTGTAACATAATGGCAACGAAGCGCAGATTGCCGCGTCAGCGTTGATAGGCAATGCGGTGATGAGCTTCGCTATCCAGCCGGCTTCTATCTCTTTCTAACATATGTGTCTATAGACACTTCTCTCGAACATATGAACTCAAGCTGTCAGACTAATTTGGTTTTCAGTAGAGATTAATGAAACATGAAACGAAGACCAGCGGCAGTTCTGTTCTCTAAGCACAATGACGCTTATGGTCAAATGTCATGTCAAGATGTCGTGTGATCTAACCCTTACACTCATGCCACTAATCAAATCCAAGCGAATAACCAAAATTTTCTGTGTTATGTGCCGCGGTTATAAGATGGTTCAAGATGACACACGGGTTGATGACGTCAGTTACACGAATCGCTTGAACGCGTAGGTTTTAACCGCGGTTTTGTTGCTTATTTTAGAAAAGCGCGTATATAATCTCTGATTATTTTTATTATCACTTAATAATCGGTGCTTTTCGTCTACAACTGTATATGGAAGGTTTAAATAAGAAACCTTTCATAATATTCATGGGAGAAATGTTTTTTCAGATTTTTTTTTAATGATGCAACCATGGCTTTGTAGCTATGATAACTTACAATTCTCTAAATTTTTCCGCATGTCAAAGAAAAAATTTATTGATTCAGCAGAAATGATGAAAAAAGAAATTAGTAAAACCGTATACAGGTGGATATCATCTAGTGAGTTTATATGGCCATATTTTAATATTCTTGTGGTATATGGCTACACAGGATACTTTGTTAAGCATAGGAACTACATTTAAAGTGTCCCCAACAACCGTAATGAGTATAACTAATAAGGTGCTCCACTTTATGGTGAAACTGAAGTCAGCCTGTATCATTTTTCTCAAAATGAAGCTGAAGTACAATAACAATATCCAATACCCGGCAAAATTCTAACTTGTCACATTTCAAATAATAACCAGAAATATAAAACTACTCTTGAGTTGGGTAAATACCACAATTTTGCGGTGATAACTATGACATATAACAGCTGATTCGTCACGTCACGGATCTTATAACCAAACTGATAACTACACTCGCTTGAACGTATTGGTAAATACCAACCCAAAATGGTAAATGCCATTTCCATTTGGTTATCCGCTTGAATTTGATTGCTGTTGCTTGATATACGATTATTATAAAATAATTTTTGTACGGATAACCAGAAGTGGAGAGAGAGTCACCCCCTCACCTAAGGTTCACTGAGGAAAGGTGAATACGCAGAAAATTATTGTCTCCCCGTTCTTCAATTTTCAATAGTTAACCCTCCTTCCCGTTCTCACAATATCACAAGAGCATTCGCTAGCAGTCCCGCCACCTCTGAATCCGCCCCCCTGTTAACGAACTTCGTTTCGTTAATATTACACATGTCTAGCAACCCCCTATCCTCACCCCCGCTTTTCAATGGATTCTTGGAGTATTATTATGCCTAACCCTAACCCCCCTCATCCTCTTCAGTTATCGTCAACAGGCATGCTACTTATTCGCTTAGGCCAGTCACTACTTCACCTCCCCGGGCGACAAATCCATTGAAATCTCTAACCTGGAGTTTTATGGTTAGACTCCTAGTTAATTGGGATTGGCGATTTCTGGCGATTTTCTCATAAAACTTGACGACCAACGTGACTGAAAAACCTGGAAACCCTGCCGGGATTCTCTATGTATCTATCTGAATTTCTGAATGTAAAAATATCAGGGGGGTGAACGTGAAACTCATATTGGCGAATGGAAAACAAGCAGTGTTGCTGGTGCATAATATGACAACCATGTCGCACCCTCAAAAAATGGCGACTTATTCACAACTGATGTTGTCTGATTGGCCAGATTTAAATTTCCGGCGGGTTTCTTCCTGTGCTCTTTGCAAAAATAACCTTACTTTTTTCAGCATGTCATTTTCTTAACATTTCGTTTTAATTAAGTAAAGTCCCTATTATGTTATTTGAGCCATGTGCATTTTGTTCGGAGTTGTAAAGTATAACAATGTAAGTACACAAAGCTGTAATACCTATGTTTGCAAATACTATAAGACAAACTCGACATCAAAATTGTTTCTTTTTTGAAGGTGATCCAAGTCATTAGCCAGGCTTCTGGCAGATCTTGAGGAAGATCACAGATGCAGCGGTTACTCATTTAGGAATGTAATATTTGAAGATCGTACCTGTTTGTATATCCTCTCACTCTTTGAACAGTGGAGCGCCACGAAAAGTCAACAGCTGCTGTTGTCAACCCCTGAGGTCCTGAGAATTATCAGAAGCTCAGAGATTACTTCTGATCTAACCTAAAGACTAAACTCGGACGGATATTTGCAGAACATAACATTTGTAAGTTTTTATATGACTCAATAACTAGTGATGATTTGTACTGCTTTTGTCCAAGTTAATTTTCATACTTCGTTTTAAAAAATCAGCTATTGTCAGAGCAGTAGGGTTGATATGTAAAGCTTACTGTAATTTTAATGAAATCAAAGCCCAGTATATTGAACAGTAACATGGGTGCCCACAGGGAGCTGTGGTAACAGTTAACTCTTGATGATGATCAGCATATTGAGAAAAATTCCTGTGAATACCCGTGGACAATCATATTATTGTTCTAATAAAAAAAGAAACCTGTGAATTGTAGTAACATATCAACACAATTAAATTGTGCCCGACGGACAGCGTGCGGATTTTCTACTGACCACACATGAGTGTTGCGAAAGTTATTCACCCCATTACGCGAGAAACGTAGATTCGTCTGTCACCAATACGCACTTCAAAAAGTCCGGATTATTGTCATGTTGATGCAACAACCACTCACAAACCGCACTCTTGCTGGAAAATCGTCAGGTTGAAGGGCTTGTATACGTTGGACGTGAAACGGATACAGCCCCTATTCACGCAGCGTTTGCCACACTTTAGTTTTTGATACTTGCACTTCTCTAGCCACGTCTCTAGTGCTTGTTGAGGGATTTTCGTCTACGCGATTACCTCTACACGCGTGACCGTAACCGTCGGTTGAAGGTTGCATACTGACCTGACACACTGACCCCGACCCAGTTCTGTCGTCGGGTTGAGCCAGTGACCTTGTACCAGTCGGTGGTGTCGCGGCTACAGGACGGTATTCAGATATTTTTGATGTTGCAGAGCCCTTTATCTCGGTTCCCTTAAGACATTGGTGTATATGGTACTAAAAATTGCTTATGTTTTCAAGATCTACACGTCGTGTAAAGGAAAACCCCAACTTTGCGGACACCCTGTATATATAAGTATAGCAATCTCAGATTTATATGTAGAGCTGGCAACGTTGCGGGATATTAATGCACAATCTGGCAACCATGTCACACCCTCAAAAAATGGCTGCTGACAACAATACAAGTCACCGTGTTGCCATTGCATAGCATGGAATTAAACCTTCTTCAGTGTATATGATGTTTTGTGTTTTCTAGGTTAGGATTTAGAATTATTTTGATATGTGATGAAAAATATAACTTATCTTTACCCTTACCTGAGTAATTGTACACATAATGGAAAGCTATTGATTGGCTTATCAAGCTTATCAGTACCTCACTTGAAGTTATCGCAAGTGGTTAGTATTTATTTCCATTTCAGACTTTGCTAGAGAATTGTTCGCATTACATTAATTTTAGGCAAGAAGAAAGCCAAAAATGCAAGCGAAGCCGACAACCAATCTTCTGAAACAGCTCAGGGCTTTAATGAAAGACCCGCAATATGTTTCAGAACCCATTAACGCTTACATTGTCCCTTCTGAAGATGCTCACTTTAGTGAGTACATAGCCCCATGTGATGAGTATAGGGCATTCATATCAGGTTTTAATGGCTCGTGGGGCACTGCATTGATAACTGAAAAAGAGGCATTGTTGTGGACTGACGGAAGGTATTACCAGCAGGCTAGTATGCAGATGGATAGCAATTGGATGCTGATGAAGGAAGGAGTGCCAGAAATACCAAATTTGAGTAAATATTTTTCATTTATATTTTTTACCTAGTTACAGAGGAAGAAAAACAATTAGGATATATACATATGAAATATTTTCTTACACAATGTGATTTTTCAGAACACCAATGTTTAAAATAATAGGAGTTACAAAATGAATGGGGGATCATCTAAAAGCTAAAGCTTCCAGAACCTATGGAGCACCCAAAAATGGTCTAACATATAACTTTTTAACAAACATTGCTTGCAGTTTGGCAAACAAATTTATTGTTCTCCAAGGGCTAACTGCACATAATGGCTAGACAGCTCTGCAGCTGCATAGTAAAACCACTTTGTGGTGTTTGTGCTTAGACCAATTATATATATGCATGGATCCTTATTATTTCTACAAAAATAATACAGTAAAACATTATTACTATCTAGAAAAAAAATCTTATGTGCAATTTGATTCTAGGAAAACAACATTTGAGGATGTAAAGGAATGTTTCATTTTAACTAAGAAAAATGAGGCTTATTTTGTATAGATATTGATTATGTCACAAGACTATATGAAATCTGATATGGTCAGATAATATTTTGATCTTGATAGCTTTTATATATATTTTATATATATATATTTTAATACAGTTGCAGTAATGTACCATTCAAATTTACATATATACTTCCCAGGGTAACTACTGGAACCCCTGGCAAAAGGGTATATGCCGACAATACATGAGCAACTGATGCATTCTTGGTTTCAGTAAACTGGTTCAAGCAATTTTCAAACTTGATTAGCTGAATTCTGCCAGGTTGATGGTAACAATTTTCAGGATCCATTACAAATGTTTTTTATGCATTCATACAGATTTTTAGTGTATTTTTTCATGAAAATATGTTATAATGTGTATTTAGCAATACAAGGAGTATTTGTATATTGTTATATCAGTTATATATAAATACAGAGATTTGTAGTGAAAGTCAGAAATGGACACCATGTTGTTAATTTTCGAAGCATATTGTTCCTAAATCTTAATGAATACCTTAATTTCATCATGTGTTCTAAATAAAGTTGATATTTTTCACTATTTGGATGGATAATTTGCTCAAGATTTTAAGATGGAACATTGAAATCCCAAATACTTTATTCACTCATGTATCTTTATTGGCACTGAACCAGTACAGCTTTCACGGTTATAGGTGGGTTCAACAATCACCAGATATACATTAAACAGCAAAAAGATGACAAACATTACAGGAATGAGTGACATGATTTTTGGTATTGCACAATACATATGATACTTAGAAGCATGATACAGTCTTTACCATAATTATGGTCCAGTGTATCAATTGAAGTAGTAATAAAAAATGTAGTTGGAACTCAGATAGTATAATAAATATTTATTGTGTGGAAATTTCTGAGATTCATCAGTCTTATGACATAATTGATTAAACTCAACAACCTATTCATAAAATATTTGTTTTACACTTATGTAAAATTATCTCTGGTGGATAAGTCTTTATCACTGTATCATTTAAACATAAATCATCATATTTTCAAAACATCAAACTATTTGTGAATAATCATTCAACTGGATAAAGAAGGTTATTATGTATATGAGTTAACATGTTCCAAAAATCCAGTTGAAAACTGTGCCCGCGCGAAAATAATCATACATACCACGGATCCGTCTACAACTTATGTTTACAACTATATACTTTGCAGCCACCATCTTTGAGTGTCAGCTTTGCCACCTCTCTGATTTTTTCAGCAGGTTATGGGATTTCCATTTCCTTCTGCAAAGGGGGCTGACTGGTGTTGCCTCCTTTTTTTTACACTGAAGTGGCAGTGCAGACAAAAACCTAAATGCCAGGGCAGGACACTGCGGCTGCTATGAGGATCCCAAAGAAACTTTGTTAATCCGACTTTTGAACAGCGTAAGGTTATCGAAACTGGAAAAATCCTCCTCTTGTAGGCTGTTCCATAATTTCGACACCCTAGGGATAAAGGAGCGGTCATATCGGCCAGTTCTCGATATACGAAATTCGACACGGTTACGATGCGAGGCTTAAGTCAGGCGGGTCTGTCTGGCAGGCACATTGCGCGGTGGCATTATAGAGGAGAGCTCGGAGGAGCAAGTCCTGTTAGTGTAGCGGTAGCAGAGAGCTAGATCGCCGACGGCCCGTCGGTGCGAAAGTCAGCCACCCATCTGCAAAGCTTCTTTGGAAAGCCATAGGATGGAAGTTTGCATAAGAGGGCCACAGCTGATCGAACGCTTCCGTTATATCAAGAGAACATTGCGTGACGTAAGCTACGAGGTCCCCTGTGGATCGCTGGTGCCGGAAAGCATACTCCCTGTCGCTAATCAAGCCGTGACGTTCGAGGTAGTCTAGAAGCTCGTGATGTATGCACCTCTCCAACACAGTACTCAAAACAGAAAGAAGAGCTATAGGCCTGTAGTTGTAAGAGTCGGTCTTGTATCCCTTTTTGGGGATGGTTTGTTTGCGCATGAGCAAATTTCCAGTTTTCTGGGAAGGTGTCTGATTCGTAAGATATCTGGAATAGAGGCAAAAGAACTGGAGCATGCTCCGCTACTCACCTCTTCAATACAACGGCAGGAATCAAGTTTGGACCAGGAGCTTTGTTGTTGTCGAGCGACAAGAGCACCCGTCTTACGGTCTTATTCCTGAATGTTACTTCCCGCATAGTGTATGGGACCCTTTGAATAGATGGCACTCGAACGTCCATGGTGGGGTTGGCAGCAAAGATCTTGGCAAGCACTAAGTGGTGGAAGGCTACTCTGTCAGAAATTTCTTTCAATCTGCTTGGTCAGCGTCCATAAAGACCAACTGTCCAACTGCCATTGCGCTGCGACATTACCCTGAGCCTAACTTTTATATCGTGGTCTTTGGCATTGCGGACCACTTCGTTATATTTGTTTCTGGACTCGACATCGGCTTGTCTGTTCTATACAGTGGGGTTTTGTAAAAAGGTTCTGTGTGCCTTGATCTTCTGCTGACGAGCAGTGTCGCACGATTTGTTGAACTAGCCGTTGGACCTTTCATTGTACCACGGATCTATTCCTCTATTTCAACGTGGATAATTTCTGATATCGATGAACAGACACTGACGCGTCCGCGTCAGCGAAAAAAACATCTCTCCAAGGAAAGGTGGAGAAGAAGTCTCTGAGCCCCACCCTGTCGGCATGTCCGTAATGTCAAATTTTGCGGCCTGGCCGAGTTTCTGCTGCCACAGCGAGTTTTGACCGAAATCTAAGACAGGTCATCAGTGCTCTAAGGGCGAGGATGCGTGGTCAGAGAGAAATACAACTGGCGTGTGACGAATCGCGGGGGAAAAAGAAGCGCTCGTTACCAGCTGGGCCAGTCTTTGGGTAATAACGAACCGTTTAACGGCACGACCTGTTGCATCGGTCTTGTTCGAGCCCAGAGCAGCTCATTATGGGCATTGAAATCACCGAGGAGAACTACCTCTAAAGGGGGGTGATTGATATATATTCAGGAAGCCGATCTTGTCAACGAGGTCATTCCAGTAGGTCATTCCAGGAAGGTTGAGGTAATGTTTAAGAGAAAGAAATCTCCAAAAGGAAAATGGCGTCTGTATTTATTGATTCTAATTGAATTATTACGATCCTACTTACTGATCTGTCAGAGGCCGATATATCACACAATCGGGTGTATTTCGGTTCGGTAACCTTGGGCCGTAAACGTGTGTATAAAAGTTTTGGTTGCACCTTGTTTATTACTCCAGAAAAATGTCAAGAATAAGAAAGTAGCGCTGTCTGTACATATTTCGACGGAATTTCCGATTTAAAAGACTGACAAATTTGATAGTGCAATTTGTGTCCATTGCAAATAATATATTTTCTTGGGTGGCAGAGGGAAAAGAAATTCATTACCTAATTAGCGAGATGATGGCAGCAGTCAACCAACAATTTTCTCTCACTACCGATATTTTGGTTTCACTTACATCAGATAAGTATGTGTGCAAGTAAAAATAGATCTAATGTTTGGAAAAAAGTCGCTAACAGCAGAGTTATGGTACTACCAAGCGTACCTAGTGAGGGATTTTTTCTAAGGCCATGGTTTTTGATGACATTGAAAATTTTCTCTGAAACAGTTAAACAGTTTTTATAAGATGTAATTTTTTAATGTATGGAATCTATTAAAAAATGTCCACACTTAATCTCGAATTGGAGATACCTGTTTATATATTAAACGCTTTTAATTTGAAAAAAAAAACATTATCTACAATTTCCCTGAAAGGCCTTTGCTTTTAGAAAACAGGTGAGTTTTTGTTGCAATGTTAACTACAATAACTAAAAAATTTAAATTTTCACAATGCACAAAGTCTGGCGGCTCTAGGATCTGGGTCTATTAAAGATGTCCAACCATAGACAGCTGTTTCGTGCTTTCCGGCAACTTATCAACATTGGTCTCAGGTAGGACAACGAACGAAACCTGAGGCCAAGCAGCGACCATGCTGATGAGTTGCCAAAAGCACGAAACAGCTGATCATGGTTGGGCGTCTGTGGTGAAACGAACGAAAGCTATATTAATAGTTGGAATGGAAAGTAGACCATATGTACTATACCACAAGAATCGACGGCATCCAGCGACAGCGGCTGTCAAATGCAAATTGGGACACGGTTCCAACCAACGAAATCGAATAGAATAGGAGTCAAGCCTATGTGTCTTACATTGCATTGTTTGTCGTCAAAATTCACTCAATTGACTACTAGGCAGCAGCGGTGGCCGCAGTAGTAGACTCTTCGGTCTCCTGATCAGTCGCCGTGCGCTGTGTGGGTTCGAATTCCGTCCCAGGAGACATTTTTTTCTTGGCTATGGATGTTGTGATTGTCCGAAGGTGGTAGACGGCCTCTGACTGTCGAACGCGGAGGTAGAACCCGGCGGATCTCGTAGGCGGGGCCAGAATGTGTGCATGTTGCATGCACACGTGGTCCCTCGCCAAAGTCCGTGTGGCGTTCCCCCGTTCCCATGTATCCCCCTATAGCCCCTCGGTACCCAATGGGTGCTTAGGCCTTAGGTCTTCATAGTAGTTGGAGTATAAAAAAACACTTCAAGGTCATTCGAAAACTCAAGGCCACACTTCAAGGCCACTCGGAAACTCAAGGTCACGTTTCAAGGTCACACTTCAAGGTCACATTTCAAGGTTGACGCCGAAGGTCAGCTCTCAAGGTCGTTTGGCACCGAAGGTCGGCGCTCAAGGGCGTCCGTGTGGCGTTCCCCCTTTCCCCTGTATGGCCCTATAGCCCCACGGTACCCAATGGGTGTTTAGGCCTTAGGCCTTCGTGTTAGTTGGAGTATAAAAAAACTAATGTCTGCCAAAGTGACAGCTTTGTATCAGCATAATAATAATAATACTTACCAGTGGAAACATCTACCTTTATTAGGCTTGTGTCGCTTTTTGAAAATTATGTAAGGAGTCTAGTACCACAATTATCTTCAAAAACACGCACTTTTAAAAAATAATACCAAAAATACGAATTTAATGACAGAACTGTAAAAAAATTGACTTATGTCAAGTGCACTTGTAGTATGCATTTTGGCCCGCACTATAGACTATGAAAACTAGGAGATAAACAAATTCTTGACTAGCTCGTACCCAGTCTGAATTCGTTGTTTATTTTTATTTACTTCGATCGCCTTTGTTGTTTCCAGGTGAATGGCTAGCAAAAAACCTGCCACCAGGCTCTAAAGTAGGTCTTGACCCCAGGCGGTATGACTTCAACCACTACAGTGCCTTAAACACTTGTCTTGAGAATGCAGATAAAAAAATTGTGTTTATGAACAAGAACCTCATAGAAGTCATATGGAAAGATAGACCATTTCGCCCAGAAAATCCTGTCACTCCTCTGCCCTACGAAACCACTGGAAGCACTGTCAAAGATAAGTTCCTTCTAGTCAACGAGCAAATGAAGGAAAAAAATGCTAAACATCTTGTGGTGAGCGCTCTGGACGAGGTAGCGTACTTCTTGAACTTGCGTGGATCGGACATTGAGTACAATCCGGTGTTTTTCGCCTATTTGATTATCTCCACAGACACTTTTACATTATTTATCAACCAAAAGCAAATTTCTGATAATGTAACTAAGCACCTGTCTTCGGAGTTTGAAGGGCAGTATGTTATCAAGGATTATGAAGAGATAGACAACCATTTGAACGCTCTGGCGAATGAGAAGGATGGATTAGTGTGGTTTGCAGGATCATCGAATGTCGCCTTGGTTACATCTATACCGAAAAAGAATCGTGTGATAACCGATTTCACGCCCATTTGCATGATGAAAGCAATTAAGAATCCTGTAGAGTCACGAGGTATGTAAAAACACTTTTGCTCAAGTATTCTTTATATATAGGTATTTCATAACTAAAACAAAGAAGAATCGTGGGAATGTCCCCAGTGAAGGAACAGGAGCAGAAAATATTACTGTTAACCCGAGCGACGTACATTTCTGCTTATCGGTTTCATCAGGCCCAATGTGCAATCAAAACACCGAAGTGAAACATATGCCCAGCACGTCTGAATGCGAGTGTAACCCGAAGGAAAACAAGGATGGAAAGGGAAATACAACTAGAAGCCACCAACAGGAGCCAGCAAGCATTTGGGCCCTATGAAGCCAATAAGTAGAAACATACGCCACTCGGTTTACCAATCCTTCTATTTCTGCTCCTGTTCTTTTATCGCGGACATGCGCACGATTGTTCTTTGTTTTCCATCTAAGTTTCCGCAAAATTACTTGTCCTGCTTTGTATTTTTAGTGGCGGTCATGACTTTATATGACGCTGTAGAATATTAATGGCTTAACTCTTTTGGAAGAGTATATCCGAGTCTGCAATAAACTTCCATCTCAAAAGGTTATGAAACTTGTCTTTGAATGGAAAGTTCCATATTCTATTGTATATTTAAGTGATCCTTTCCAAAAGTACACGATCAATAAATACTGTACTGATCCTGTAGCTTTTGGTCGATTAGTTTTTGAGCTATTCAATTGATTAACGTATTCTATCTTGAGGTAGCTGACCATTTACTGAATTTCGGTGCCCAAAAAGGGATCGGTTACTCTAGCTCTATCTATTAGACAGTATTAGAACACAAAAATGAATTTACAAATCGACTTTGAAACAAGTTTTAGGATTTGGTCTCTGCTGCTCAATTGGGGATAAGTCGGGAGATCTTGGTGGCCATGGTAACAATGTGACATCATTATGTTGAAAGAAGTCTATTGTGACTCTTGCAACATGTGGTCGGGCATTATCTTGTTGGAAAGTTGGATCTGCCAGGGAGTCAAGATAGGGTAAAAGATGGGGTTCTAGAACTTCGTGGATATAACGCTGCGCGTTCATGTTACCTCTGATGAAGATTAAAGGTGACCTGGAACCATAAGCTATAGCACCCCAAACCATAACTCCAACAGTGTGATGAACATGTCTTTCAACAAGAAACTGTGGATTCCTCCTTTCACCACGTCGCCTTTTAACCCTGGCACGACCATCGTGCATGCCTAAACAAAATAAAACCATTTAAACTGGGTGTTCGGATTTATATGTCACTTAGTATATTATATAGGTACTTATAATGAACATAAGTTTAGATCACCGTCATCAATCGTCTTCACTATTTGATTTACGCTCTCTATAATATAAATTTGAAGTAAATGTCCAAGATGGCGCCCAACCGCCACCTTGCAATTCATAACTGACTTTTACACTATAATATAGTATACATACAGCTATTTCGCTATGCCGAATTTTGTCTTGCTATGAATGAATGAAATAAGGAAAAGCAGTGTATGTAATTGAAATGTAACCAAGTTAATTGAGGTCCCTTTGCAGGTATGAGAAACGCCCATATCAAGGACGCTGCAGCGTTATGCTGCTACTTTGCTTGGCTGGATAAAAACGTAGGGAAAATGAAAATCACAGAAATATCCGGCGCCACTAAGCTACGAGAATTTAGGAAGATGCAAAAAGACTTCGTCGGCGATAGTTTTGCTACGATCAGCTCTGTAGGAGCGCATGGTGCAATAATTCATTATCAACCGCAACCATCTACTGATGTTGAAATTGTTGTTGACCAAATGTATTTGTGCGATTCAGGTGGTCAGTACAGGGACGGAACCACAGATGTCACACGAACACTGTATTTTGGCATTCCTACCAAATTTCAGAAAGATTGCTATACTAGAGTACTAAAAGGTAACTTTAAACGTCCAAAGAAGAGGTATACAGAGAGAGGACACTGCGCGAAATATACAGGGTGTCCAGAAGGTTGGGAGTTTTCTTTTCAGAAACAACTACGTCTGAAGTAATAATGCCAATTTGCGGTAAAACAGCAGCGAAACTATAAATAAGAAATTGAATAAAAATGCTTACTATTCATGTGACAAGTAATTTCAAGTACTGCCCTATCACGGCTTTTGTTTGTAAATACTGCTTGAAGTTCTCGTCTGTCGATTCAAAAACACGAGTACTTCTTTCTAAATTTGCAACATTTGAGGCTGTATAGGTTTTCTACTGTGTCTACCCAGACGACTTTTGTACGATATAAATATCATCACGGACGTGTGCAGATAGATTTCTACACAGCTCTGTTGGAAACATCAATGACGACGTTCTGAATACACTCGCGAGGTATCAGTAGGATCTTGATTACGCTCACAGTAAACTATCATTAAATCGATAAGTACGTTATTGTTGCAGGAATGTGCCGATTTCGATTATTCAAATACGATTTGTAAATAAACTAGGTTAACCTACACACCACGCGGCGTTTGATTGGGATAATGACTCGCCTCGTACAACAAAATATATCGTACTTTTTGCATAGGAGGCAGGGTCGGGTAGGCCCATTAGATTTTCGGAACTTTCGAATATTTCGATTATTTTAAAGCTTTGATGTATGTGTTACAAAGAAGATTGTTATTGTTGCATAACCCATATGCTCTGTAAAGTCTCATTTTTTAGGACACCCTGTAGTTATATTGAAGTGATCGCAGTAACACAGTTGTATTATTATTGCGCATTAGTTTGTAGAAAATATGTTGCACACTTTTGGTAGACATTTGAAAAGTTGGGGCGTGAAAAGTTTGTCCAAGAGGAGCTTTGACGTATTTTGATTTCCGAAGTAACTTAGGTACCTATTTGACTCAGCTCGCACTTTAACAGCTTTATTTGCTAAACTGCGATCTAAGATAACTAAGATTCTAAGAATGCTATTTACTGGTTGACGGCAAAGAATTATCAAAATACCTGTGATTGAGATTGATACACTTGCATAAATATTTTTCATCGTGCACATTGGGAAAAAATATATATTTGGTAACTGTCATCTTACTCCTTTAAATTGGTTTGGCCAGTCTATCTAATTTTATTCACCTTGTCTAACTGCCTCCCCTTGATATGCCTCCTCTTTCCTTAGACTAAAGCTATATGATGCCCTGAAGAAGTGTCTACATTGTTGTGCTTTCCATTTTCATTTCGCTTTCAACTTCAGTTACGTCTTTCTGTAACTCCCGCATTTCATCGTTTTCGGCACGGGTATTATGTAAAAAACCTATAAAACGTAAAAAAAACTCCTATAAAATGTCATCTTGCAGACTAGGTAGTTTTTAGGGTGCAAACAGTCTTTCCACGTTTGCTCACTAGAATCGTTGTGAGCGTCCATCTATGGAGGAATGGCTCAACTACACGCATTGTTGGTTGCATACGTTTTGTGAAGTCGAATAGTCTAAAGTTTTCATCTCTGAGAAGAAAGTTTGTTGGATAGCAAGATCGCATCTGGATGATTGTGTGTATTGGCCTTCATGTGTATAAAATCAGTGATATTTGCTTTGTGAGAAAATGATTACTGTATATGCTGCCAATGAAGTATATCTATTAGCTGTGCCCGTCGGGTTATTTATATATTGTCGTTTCTGAAGACAGGTTATGTTCAAAGTTATAAATTACGTTTTTTACGTTTTCTTGCGTTTTCAAAAACTTTGAGAAGAATCACGAGATATCACCACCGCGCCCGCGTTGTGTGTTCTTACTTAGCATGTATATGACTTGTAATTCGACAGCATACAGAGAATATAATTATTTCTCATCTCTCTTATTTTTGAAATTCCGCAAATTTGCATATGTAATTTCCAGAATGGTTAGGAAAAAGTAGATGCGCAACTAATTTCTAGCTTTGAATCCAAAGTAAGTGTATTTGAGGAAAGAATCCAGTGGAATTATCATTAACACGATATTATTAGCACACAAATCCTCACTATGCACCTATACATTGCCGCTACCTCCAGCAATGCCATCTCTGAAGCAGATTTTACATTACATCAGAGCCAAACATTTATAACTGAGGCCTAATGACGTTTAAACAATACGTACAACTACAAAGCGAGTTGACAACGTGTCGATCAGCTAGTGCCAAGTTAACATCTTGTAGAAAAACCTTCATAATGTCACAAAAAACTAATATAATATCAAAAAAAAAATAGACATGTCACTTTTGAAGATAAGTAATTCCCGGGCGGGTTAGTGAATAAAAAAACACTATCAAATTCTGTCAACTTCACACGGATACATTCACTGTACACTCTAAGGTAAAAGAAAAGGTTTACGAGTGTGGACATTCCTTTGAGAATAGGCAACAGTTCTTCCTGATACATTGCAAATATAAATCTGCCATTCAAATGAGTTGTGATTTTACCAAGTCGGTGCTCAAACCAGCACGTGGAACACCAATTCAACCAATAAGAACGCGTCTCTCAAGTAATGGATCTAATGAATATTGTCGATTTCTTCTAAGATGTCAATCAAACTAGAGACAAATTATACGCTTTGTTTAAGATGGGTCCCTAATTCCGATATTAATTCAAGAAATGCGTCATAAATCACTTGGTTTAGCTACAAAACCTTATTATTTCATTCGAGTCTGAAAAATAAGCATTTGCGCCATACATGGGCGCATGGACACAAATCTGATACAATATCTAGATTAATATAACAGCAGTTAAACTTGCATTTTATTGAAAAAATTGTATCTCACTGTTCTTATACAAAATTCTGCTCGAAACATTCTTTACAAAATACTTATTCTTTAAAAAACATCTAGTAGTCAATTTATTCACCGTTAACAGAAACATGTCGCGCACTCTACTGGACAGTAGAACTAGTACATAACTACGCTGACATCTGTATGCATGGAGACGGTTAAGAAAACATACTAGACAGTTGTATACTAAGTCAATGAACTTAATTGTCCCATATACAGTCTTTGTCCTGCATACATCATAATACATACATTTAACATTACATGCCAAAGTTCATTTCTTACAAATATTATTATTCTATCCTTACAGAGTTTATACGTATCTCCAAGCTGGTCTAACTCAAGCTGATTTAACCTAAGCCGCATTCACTTCCCATTTGCACTCGATATAGTCTGGTTTCTGGTTTCTGACATTTGACGTCTATTGGGATGAACATCTGAACAGCAAGGGATATCCTTGCCCTAAGTTTCTACTGTTAGCAGTAATCAATATGGACCATATTCAGAACTATTTGCATCTAACACCGATGAAAATGTACATTCACCTACATATCTTCACTGACTGAAAAGCGATTTTCTAAAATTGTATGTCACCTATGTACACGAACTAGAAGATATTTCCGATTCATTAGCGGGAGGTAGGATAAAGCGGTTGATTATTTCAACATGCGATTTAGTTAAACCAGTTTGAAGTAAATCGGCTTGAGACGAACCTGTAAACTTACTGTATATTGACTTTATTTATCATATTCCAGGACAGCTAAAACTGGGTAGACTAATCTTTCCAAGGAAGTTATTATGTAATCATTTGGACTCATTTGCCAGACAGTTCCTTTGGCAATCAGGACTTGACTATGCTCATGGCACAGGTCATGGTGTTGGAGCCTTCCTGAACGTTCACGAAGGGCCCATACGTATGTCTTGGAGACCAATTCCAGCTGATCCTGGTTTAGAAGCTGGCATGTTCATATCGAACGAACCGGGGTACTACCAAGAGGGAGAATTCGGAATGAGGATAGAAGATATCATGGAGGTTGTTAACGCTCAGACGCCACACAACTTCAGCGACAGGGGCTTTTTGACGTTTGAGACTGTCACACTGGTTCCGAAGATGAAGAAGCTGATCGAGGTTGACATGTTGACTGATGAAGATATTGAATGTCTGAATAGATATCACGCGACCTGCAGGAAGGTGATTGCGTCTTTGCTAGATGAATTAGCTCAGCCTGAGGCTAAAGCGTGGCTTATACGGGAGACTGAGCCGTTACGAAGATGATAAAAATGCTATAAAATGTACATGCTGTGAACATTGTTTATGAATAAAATTGCTGAAACCGAAATTGGTGTTCATTGGTTTTTAACTTATAGTCATCTCCACACCCGTGCGCTTTTCCGTTTCCCCTCACATTGTATATAGGGTGTCGCATAAGTCGACGTCAAGCCGGAAACGGGAGATAGGAAGTCATAAACGTTATCAGAAAAATATAAAAAGATCGAAGTCGTCTACTTTTCAAATTATAGGCTTATTAAAATCCACATCCTGTGATCTGTTAGTTCTGGTTACTACAAATTTCAATTTGAGCAACGGGAGTGTCATTCTAAGTTGTGACAGCAAGACAGTAACGCCACTCTTATTAATTCATGATTGTGTAGTGCCACCATGTTTGTGTATACCGTACAGGAATACGCCAACACGCAAATAATTTGTGAGGAATGTTTATGTGCTGCAGCTAGGCTCGTCATCCCGAGCACAGAATTTCCTTTCCATATGAGGACGTCATACTACAAGCAGTCGAAGAAGACTCGAGTACACACCTCCGAATCTTGCGAAAGAACGACCTCCACGTGTATCACTTCAGCGAGTAGGATCAATACAACCCCGGGATTATCTTCCAAGAGTTGATTTTTGTTAAACAATGTTACAGAGACACCGGGGAGATCCGTGATTTGGAGAGAAAATTTTATCGCGACTCATCGCTGTTTGAAAACGATAGTTACATGAATCTACACAACCTACACGAGAGGCATGTAGAAAATCCACATTTAATGAGACAAGATAGATCACAGTATCGTTTTAAAGTAAACATAAGGACCGGCACGGGTATTACGTATCTTGAAAAGTGACATTTTGCCGGTTTTTTTGACATATCGGTTTTTTTGTGACATTATGTAGGTTTTTCTAATAAAAATTTTAACTTAGCACTAGATGATGGACATGTGAACTCGTATTGTAATTGTACGTGTTGCCTAAGCGTCATGAGGCTTAAGTTCAATAATTGGCTCTGATGTGATCTAAAATCTGCTTCAGAGATGGCATTACTGGCGGTAACGGCAATGCATAGGTGCATGCTGAGGATTTGTGTGCTAATAATAGTTATGTGTTGATGATAATTCCATTGGATTCTTGTCTCAAATTCACTTACTTGGGATTCAAAGCTAGAAATTAGTTGCGTTAGTTCTTATCCATTCTGGAAACTACAGTTCTATGTTGAATTTCAAAAACCCCAACCCCTACTGAGCGGGGCCTTGGCAAATGCTTGTTCCGGAAGTTGTATCCAGCATACGACTTCTTCCGTACAAGTGTTTGTACACGCGTTAAGGAATGCCTCAGTACCGATTGCCGGGTGGCGGTGCTGCCTTTATCGCACCCCTCGGACCATAACTGGGATGACCTTGAATACCTTGCCGTCAATCACTTCGCTTCAGAGGTAGTTCTTCTCGGTGATGTCACAGCTCTGCTGTCCTATCTCCCTTGGGTAACTCAGACCACTGTGTTGAGGAGGTTAGGTTTCGGTCAGAACCCGGTGTTTCAGCAGAAATTCGCACAGGCCGCAAAATTTGGTATTACTAGCATGCCGACTGGGAGGGGCTCAGAGGCTTCTTCTCAACCATTGTTGCTAGCTCAAAGTCAACTGAACTCACCACGAGAGTGTAAATAGGAAGCACATTTACCATCGATTACGCCAGGTGCGAACCGGGACACGAGACGAAGCACGAGGCGAGGTGCACATTACGACGTCAGTGGTATTTGGTTTTCGGTGTATATGTTTGCTATTCAAGATATCTTGATTTGCCATAAACATTCTGTAAAATGGTCAAATAAACTATCTATCTAATAATATTTACCAGTGGAAACATCTACTTTCGTTTGGCCTTGTGCCTCTGTTTGCAAATTATGTAAGAAGTACCAAAATCGTTTAACACCACAATCATCTGAAACCTCACGCTCTTTTCCAAAATAATAATAAATTTACCAATTTAACGAAAGACCTGTCAAACATATGTCAAGTGCACTTTGATCCTCACTACAGAGAAGAGAAACAAATCCTTGAATAGCTCCTTTTTCGAACCAAACTAATTTAGACTAGGTAGAAGGAATCAGTCGAGGATTTTTTGTCTCACTTTCCATACTCATAGTCTGTACAGTGCACATGATATATGTCAATTTTTTACGGTTCTGTCATTAACTTTGTTTGTGTTATTTTTAAAAAGTGTGAGTGTTTGCAGATGTAATTCTTTTCACGGTGTTTGGCGGTTCAAAGTAAAACTACCGGAATTGCTTTCATACATCCATCTCCCTCATACATACACATGTAACCTTCCCCTGTGTGTGATCGTTTGTTCGGTAAGCTCGAAGACATACGTTTTTTAGTTGTGTATCTCCGTCTCGAAAACTTTGTGGTTACGTATGAGTGCCCTTCAATCATATTTGTCAGCGCGACATCTTACTTGACATCGGCGTGCACTCTGAGTGTCCGGTTACCAATCTTCAATATAAAATTGTACAATGCCCGGAAATACGATCAGTGGAGAAGGACGACAGCTCGTGCTAAATTTATTAGAGTATGTCCAGGAAGAGAATGAAAACAGCGGTCCCCTGTTACCCAATTCATGCGTACTGGAGAGAGTAGCAGATGCGCTGAAGATTAGTCTGCGCTCATGGTACGGAGATGCGATCTGTTTACTTAGTGCATATGGCGTTGACGACGGTGACTACAACTAGAATTGTGGTGTTTGACGATTTCAAGATACATCGCTGTCACTTTGGTTGGCATTGGTAGACAAATGAATCAAAAGTTTGAACTAAGACACTACACAGTTTTAGCGACAAATAATGAAATGTAAATATCTATTCGAATTCGTTGGCTTCATCAGACAACTTGCTGTTTCATTCTCGCAGTGGTCGATTCTGGTAATAGATGGCATCTTATTTCGATAGACATTGTATCCTAGATAGAGGACAGTTGCTCAACTCCCGCTCGTTGTCGTACCTGAGATCAAGCTTAGACCATGCTGATAAGTTGCTAAAAAGCACGTCCATGGTTGGCCGTCTATAGTCGGACGAACGAAAACTATATCACAAGTTTGTTCAATAGCGGGTAGACTGTATCTACTATAAAGCTAGAATCGGCGGGTTCTAGCAGCCACAGTGGTGACCTGGCTGCAGTTTCACTTTCGCACTGGTCGATTCTGGTAATAGATGGCATTTTGTGCTGTCTTGTTATAGTAAGTTTATGTGAATGTTATGAAAACTCTTCTCTCCTTTATATTGTCGAAAACAGAAATCTTGATTTATGTGATTTATATGTATCTATTTCTGTAACAAAAATATCTGACCGTGATTCCTACGCAGACTCTAATATAATTGTACAAAATAGGAGCATACGATTCATAAAGCATGTGTTAAATTTGGACGAGAGTGAATTCAGTGGCCCGTTTCCTGCGTATATAACTATGGTATATTTATAGAATGCTATAGGTGAGTAGATTTTTTTATTCGAATATACTGGGTTTCAATTAATATTTTCCGTAACTCTTATTTTTTAAGTATGACTTTAATAACCTTCTTCTTGTTATACGAGGAGGGATATTTAGAATGTTGTAGAAATGACAATACCATGTTCATTCGCTAGTTTCTGTTTTTTTTTCTGGCTTGTACTCTCTTGACGTGGTCATAGGTATGTACAACCAATCTGATACTCTATACAGAGTGTGTCTCACATATAACCGAAGCGATAAATTACACTGGTGAACAAAATTAAAAATAATTGTTTCTGACATGGTCAAACAAGGTGTTTATTATGTAAAACGTACCCAAAAAGCCGGAAATAGCATTCCTTTTTTTCTATCACCCACGGTTTTCTTGCAATAAGGCATTTTATTTGCTGCATATACTCGTAAAATATAAGGATATGTGTGTAAGAGTACTAATAAAGACTTGAATAAACATTAGTCTCAGAATGTCGCTGTCGATGTTTTACGGCGATATGTTGCTCCTGAAGTATCTCTTAACAATGTCCAGCAATAATCTGCAAGCAAATTGACACTGCATTTGCCTTGATACCATTTTTCAATAGCAGAAATGTCTTGGTGGAACCGTTCACCATGTTCATCACTTATCGCACCTAAATTTTCCGGAAAAAATCGAGATGAGAATCCAAAGAGTGAATTTTTAGACATATGATACATCCCATACCTTTATAAGCCTGAATTAGTTCACTCACAGTATCTTAATAAGTTGTCCGCCTTCAGCCTAAAAAAATTGCAGTAATTGATTTAAAAGCATTCCAAGCTCGTATATCAGTTTCATTTAGAGCACTGTCAAATACATCCTCCTTCATGATTTTCCGTATTTGTGGACCCACAAATATGCCCTCTTTCATTTTTGCCTCACTAAGTATCGGAAATTTTTGTTTTAAATGCAGAAACCCCCTTGCATTTCCATCCATATCTTTCACAAAATTTTTCATCAGTCCCAACTTAATATGCAAAGGTGGAAGCGTCACGTTTTTGGGATCAACTAGTGGTTCATGAGTAACGTTTTTGAGGAACGGAGTTGACACCTGACGTAGTGGCCACTCCTTCTGTTCATAACGACGATCTCGCGCACGACTGTCCCATTCATAAAGAAAACAACAATATTTGGTATATCCCAGTTGAATTCCAAGGCTATTACCTTTAAATCTGCACATATGGCCCATCCATATTCATTATACCGGGTATGCTCTAACAGAACTCGCATATTTTCATATGATTCTTTCATATGAACGGCGTGCGCTATAGGTACAGATGGATATTTATTACCATTGTGTACCAATACTGCTTTTAAATTAAGCTTAGAGGAATCAATGAACAGCCGCCAATCTTTTGAATCATGTTTCTGTCCTAACGCGTCAAACAAATTGTTGACGTCGGAGCAATATACATATCAACTCCCTTTCTTGACGGAAACAGTGTGTGAGGTCTTGTTGCCGTTTTCGGTAAAAAATAATATTAACATCACCGTAGAGAAGATCCATCCTTTCAATCTTGACGCTAAAAGTTCTGACTGGGATTTTGACAGATTTAATTCTCGAACTAAGACATTAAGTTCGCCCTGTGTGATCAAATGCGGCGCTGTTGAACATCCTGGAAGGTCAAACGAAGGATCGGAAATTTTTCCGCTTTCTGTACCATCACTTTCAGAATCGGTGGATTCGACTTTTTCATCCAAAGACCAAGATTCTGGTGGAACTGGGACAGAAAGTTCATCACCATGCTTAACGGGCCGCAAAGCTGATGGTAAATTAAAATACTCAACGGTATGTTTCGATTTTGGTTCAATACCTTTAATATTTGTGAGGCAAAAATAGCAATCAGTAGTATGGTCTCTCGGTTTTCTCCAAACCAGTGGTACCCCAAAGGGCATTTTACGATTGTCGTCTGTTAACCAACCTGTTACCAACGTTGTACAAGTCTTACAATATATATGAGGGGCCCATAGTTTATCTTCGTCGCCAACTTCAATTCCAAAATAAAGTTCGAATGCTTTCAACACAAGGAGAGTAAAAGTAAGTTTTTGGGATTCAAAAGTTAGCTCACAAATCATGTGTTTATCAGTGTTATTCGAAAAGTTGATGTTAGATAATTACGAAAACTTGGGATTATGGTATAAGTGATGTGAGGAATTTGACAAAAATATTTTCCACATGGTGGCGCTTCCGGTGGTGCCGGAAGTAGATAACAACTTGTAAAATGTACGCAATATTCTAAACGCATTTTGATGTATAAAAAAGTCACGAATGCGGGTCCATAAAATCCAATTAATTTTCCGTGTATTTTTGTTGTTTTCGAACGATTTGTCAAAAAAATCGGATGAAAATTATATTGTATTGTGTATTTTTTATATGGAATTCCAGTGTTCTTATAAACCCGTCATTTCAAGCAAAAAATAAGGTTAGCTTTGTATACGGTGATCACTTCGCAAATTAGTATTTTTTGGGCATGGCGCATTGAATTATTGAAAATGGGTCATTATATATGACTTTGACAAGGTGGTGCATATAATGTACGTAAAAATGGCGTCAAGAAGGTTGACTCTGCACTTCCCACGCAACGTTGTCATCAATTCATAATCGATTATGTTCAGTACAGGCTATTCCCTCTGAACTAGCTACATACATGCATAACAAAAAAACTGAATGGATTAAGTCAGCCAAGCAGGCCCATGCAAGTAGTCCATACTCCATAGTCCCCACCCATTTGATAACGCTAACGCTAGGGTTTCTTCGATGCTCTAAGCATCGACCATCTGGCCACGGTGCTGAACCAGATTAGTATATTAGTCAAGAGTCAATTAGACGCAGACAGCGCTCAGCGTATGAATGTTGCTTCACAGTCGCACGAATGCGTCCTCTTGTCGCGTCTACAAATATTGCTCTGTTTAATGGTAAATATACGGGGAAATCTATGATGTGTGAAATATCTAAAATTAAGGGAGTTTGAAGTGCATAAATATACTGCTTAGATGAGCTAACGAACATGGGCAATGGACTGGAATTTTTGCCAAAACTTGGTTAACACTATGCCCCAAAGAATTTCAGCCGTAATAAAAAATAAAGGTGATGTTACCCAATGGTAATCTTTCAATTGTTGCTTTGTTAACTTCGCGCATTTATTCGCACAGTTTATTTGTTCAGATGTTCTATTAGTTATAGGTCTAAGTGATTTCAAATATGTATTTTTTATGACTAGAGTGTATCTAAAATGTTTCTGAGAAAATAAATTGTTTTAGAAGTAAATAGTTTCGTCATGTTTAGTTTACAAAGGCATATTTTGGTTCAAATCTTGAAGTGGGCCAACTGAAGTGGGAAGGGGCTCGTAGATCTACAGAACTAGGGCACATTAAATTTACAACAGCTAGTTCTACGTTGACATCTTGTAGAAAAACCTACATATTGTCACAAAAAACCTATATAATGTCAAAAAAAGAACCGACATCATGCGGCACAGGATTCGTTCAATCGGAACGGGTCCGACTGGAGCGAAACAACACTAGGTTGAATTGTTTAATCAGTGTTAAATCGACGTCAGTTTTACTGAGGGTTTCAAATTCTTTGAGATAGGTATATTCTATAAAGGCAAAATATTTATATTATGTAAAAATATTAAAAACATTGTGGTAAAATATTTCATATCTGGAACGATTTCCTTGAGGTTGCCTTAGACCTCTTGCTGCTTTTCAATCCCTTGGAGCTCTTTGTAGAGGTACATTCAGACGGTCGTTTAGACATATATCTTCAATGAGCTTCATTTTCAAATATTCCATATTATTTTCTCTGATCTGTTCGACCTGAAAAATGTTAAAGCAGTATGAGAAAATGTATGATATCATGGATGTTTACATCAATAGGCGCAGAAGGGGCGTAGAATAGAGCCTGACCGAAGGTCAATTTCTTGGCACTCTATTATAAGTTGTATAAACCACGGTTCTAATTCAAATTTGCATCGAAACATAGGTAAAACGTATGTTGTAACTTCAGTATACTTCTGCCGTACTTTAATTATATCTGAGTACATCAGACAGCGGCATCTACTTGCTTAAATAAACCGCACATTCCTGAAATCATTATTTTACTTCCCACGCCTAATAACTGGGAAGTACTAAAACCTCGAAAATGTTCGAAAATGAGATATTACGTTTTTTTAATGTCATATGACTTACATGTACAACACGAACAACCATATCACTCGTTTCCACTGGTCTGTCGCTCTTGTCCGTTAATATTACAACCGCACAATAACTTGAGAAGTACCCGCTCGGATTTCGATGACATTTTTACACAAGGCTACTACTGTACCAGTGATGCAAAAGCTTTGTAGTATTTGAAAATCGATCCAGTGGCGGCAGGGAAAACGTCCAGAAAAAAAAAAAGAATATAAATCGCTCAAACTTCATTTTTTGATGTTTTAGAGGATCCTGATCATTGAAAAAATTTTAGAGGTAAAAACATGGGGGGGGGGGGTTGTTTGGGAGCGGGTTGGAGATAATTTATCTCAATATTATTATATTTCTGCGCTTCCAACCTTGGTAATTCTACGCACCTATAAGAGATATTTCAATCATAGATTTTTACTTAAAACTGCGCCCCTACCGGCCGCGGCTGCTGCTCCAAGCGACATGCGGCGAGCCGGCTTTGTGCAGTGTTCTGTTGTTTTGGTGACAAACATACACATGCACTATTTTCTTATTTCAAGTACACTGTCGACCAGGAGCTTGAAAAAGATACAAAAAAGAACTCTAGAAGAAACTTCGCATCAATTTTTATGATACGCGTACAAATCGTTCAAAATATTCTAGGACCTGAAATTGGAATATTGCTGCGATCATGATAAATGCCATTATGCACATTCACGCGACGACAGTGCCAACAACCACTTATATCAGTTTTCGGGTGTAACTAATTTATGTTGCAATTCAATTTTCATCAAAAAGGGATAGATTTTACAAATTGACAAGATCATATGCTATTTGACAATATGACTGCTACGATGGACATTGTGTATGAACGTCCAAAGACAGCATATGCTTCTGTCACAAATGACTTGGCCTTTTGTAAAATCTTGAATTCTTTGCTCAAAATTAAATCTCAAAATAAATCAGCTACACCGGGAATCTGATTGGAGTGGCTGATGAAACTGTCGTCTCGTGAATGTGCCTATTATCATTTATCATTATCGCGGAAATACTCCAATATCAGGTAATAGGTTATTTGCGACGCTTTGTGTCATATAAATTGATGTAAAGTTACTTCTAAACCTCGTTTTTGTACATTTTTCGGATTCCCGATTATCTCTGGTCGACGGTGCCCTTGACCTCATAAATTGGTGGTATATTCTTTGTATAACTCCTTACCATGTTACTGTTTCAAACTTGAACTAATGAAGAACTGAACAACGAAAATAAATGAATGAACTTTGTTTATGGGGCTACAGTCCTTTATTGACCCGCAAGGTTTTGATAACTGTACTTCTATACAGTTGATGGTTCTCTGAAAAACGAAAATTGGGCATTTCATTCGCAGATATAAATATGAATATCTATTATAGTCAGGCCCCTTGGAAGGAAGGGAACCCCACTTAATGCCGATCCAAATTACTATACATTGAAAATGTGCAAATGGTACTGTTGCGTCTCGTAGAACTTCAGATTCCACCATTTTTCACTGGAAATACATAATACGATTATATTCCAAGCAGCGCTTAAGGCTACTTGCACACACACCGATTTTGGACGGCCGGTAAAATATCGGCCGATCACATTTTAATAGTAAACCATTGGAGGGCATTGAAGCTTGCACACTGGCCGACCACCGACCGCAGCCGGTTAGCAGCCGGACATTGTCACTGTGGTGCGCCGGTACCGGGAATATACAGGCATACGTGTTTGAATAGGAGCTTGCACTTAGACGTGTTGGTTGTAGTTTTTTGCTTAAATCGTTGGTTAGTTGATCTATATCTAAAGTCCATGGCGTTGATGATTGGAAGGGGACCAACACTTACAAGCTTGGCCTTTTGAATAAATATATTAAGCAAGCATTCCAAAGCTACGGCGGTACAATATATCATGTCACCTTATGCGGGTCCCACACGATGTATGTACAACGTTGCTTACAACGTTCGACACCCCACAGTTGGCAAGTGTGTCTCCTACACGATCGGATGAATTTTTTAGTCTCGAACCTTCGACGCATGGTGGCGCCAACGCCTATTATCGGTGTCAGTGTCGCGCTTGAACCTTTACAAATGAAGGACAAATTATGCAAAATGAACGATGAAACAATTTTTTCAAGTGTCGAAAAACTTTCAGATCTGTCTTCAGCGACCAAAAGTCAAGTCTGTCAGAAGCCTCAGAAATTTCGAAAAACGAAGTTTGACCGTTTCTTGTTTGTTTTTCGACGATAACTCCGCCGCCACTGTACTGATTTTCAAAAACTGCAGAGATTTTTTGTCATTTTCATAGTAGTAACCTAGGGTCAAAATTTCATCAAAATCCTGATAGTACTTTCAGAGTTACCATTTATTTTAACGCTTTGTTAAGAAATGCAAGTCACTATATTTTTCAACTAGCCTTGCATTGCAACATGACATTATAATAAAACAACTCTTGCACTTGATAATTCATAATTTACTAAAATACATATCCTTATGCCAATCACAACTCACCTGCGGAACGTACAAAATATTAGCAATATGAAAAAAGTGATATGGCAACCTATGCTTTGTATGTATACTAATTTAATTCATTCTTCTCAAAAGTTAGGTACGGAACATACATTATTATGAATAGGTAGGTATTCAAATCAAAAGACTTCCCAGATACCACAACTTCACCACAATCACAGCAAACAAGTAAATAATGTTTTTCGCCGTTACTGGTTCTAACCTAAACCCATCTAACACAAGACATCTCGTGTGTGAGCGTGTCGTACCATGCTTCCAACGTTGTAACGTCCTTTGACGCCCGGTCAAATTTACCGAAAAGAGCCCGAACGTGCCCTGTGGCGAACGTTGGCCACATGTAATCCGTCAGCGCTCTCCCAAACGATGTGGCGAATGGCCATGTGTCCAACATTGTAAGGAATTCGCCACATCGTGTGGGACCGGTTATTCTTAAAGAAAATCGAATGACGATGTCGATAATGACAGTCGTAGCTGTCGATGAAAGACTGTCAATATTGGCAGTGTTGCCAGTCGTGTTTCCACTGCATAAAACTTGGCTAGTTTTCCTGCGTTGCACATTACTAGGCCTCAGTTGACTTCACATGGTACCCCACAGGTATTTCTGCTGCGCCATAGCATAGTGTTTCCTATGCTCTGACCGCGTTTCCACGTCTGCCCGAGTTATATATCGGGCACGGGCCAAGCTTCCAGATACACTACGGGTAGTACAGGGAAAGAGTATTTATGAACTGATTGTATGGACCTGTTTGACTGAATTTTTCGATGACGATCTGACAAAACGACGTATGCGCCAAAATTCGGAAATTGGGATTTTCATGTTTACTCATAGAAGAAAACACGCCGCGTCGATTGCCGGTGGTCTCGTAAACGACAGATCAGCCGTTACCAAGATATTCGCAATTAAGTATGTGTAAGCGACAATGCACCAGCCATAACCTCAAAATACTCAGTCAAGTTGGCGCTTATGCAGCACGTGCTCTCAACCTCCAGCCCTGATACAGGTAAGTTATATAAGGTTTATCGGAATATTTTGGTTTATATAGGGTATCTAGTGGTTGTTGCAACATCCTAAAGCATTTAGTATGATTCTGTAACTGTAAATAATGATCACAAAGATGTGGCGCTTACGCATTCAGTCTGTTCAAGTACAAACGCGTAAGCGTCATAACGCTATGTAACCTTTATTTTCACTTTGCTTGATACTGATGAAGGTATTTAGTTATATTGAATCAAATAGCATGAATATGAGTAATACTTGAAATAAAGTGATTGCTGGATTTTATAAAAACGGTTTATTTAATTTGCAAGTCAACTTAAAATTTCATTCACATGTGGCGCTTACGCAAGTGTTTTTTTCAGAATGTCTAGCCGCGGAAAACGAATTGTGAGTATGGCGCTGGAAGATGAAACTGATCAAAGTTACCTGGAAGACAATATGATCAACGAGGCATTAAACTTCGACATCATATTTCAAAGCAGCTCAGGAAACATAACTGAAAATACATCCATCGAATATACGACCACCGAACATGAAATCATGACCGAAGGCGCTATCTATCTTGAAGAAATTCCTGACCCTGCTTTTCTGGAATGTGAGCAACTAGAGGTACCAGAGGATCTGACACAGAATAATGAGCGCATTACCACAAAAAAACTTGTACCATATAGTAGCAGCTCATCAGAATCTGGATGTGAATCAGCAATCGATGAATCTCCAAACCAAGATCACCGTGAATCATCAGCATCATCTTCATCTAGCAGTACATCATCTGAGACATGGAAAAGGAAGAAAAGACCAAGTCGTAAGCTGAAAAATAAAAAAAAGAAGGCTCATGGCTTACAGTACAAAACCTACAAAGGAATTACCCCCAAAGTACTACTACCAAATCCATGTTTTGGTAAAAAATGCACAAATAGTTGTAATGATTTCAGTCTTGATGAAAGGCATGCATTATTTGATGCTTTCTGGGCAATGGGTGATGGAAATCTTCAAAAAGCTTATATAAATGGATGCGTCAAGATAGATTATGTTAAACGAAAACGAACTTTGGAGATTACATCAAGAAGAACGTTTACATATGAACAGTACCTCATGAAGGGGAATACTCAAGTTAAGGTATGTCAACAATTTTTTATAGCTACGCTTGGAATCACGCAAAGAATTATCAGGAATGCAATATTAGGGAAAATACAAGCTATAACCGATGGTAGAGGCAAGCATAATCCTAGACATAGTATTACAGCATCTCAAAAAATGTTTCTTGAACAGTTTATCAAAGGACTACCAGCTGTACCGTCACATTATTGTAGGGGCTCAACTAAAAAGCTTTATCTACCTTCTGATATAAAGACGTTTACTAACTTGTATGAAATGTACTCTCATCAAAATACTGATAAAATGAGCATTTCTAGTTTTAAAAGAATCATAAAGAAAGAATACAACATAGGAATACATGTGCCAAAAAAAGATAAATGCATTAAATGCGAGCGTTACAGACATTTACCAAGTAACTTAAAGAATGGCAAAGAAGAACTCGACTTTCTAAGACATATTGAAAAAAAAGAAAGTGCGAAAAAATATTTTCTAGAAAAACAGAAAGACAACCATGATTCGGCTAATTTGATTGCTAGCTTTGACCTACAAAAAGTACTGACTACTCCTCATGGCAAAAGTATGTTGATAGGATTTTCGAGGAAATATGCTTGCTATAACTTCACAATTTATGAAAGTGTCACTGCTAATGCGTTTTGTTACTTTTGGGGCGAGAAAGATGGAAGAAGGGGTGCGAATGAAATATGTTCTCATCTTTTTGACTACCTGTTACATTTGGATCAGAAAGAAGAAAAAACAAGCGTGCACTTATTTTGTGACAACTGTCCCGGACAAAATAAAAACAGGTATATGATTTGTATGTTGGCGTACTTCATAAGTATCTCAAAATCTATAAGGAAACTGACAATAACATACTTAGTCTCAGGTCACACGTACATGCCAGTAGATAGTATGCATGCTACTATCGAAAGAAAATCGAAAAATTTGTTTATACAGGCTCCATCAGAATGGCCAACGATACTCCGCAATGCCAGAACTAAACCGAAACCATACAACGTGAAGGTTACCAATTATTATTCTATAATAGACTGGAATCGCATTAGTTCACAAAAAAGACTGAAAGATGCACAAGGGAACGACATAACAATTTCTGACGTTGCCGAGATGATATTTGATAAAGACAATACCTATGTAAAAATAAAAACAACGTATGAGAACCAAGCACACGTTGACCTACTGTTCCCGACAAAGACTGTGAAAAATCTGCCTAAAGCTTATCATTCTGAACTACCGATAAACAAAAAGAAATATGATAACCTAATTGAACTTTGTAAAGCTTTCACAATTGATGTACAATATCATTCTGAGTATTACTCTTTGAAAGGGCATAATAGTGTGGCAGACACGCTGCCTGAAACTGATATCGAAGAATGTAATGATGAAACTGAAGACTGAAATACAAAAGTATTAAGAAAACATGTTTTTTCATTTTAGACTTTTTGTTATGACATGTGTAGTTATTTTTGTTTTGAGGAGAGTTTTTTATTTATCAAAGTTGATGTTTTAGTTATATTTTACACCAAGGTGGTAAACAATAATTTTTTGTTTTTTGTTATTACAAAATAAAAATTTTCTTTAAAAAGGATCACCAAATTCTTTTCTACCCATCCAACTCTACCTGCTACAAACAAGTTTCCACGCTATAGTCACAAGTTTTATTAATGCGTATCCGATATCAATGTCTGTCGACAAACTGCAATAAGATGCGTATGTACCGCGTAATCACCGGTATGACCAAGAATTCATATAATGCAAGAGACTTAAGCACCGTATCATTGGACGTAAGTACCAAACGATGCCAGTAAAAGGTCGTAAGCGACATAAAATATGCGTTTTTTGAATTTTGGAGAGATCTCCAATACTATTTGATATATTAGATCATTTCTATCGCTATTATAGACATAATATATAATCTTTAGCAGGGTATTTAAATGCTTTGAGTCCAAAATAAACGGTTTTCTACCTCTCCTGTAAAATTTTGTGAATGGCGCTTACGTCGTTCTATCAGATCACCATCGTTTTTATCAGAAGGTCTAGTTTATGCTGAACATAATCTTTTATGAACTGATAATGGCACTGCGTGGGAAGAGTCAATCTACTTGATTCCATGTTTTTCTGATACACATACGGTTTTGCTTATAAAAAATATTCTTTCATCGACATTGTTAAAGATTATTTATAAGTAGGTTGATGCTGCACTTCTCACGCAACGCTGTCATCAGATAGTAAATGACTATGTATTATTATAACAAAAAACTATGAACATGTATAATATTTAAAAAAAAGTGGATCAAATGTGTCAAACAGGCCCATACAGGTAGTCAATGCTCCTCACACCTTTGATAACGCTGTGATCTAGAAACTTCTTCGCTGGCCTTTCTGAAAGTATGGACACTCTGGCGACCTTAGCCGTACTGTGCTGACCAGCTCAAGTAGTGTGGCGATGAGAGATTCATGCGGCAGCGGCAGGTGCAGAGAAGATGTTGTGCGCACCTACGTAGATACGACACGTCCATATGATATTTCTCCACGTTTTAAGAGCAAATGTAAATATGAACATTCTGCCGCTAAAAAGTTGAGATAACTCTCCCTCACTCCTACGAACCCAACCCTCAATTTTAAGCTCTACAAAAATCTTTCTGAAAATGGTCAGTAGCCTCTGAAACGTCAAAACACGAAGTTTGGATGTTTTTTATTTTTTTCGTTTTTTGTCACTTGCTCGGCCGCCACTGGACCGACTATCACAAAGTACAAAACTTTTCCATCCTTGACATAGTAGTAAAATTGTGTTAAAATTTAAGCGGTATTTTCCAAGTCATAAAGGGGTTAAGAATCATTGGACAGACAATGCCGATGAGAAAAAGGAGAGGTTCCATTTGAAAATATTTATTTGACCTTGTAATGACCTTCAATGTTCTGGTCAAGCTCATTGTCAAGGTCACATTTATTTTGTCCCCTCGAAACCCTATAACTTTTGTTTGAAACATTTTTCTAGAATGCACGGTTTTCGATATCAAAGTTTCATAAATTTGAAATGCTAACTGTTTTACGTACCTTACAATGACTGCATTCAAACAATATTTCGTAAAATTCCAGGAATGTCAGTTTGTATTTGAAAGTTTTTGGCTTCTCAACCATAGGACATACTTTATGGACGCATTTCACTATTGTTGTCCGTCCTAGATCTCTAAAGGTATACAAACTTCTGTAGAATTCGTCAGTCTCCTTGGTTCTCTTCGGACTCTGGCACCTGTCTAGATTGAACCACAAATCATTGGTATCTTCTAAAATTAATGCCTGCTCTAAGAAAATAATATCGTATATTGTAGAACCACTCCACCTTTCTACTATCATTGTCAGATGCAATCCGTGTGATCTCCTTCGTTTCTATTATGTACTACCATTGATTAATGTATTCTACCTGAAGATAGCAAAATAAATACTGTAGCGCCCTTGTATAACTGGAACTCTGAGTACCCGCGAGACACTCTCCAGATTTGAACTATGCCGCCGTGTATCAAGGGCATTCCTTGCACCCAGAATACGTGAGTGTTCGCGGCGGCATCGGCATCGGGAAGTATCTACAACCATGAGATGAATCGATCGACATCTAGGGAACTTTGATAAGGCGCGGAATTGCTCTGGAATTATATATGGAAGCTATAGTCCAGTAGACATGATAATATATTTGTCATAAATGAGTTGCAAGTATTGTGATAAATTATTGTAATAGTAATAAATTAGCTTTATACAGAGAACACGGTGTTTTCGTTACAATACTATATTCTAGCGTTTAAAAAATTATCCGAGAGAAAAATCTACTCTGAAAAGGTTAGTGTCACATAGATGATGCTATAGCCAAATTTATGCTAAATGCTGATGTAGTTGACTGTAGTTCCATTTATGAGACACTAACCTTTCCAAAGTAGGTTTCCAATTAGTGCGAAGCGAAGAAAAATAATTGTGACAATTTCTCATAGATGAAGCTACGGTATCACATTTAATTTCGGATATATTTTTGGACGAGGTTGGCTATCTTCAGGTATAGTACGTTAGTCAATGGTACTAGTTATCATTCAATTGTAATAACTATACTATTCGTCATTTGTTTGTCTGGTCGGTCAGTAGGACCTTTACCCATAAGTCATCACTGTCGAATGAACGTTAGTTGAATCTGTCAGTCCTGGTTTCCCAGAAACCAGGCAACGTCAAGGAAAAAAAAAGAAAGGGAAAGAGGAGAAAAGAGGAGAAGAGTAAAGAAAAACGGAAGTGTATTAGCTTTAGAGGAAACACCTAGGCTTTTTGACTTGATACAGGTACGGATTAATTTCGAGGTGAACTAAAAAGAAAATTTGATTCAGGTTCTGTTAGACTGTAATTTTGAGTTTACTAAAAGTGTGTAATCCACCTAGTCACGCAACAAAGTGTTGTTGTGCGATTCCGATTGACTATAACGTCGCCGCGCCTTGACATAATCCCTCAAGTAAAGAATGTCAAGCTCTCTGAGTAGTGTCTCATTAGAGACATACCGTGGAGCGTTGCAAATTGTTCGTACAGTTCTGCTTTGCTACATAACAAACGATATAGTTGCCGAAACGCAATTTGGCATTTTGTTTCAATGTTGCTGTGTTTCTGCCAGGTCATGCCTTTATCAAGGGTTATACCGATACTTGGCAGACTTTGTCCATGGTATACAATTTCCGTCTACAGAAACCTCAGTGACGTTTTTAGAAGTACTTCGTCCACCACACTATGCAACCCAGCGTGAACCAGATCACCATTATACGACTTGGCGACAAGTGCGGTGTCGTCAGCGTAGATGTAGACCTCACAGTTGCTGGGGCAAGGGATGTCGTGGATAAAAAGCGAGTAAATGATTTCTCTTAGGACCCAGCCCTGATGAACACCATCCCGTACTGGCCGTATTGTTGGCAAAACATTGTTAATTTTGATCCGGAACTTCCTTCCTCCAAGGAAGGGTTTCAGTAATCCAAGCCAAAAAGGAGAACCCTTTTCATTCAAAAGCAAGATACCAGTACTCATGCTGAGGGTGAATCCTCTGGTCACGTGTTCCACCAGTATGACTGCCTGTAGCGCGGTACTATGCTCGGATAGAAAGCCGAATTGAACGTCAGCAATCACATGGTGATTTGACCAAAAATTCTCAAGGTGACCATACATCACGTTTTCGGTGAGCTTAGAAGGAGCTGACAGCAGACTAATGGGAGGGTAATCCTGAGGAAATATCTAACCCACCTTCTTTGGAATCATGATGTCCTCAGCAGTCTTCTACTCAGCAGGTAAGTACTGGATTCTGAGCATCGCATTGATTATTGTCACCAAATATGTCAGAGCTTTCGGCGAGAGCACCATCAACGCCTTGTTGGATTTGTAATAACTGTGTGTTGCTTAAACGTCAAAAATGTGCTATTGATGTGATGTATTCGACTTAATGTAACATCTGCTTCCATAATGGCAGTAGCGGAAGCCATGCATAGCCTCCAGTCTAGTCTAAGCTATACATTTTATCATTTCAGACAAATGACGGTCGTTGTGCCATTCCCCCATACGCCTTGCGTAGACAAGTGCAAATTATTGCAATTAGACCGCTATCATCGCTTTACCTTTGTAAGACCGATTTGTTCCCAAACCGATTTGAACAATATATACGCGGAATTTTCGTTTGCTCATTTTTCCATCTAGTGACTCTATTATTCACCTTTCTCAATAATCTTCTCCAAAGGTGTACACCTCACGCCAACATAGCTTGGTTTCTCCCCCAATAGTGTAGCATTAAATCCATCCTTGATCGGATCACATTCTGGTTGGATGCCTATATAGCATGGTATTTGAACGCCTTCATTTGGACATGACGAATTGAGGAACATGTTGACGGTGTGAGGTTCGCCCAATGATAAATAAAGGTTGTAAGCACCATCTAGCGGCAATACATCCTTATATCTCGTTAAAGCAACACCTGAAAAAATAATCTTATTTTCGTTTGTCATTTTTTATAATCCCAAATCAAACTAGAAGTGCATTTGACCTTGCAAAAAGGCCCCTATTTCCTCTGACCTGAAAGAACGGAAAACGTTGTCGACTATCATACAGGTATACGATCCGTTAATGAGATGGGGCACTGACGGAACTAAGACTCAACTTTACTATCCGGGGCGCAAAATTTGCGCATAGGCTACAAATTCGACCAATCAGAAGGCATATTAGAAGTAATGGATGTAATGAATACGAGTTGTGTTCGAAAAATATCCAACCTGCGTCATATCCCTTCATTGGTGCTAATTTTCGACATCCGGGCGTGGCATCCTTCGGAATCGGCCCCATTTGATTGAACCACACGCTCCAGCGGTGCTTTCACATATAAAAGCAGTCCTCGAAATCAGATTTTAGTATGGCCTTCAGCTCGCGCTTCGCAGATCTCTGAATCGTCTTGCTGTTATGGAATCGCTTCCATTTGAGCGCCAATTTCAATTTTGGGAATATTCAAAAGTCACAGGGAGCTATGTCGGGACTGTACGGGGGCTCGCGAAGCAGTACAATTTTTGTTGCGCAAAAATCGCTGCATATGGTTCGTTGAATGCGTTGGAGCGTTATTGTGGTGAAGAAGCCAGTCACCGCTTGAACAGAAACGTTTTCTTCTCACGGCATCACGCAAGCTTTTCAGAACTTCAACGTAATACTATTTGTTGATCGTCTGACCTCTTGGAACTAATTCGTAGGGCTAAAATCGAAAAAAATAATTAGTTTTGACTTGACATGGCTCCGACATTAACGTGCTATTTTTGGCCTTGGCTCGTCTGGCCGCTCCCACTGTGAAGATTGTTGTTTAGTTTCAGGATCGCAACCATAAACCCATGCATCATCAGTAATAACCTTCTTAAGGACGTTTTCATCATCGCTGACCATTTCCAAGTTATGCTGGGCGATTTCAGGGCGAAGGTCTTTCTGCTTGGACGTGAGCAATTTTGGAACGACTTTCGCACACACGCTTTACTCTCAAAATCTTATTCGAAAATTTCCAATCAGTAGATAGTTTTCGGTATTTCGAGATCATTTTTCAGTTCACGAACCTTCAATCGCAGGTCGCACACGCTCGATGCTTTCCAGTGTCGTTGTCAGCGAAGCTCGGTCAGGATGAGGGTTATTGTCAACATATGTGCGGCCACTTTTAAACCGCCTTTATCTATGCTCTATCCATACTTCCGTCCCCAAGAGCCTTCTGTATCATTTCAATAGTCTCCGTGCAACTCTTGCCGAGACCGAAGCAAAACTTGATGAAAACTTGTTGATCTATTATTTCCGTCATTTTCAAGAGTAAAGAAATGCGACGAACGAAAAAACACGTCAAACATAAACACACGCTGCTCGCGACTCAAGGCGTCATCCCAGTAACTACGGCATTCAGGGATTACTACTGGTTACTCGCATACCCCCGCAAAGGCTGCTCGAGCGCCTGGCGTGAAGATTGAACGCTTGTCGGATTCTTTTCGGACACACCTCGTATAGTCGATTTATTCTAAAATATTTCTCAAACTAGAGAAAAATTATACGATCTGTTGACTTATTTACCTACGTCGATCTCTCTGGTGTGGCTTCCTGATTAGGTGGCCTTGCATTGGAACAGAGACAACTAAGGCCAAACTCAATAAAATTCAGCGTTTGGCTGGTACCAGCGGCAGTTCGGACAACGTTATTGAGTGAAATGGAAGCTCTGCTGGATCTAGTGATCCGCAGAGAGGCGATAGTAGTAGCACAACGACTGTGGAGTCAGGATAGCTGGGCATTTTTAAATCCTGTCAAGGGTCACACTGCTATATTGGTAGTACTGCAAAGGGAGGATTCTGTTTTTCCGAGCAGAGGTGATCTGATTACCCTAAATGTAGCTTTAGCCGCAAGTGTAATGTGGAGCATCCATCGAGGACGGAGTTGGACTCCGGGATCCGAAAGGTCTCCGAAAGGAGTGAGCAGGGGCTCCGTCACTGAAGAGAGCTCTGCCTCTCGGTGGATACACCACTATTTTCCAGGCGGAAATATTTGCGATTATGGCTTGCGTATCCTGCATTCTGGAGGGGGAAGTATCTAGGAGAAAAATAACAATGTTCTCCGACAGCTTAACTGGGATGAAGGCACTATGTGCCTGCAAGATTACTTCGACCTTTGTATGGCAATGCAGAGAGGCTCTTTTGCTTATCTTTGGATAGAGCCAACCTAAGGCTGCTGGTGAGGCTGGTGTCCAATGTTGCCAGGTTCAAAAAATTAAAATCACTAAATATTTTGCTAAAAAACCACTAGATTGAATAAAAAATCACTAGATTTTTTATTTATATATTTTTTTATATAGGTATAGGGGTAAATAATAAAATAATAAAATGTTTTTTCAATTTTTTTAAGGCTTTACTTTTAAAAACAAACAACATAAACGTAGATTGGAACAGACACTTAAAAGAAACCATAAATATAAACAGACAAAAGTAATAAAACACCAAATATATTTGAAAGCTTAAAAACGTAACAATAAACATGAAATTAAATATAACTTACTTAAAACTACATTAGCCCAAACGAATTTAAAAAAGAATGACTTTATTTCGAGTACATATTATTATGTAAAAAGATTCTTAAAACACTCTTAAAACAAACAACAAAAACGTAAATTTGAACAGACTCTTAAAAGAAGCCACAAATACAAAACCATCAGACAAAAGTAACAAAACACCAAATATATTTCAAATCTTAAAAACGTAACAATAAAAACGAAATTAAATATAACTTATTTAAAACTACTTTGAAATAAACAAATTTAAAAAGAATGACATTCTTACGAGTATCCATGTCATGGATTTCCGCTGCTCCTGGAGCTTCATCGAATGCTTCAATTCTAAAATAATTCTCTAGAGCTCAATAATTCTACTTACAGCGGAGATCACTGACAGCCATCTGGTCGGTGATGAATGCAATAATTTGTGGGGTTTGATGTTAAAAATGTTTGAAATTCTTGAAATTCCAAAAATAATTTAAAACTGCGATGCATATAATTATATATGCTTTTTACCAACTTTTCTGCATCGTCTGGTACTTTTTTGCAACCAGAAGAGCTAAAGAGTGGCATATGCACTTCATGACATATAAATCCGGTATATCGTTAGTTAAAAGAGTTTTAAGCGAATGATGTGCTCCCATCATAGCATTTGCCCCATCTGCTGCAAATCCTACTAAATTATCTTTGTATGGTATTTTATTATCGAAAAAAAAAACTTATAATGACATTGTATAAATTTTGGGCTGAAGCGTCTTTAACTAAAATAAGGCCGAGCAAATTGTTATCGTACCGGACAACAATTGCTAAATGTTTTCCGATGACAAATTTGTCGATTCGTCAACCAATAATGAAAATTTATGGCAATTTAAGTCACCAATAAGATTTTCAAAACGTATTTTCTCTAAAACATTGTTTATGATTGCCGTACATTTAGTTTGGACTACATACATTTTTTTCGCTTGGCTACTCTATATTCCAGACAAGCAAACAGATTTTATAAGTTCGCGAAGATGATCTGACACATTTATTGCGATATTATACTCTGCAATTAAAGTTGTAATTTTAATTTCATTTTGTCTTACTATATTAGTAGAAGAAATTTGAAATTCTTTTTTTGACAAACTTGGCTGCTTAACCATAATATTTACATTTTTTATATGCTTTTTTGAATAACCATGTTTTTTTAAAGTTCCTATGCCGCCTAAATAATCATAATTGCAAACCTTGTAGTGGAAAAAATAGGTTCCACGGGAACTTGCCTGCACCTAGTTCTTAAAATTTTCATGCTGCTCCCACTAAGCCATATATTTTTGGGAATATATTTTTTCTTTTGAGGTTGGTTGGTTAATTCATTTGTTGAACTCGGTCTCGTTTCCTCGGATACTTCTTGAACTGAAGTAGACGCTTTGCTTGGACCTGGTTGTGGAAATAATGACCGAACTGCGTCATCTTTTTTCTTAATTACCAAAAATTTTTTCATCATTTTGGTATCTGATGACCTGAAAAACAAAAAAGGTTTTAGCCTTTATTACAAACTAATTTTTGTCTCAATTAGGTATAGATTAGCATTTTTTTATTGTTAACTTTATCTCATAAAATATTTTGTAAAATAATATGATTTAAAAAAAAATTCAAATATATACATACCTTGTGTCCCAGTTTGCTTGTAATTGCAGGGTATCTTGGATATTTTTAAAGATAGAACTTTACAGTTTTCAGGAACCTGTGCCACTTTTTTTTATAATAATTAATGAGGGGCATGCATACAAGGTGCTCATATTTTATTTCATACTCATATTAATGTTCATATTCAAAGTGCAAATACAGGGTGTTCCATGAAAAAAAATTAAGTTAGGGTCATAACTCTTGAACGACGCCTCTGATTTTTTTTCGAGCACGCCACTGAATACGCAGAAGAATCTATCTAAAGCAGTTTTCACCTTTTTTCTATCTTATACAGGGTGCGAGCTATGGCAGTGCCCTAAAAAGTGAAATTTTTCGTTTTCATCCTGTATTTCAGTGGCAAAACGAGTTAGCTTAATTTTGTTTGTAGCCTTATTAGTTTCATAAAAAGGTGGCATAGGTTCTCGAAAAACACAAAGTTCTGTATTTAAAAATAACTGAGATATCCTGCAATTACAAGCAAAATGGGACACCCTGTACTCACTAACTACAAAATATTTAAGCTAATAATACAGCGAATAATAATATGTATATAATAACTAATTTTTCTATAAAAACCAAATTTATTAGAATAATAATTTGACCTACCTTCCTTTTATTTTTCACTCACTTAAATTCAGTGGTTTGTGAAACGTACACGTAAAACGTATCACTAATGAAGACGTAAATCAATGAACAAAGTTACAGAATAATGAGTAATGCTCACTAAAGAATGAATATTATAAGAACGAAACAAACACCCGTTACGAAGCCTATATATAAAAATAAAGTGTGAATCCCCGAGAAACCTTATGTAAATCCCCGCGCCAAACAGGGTTGACCACTAGTCTAGATTCATTTCTTTGCATTTGCGGGGCTTCACATAAGCTTCTTTAGCAAACCTATGCGAATCCCCGCGCCGAACAGGGTTGACCACTCGTCTAGATTAATTTCTTTGCATTTTGCACAACATGCAAAACATAATGCGTTGCCTAACTTCTCACTAGAAATTTGCAACAGGTCAATATAAAATCAAGTCAACCGCCAATACTTTGTGCTGTTATGCAAAATGCAAAGAAATTAATGTAGACTCTAGTGATCTGCGGGTTAAAGACTATTTAAATCTTGTCGTCATACAACCTAACCAGAAAAGCCTGAGATACCTAATATAAAATAATTTGTTCTAATATTTTAATTTATTTGATATACTTTTTTGCTTAAAAGGATGCATTTCTATATTTTTTCATTCTATTTTTCATTTTTTTAAATCATTGGCAATATGCCATTTAACAAAAGTTTTCAGTAAATCACTAAACTTGTTCAAAAATCACTAGATCTAGTGAACTTTCACTAGACCTGGCAACATTGTCTGGCCAGAACACGTTGAGGCGCCACCTGGATGTGATGGGGTTGGCTGAGGTAGTGAAATAACTTCGAAAAATCATAATATAAATTTGTTGTCATCATGTTTCTGACTCGTGATTTTATCATCGACGTACGTCCATTGATTACTTCAGTACAATTTATGGTATGACGTTATAGTAATCTTTCGTGATTTTGACTATATTACATTTATTACTTTGAAAACGCCTTCTAATTGGGCGAAATTGCGCCGTAGATTAAGCGTAAATCTTGATTTAATAGTAAAATCGGGCCCACTATGCTATCAGCAGTGGCATACTAAGCAAATGTTTCGTAGACATTTAGGCCCGTATCGTCAGTCATCCCTACAATTGTAGGGCGCGTTTATGGCCTCCTTGATTGTCATACTCCTTTCTCTCCTTCAAAAATTTCTAGATTACACTTGTCCCGTATCAGTGTCAGCGCTCTCCTATTGTGAAGATATGTTTTCTTTTTAAATTGTAGGAAATTTCAGGCTGATAAAGCATGATATAACTTAAAAGCAAGCACAATTTAATGCAAATAGATGTTTGTGACATAACCTCAAAATAGAGCGCTGACACGGAGAAGTAGAAAACTATGACAATCAAGGAGGCCATAAAGGCGCCCTACAATTGTAGGGACGACTGACGATACGGGCCTTAATTATTTACTTAAGATTCAAGCTTATCTTACCTTTGATACTGTCACTATTGGGAGATATAACATATTCCAGGAACCTTTTGAATATTTGTGACACAAAGCCTGTCCCTAGCTCGTCGACAGAGGACCCAGGAGGCAACATGTCAGCCATGCTTATGCCAGCAGGATGGCATCTGTTTAGGTAATACTGCCAGGCGGCCACTACAAGACATTGGAGGAACTGCCAGAAGTAATATGCTCGAATGGGTAGTGGGGACCTAATGCAGTAACAAAAGAATGCCTTGTTCATAATTTATTTTCGTAATCAAATAGACTTGCCGCTGGCTGACAAATTGTCAGAGTAACATTCGGTACTCGTTATCCCAGATAGATCGACGGATTCGAATAGGTTGGAAGTCAAGCTTATATGTTTACAGGACATTATGTATCGTCAACAAAACGTATATTTGATGGATACTTTGACTAGATTGGCCTACCAAAGCCTATCAGTGCCGATCAAAGTGACAAACCAGTACATCGGCGTCAGAAAGGACGCATGTTTTTCGAATGGATACTACATCGAGTGGGCTGGTCCTGCGGCGGTGGGGAAGGGCGTGTTGGATAATGGGAGAAGTGCCGTTTCAGTTGGCAACATGGTTTGGAACGTTGAGCATCGTGTATTCACTGTACGTCGGTAGTTTTAAAATGGCGAGTCTGTCGTACGAACGCAACGTGAGTTTCGCGTTCACGTTCGTGAATCCAAGTTTGTCAACAACTGTTGCCAGGGGATTATGCACAACGTTTTAATTTTGCGCAACTCATGATTGAACAGTTGGATAACAATGACATGACGTTGTTTATGAGTGATGAAGCACATTTTCATTTACATCGATACGTCAATAAACAAAATTGTCGATATTGGTCTCCAGTGAACCCTCAACAGCTGCATGAGCATCCCCTGCATACCTCGAAAGTTAGTTTGTTGTGCGTAGGCCCAACGATGATTATTGGCCCTTATTTTTTGAGGATGATGGAGAAACAACTGATGTGAATTCAGAGGGTTACATCCACATGCTGAACAACTTTTTAGAACTTCTTCGGCAAAAATTCCCAGGACGTCTCATTTCACGTCATGGCGATATTCCATGGCCCACTCGCTCCCCGGACCTGTCAACGAGTGATTTTTGTTTATGGGGCTACCTACAATCAAAAGTTTACCAAAGTAAGCCTCGGACTCTCATCGATTTGAAGGATGAAATAAGAAGGGAAGTAACCCAAATTCCTGCACGCATGCTGGCCGACGCAATGGGCTCATTTCGGGAGAGGCTTGATTCCTGCATTTCGGCTCAAGGGCGCTATATGGCCGATATAGCTTTTAGAACGTATTTTTTTTTCTAAAAATGGCATGTATTTTGATATAATAAAATATTTTTTTCCCATACATATTTTGCCTGTACTACTCATTTAAAAAATATACGTTCTTTCTGACGGACCCTGTATGATGATATCCAGAGAGTTTGAGAAACAACAATAGTAAGAAAGATAATAATAACGTCAACAGCTGTAAATGGAATAAAGGTTGTGCTCTTGAAGTCAGAATCCAGCCCCAGGTACTGGGGAGAGCCGATGTTGTTAGATAGGCAATACTACCAATACTGCAGAGAAAGAATGTTTATGGATTAATTCAATGGACCTGTTTGTGGGAAGTGCAGAGTCAACTTGATGCTATTTGTTGCATATTTTTATATTAATACCTCGTCATCAACGTCATCGAAGCCAAAGTCAGTGAGAGTCACGACCACTGTTACAGAACACGCATATTGTCTCTACTTCCAATTTGTCCGCTTCAGACGTTATCCTTGGCATAGAACGACTGTTGTACATAGGTACTGACTACTTTTGAGGGAACATAGAATACTTACCATATTCGTAGCAACTGCAAGGATTTGCATACATGAAGTTGTCGTAATCAACGAGAGATACGAATTTTTGAATGTTGACGTCTCGTAACAACTGCCATAAGAATAGCCGCACCTATTTAGATACAATAAATATGAAATATTTCGGAAACCATGTATGTGTTTACATCTCGCAGGTCTCTTCACGAAATACTACCACGTAATACATGTTCAGTTCGGGAGCTTTCTTGAAGGCGGGTGTTTGATTGGATCATTTCAAAAACAGTACCAGTATTCTTGACTTGTTTTATTTTCTTATTTATGTGCTATATGCATCAAAACCATTTTTAATTGGTTATGGTCCTTATCCGCTTTGACCGAAATCATTTGTTTAAGGGTTTTCTTGTTTCCTACAACTATTGACTCAATCCTCCTCATTTGTATGACCGAAAAAAATCCTTAAATATATACTCAGTGACATTAGGAGTGTTACTCCAAAAAAAAGATAATTTCTTCAACTTGATTTTTTAGCAATGAGGTGCTCTTACATCAAAAATGAAACGATAACATTCTCACGAAATGTTAAAGACAAGTGATAAGGAAACAATCAATAATGTGTTGGGCGACCCCGCAGCTGAATGCATTCCTGTATACATCAGGACATCGACAAAATGAGATGCTCGATGTCTGGTTGTGGCACCTCATTCCAAGCAACTCGAACTTCTTGGACTAGCTGTGGCAGAGTCTGTGGCAAATGGTGCAAAGTGGATAGTCTCCTCCCCATCATATCCCACACATATTCGATGGGATGTAAATCCGGTGAACGGGGTGGCCACGACAAAACATTGACGCCTGCTTCTTGAAAAAAGGCCGTAGTACTACGAGGAATATGAAGACGTGCGTTGTCTTGCTGAACAAGGACGTGTGGACGGCCCTCTAGATACGGCACTAAAGTTTATTGTAGGACATCATCACCATAATGCGCAGCAGGCATATTGCCTTGAATAAAAAGAAGGGGTGATCGGCTACCATAGGGATTAGCCCACCAATCCATTGTGTTTGCTTTGTCCTGGTTTCCTCTAGCTACCTCAAAAATATTAAAACATGCAAAATTTAGACATCTAGTATATTAATAAGTCAATATTTAAATGTATTTCAATAACCAGCATGAAAACTATGAGTAACATGATGCTTTTGCTTAAGTTATATAGGTTGTTTCAGAACTAAGGGATCAAACTTCTAGGGGTTATTCAGTATAACAGTAGAAAACATTTGAGTTATAGGCGTTAAGATTTAGAACGACGATGAATTGCCTAAATAGGATTTAATGCATTTAATTTTTACCTTTTGTACGTTATATCATTACAACAATTGTTCAAAATGTCTTCCTCCAACCTGAATACACCGATTTAAACGTCGCACATGATTTCGGCGGACTTGACTAAACATTTTATACTCGTTTTGATTTCAAATGCTGCTGTAATTCGTCCAATTAAGCCTTGCTCTGTTTCTAGTGGCGTTTCGTAAACCTTTACATGTCCCCACAGGAAAAAATCTAGCGACGTTAAATCCGGTGACTTAGGAGACCAAGAAACTGCCCCACCTCTGGCAATCCAACCGTGCTTGTTCAATGGAACATTTTCAGGAAGTTCTGGAAGAATTTCCTCCAAGAAACGCCGGTAAATAGGTCCTGTTAACCGTTCCGGTAGTAGGTATGGCCCAATCAAATAATGATCAACAATGTCTGCCCATACGTTGACAGACCAACGTTGCTGATGTTTTCTAGGAAAAATTGCATGGCGATTTTCTTTGTCCCAAACGTGGCTATTCCTACTATTAAAAATACCGTCTCTTGTGAAAGAGGCTTCGTCGGTCCATAAAACATAGCGCAAAAAATTTGGTTGTGCAGCGATTTGAGGAAGAAGCCATTGACAAAATTGAACTCTAGGACGATAATCGGCTGCAGTTAATCCTTGAACTTTCTGGAAGTGGTACGGATAAAGTTGTTGCTCGTGTAGCACCCGCCAGACGGAAGCGTTACCCGTATTCATATCCTCAGCAATATGACATGTGATACTTGATGGTTCATCGGCAACTTGCTGAAGGACCTCTTCTTCAAATTCGACCGTTCTTACGGTTCGAGCAACACCAGTATCATGCATGTTGGTTTTAAACATGCCTGTCTCGGAGAGCCGCTGATGAATAGCAATAAACTTTTTGTATACCGGATGCTGTCGTTCGGGATAACGTTCTTGATACAACCGCGCTGCTGCTCGTGCATTGCAGCCTGTTGCCTGTTGTTCCGTATGTCAAATGCATATCCGCCAATTCTTGATTGTTAAAGTTTTCCATTAGCAACAATTAATTTTTGTTAAATTCTTGCAAACTTCACAAATATGATAGCACGACTAAGACGATATGGAATGCAGCTACAAAAAACAATCTCTGTTATGGTTTTTAAAGATAACAACACACGAGCGCCGGATATGGGTCCCTATACTCAAATGTTTTCTACTATTACACTGAATAACCCCTACAAGTTTGATCCCATAGTTATGAAATACCCTGTATACCAGTAACCCTATTTTTTTGCTAAAATAACGCAAATCCATAATATTTTCTGCAATGGCCGATTCAACTGAACGCAAAAGATTGTCTGTGGATTTGTCTGTTGGTCTGCCTATCGTTTTGTCTGTAGGTGTGTCTGTCGGTCAGTCTGTTTGTCGGTCTGTCTGTCTGTCGGTCGGTCTGTCTGTCTGCCAGTCTGTAGGTCTGTCTGTCTGTCGGTATGTCTGTCGGTCGGTCTGTCTGCCGGTCTGTCTGTTTGCCGGTATGTCCTTCCGCCTGTGTCCGTGCCCTGCTGCCGCGCCTGACGCGACGTCAGGGTACAGCACCGCCGCCGGCTATCGAGGAGAGTCGACGTTGCCAGATGGATGGTACATCGGTAGGGAAGAAAAATAATGTCTTTGGACTAATAATTGTATTGGCCTATTTGACTGACTTGATCCGTTTAATTTCGATATTACACATGTTCGTAACTACCTTTTTCCTCAGAGGCTCTGAGTTGTACGTACTGAAGACAATCCAATATGACCCGATGACGGCGTTGCGTGAGAAGTGCAGTGTCAACCTATTTGACGCCATTTTTACTTTGAATGTTCAACCAAAATTACTTTCAAACTTAATACAAAACGATTTACAAAAGAATTACTTCTCACCATGACTGGTTTGAAGTTCAAAGTCTGCCCCTCGTTGACGGCTATCGATGCGTATTTTTCATACAATGCCCGTAACTGAGGCAAATACACGGTTATCATGTTTTGCAACATTTTGGTCTCCCTGAATTTCTCTACTGGATAATCGTCCGTACCTCTTCTGTGCTGCACTCTGATACATCCCACGCTGATATCGCTGTCAGCGATGTTGCTGTCAAATAAACCATTCAATAACACAGCGAAACGGCCATTTTGGTGCCGGAGAGGTAAGAACTGAAATTGAGTAGTTATGACTGATTTCAACAACTGTAGTCTTTTAAGCCCGCCACTGACGATCTAACGCCGTAGTACGATTTTGCCAAATGCGGCAAAATCGCACGCAATTTGACCGTGTCTTTTGTTATCCAATCAAGTCGGTTCGATTTGACCGCAGTCAGTCTGCAGCAGTGCAACACTGTTGGTTGGATCGTTTATGTGATTGTGTATTACGACGTGCGATTCCATTGTATGATTTCTGTTCGTAACACACGTAAAAACAACCTAAATTTGCCACATTTTAATATTTCTCGGTCTACGTATATTTAAAAAATGGCTTACAATGAGGACATTTAAGAGAAGTTTTTGAATTATGTGTGTGTTTCAGTTTATTGTTGCATAACTTTAAGATTCGATAGAACTTTTAAAATTAATGCATAGAGTCTATATAAACATGGGTCGAAAAATGCGTGGTTTCCGAAATACAGGGTGTTTAAATTTACTTTCTAAAATAGTTTTTTTTAAATAATTCGAACAATATTTGATGTATAATAGTGAAAATTGGTATACAAGGGTTTTTTGGTACGACAAAACGAACCATGGGCAAGTTTTGAATTATGTGTGTGTTTCAGTTTATTGTTGCATAACTTTAAGATTCGATAGAACTTTTAAAATTAATGCATAAAGTCTATATAAACATGGGTCGAAAAATGCGTGGTTTCCGAAATACAGGGTGTTTAAATTTACTTTCTAAAATAGTTTTTTTAAATAATTCGAACAATATTTGATGTATAACAGTGAAAATTGGTATACAAGGGTTTTTGGTACGACAAAACGAACCATGGGCATAGTTTTACTGTAGCCGCTATAGGGCGCTCTCTACTGTACCTGTAGTGTATTAAAATGACCGAAAATTTTTTCTTAGTGCAATTTTTTGCTTTTTGAATAAAAAAAAATTATTCTTCGCACTTTTCAACATAAAAGAGAGCTTGTGAATTTTCGTTATAGTTAGTCGTTTTTGAGATATTTCGATTTTTAAGGTTCGATGCATTTTTAACAATTTATGATAAAATAACGTTAAAAAGTCAGTATCTCGATAATTTTTAGAAGTAGGCTGTGCCAGCAAACATTTTTGAAATTGAAAACAGAATAAGGTTAAACGTCAATTAGTTGACAGTTAGTTTTGTTGTCTGTTGAAACCTGAAACGTTTTTTTGCAATTGTGAATGCACGAAATTTAGTTTCTTTTACCTGTTTTTTTTTGTAAGTTTTATAAAAATGCCATTTTTATTCTCCAATCAACAGTTAGCGGATAGTCATTTTGTGTATGGCTTTGTAAATGGAAACGCAGCAGAAGCAGCCAGAGAATAGGCACGAAGATTTCCAAACAGACGACAGCCAACTCGCTCAGTATTTGTAAGAGTGCATCGCCAATTAATTGAAAATGGTTTTGGAAATCTCCAAAGGGATCAAAACATAAATGTTCGTCAGAGCAGATTTACCCGTATGATTCTGCGTGAGTTTAATAGAGATCCGACCACAAGTGTTAGGAGAGTTTCAGGTGCCTTGGTAATTTCAGCAAGCCATGTTCATCGTGTTCTTAGAAATGACCATAGACGTCCTTACCATTTGCAACCTGTGCAAGGACTATAGCCAGGGGACAGAGAATGAAGAATCACATTTTGTCAGTGGATTCTTGATAGAACTGATAATAATAGCGAGTTTTTAAGTAACGTATTATGGACCGATGAGTCATGGTTCACTAGATGTGGAGTGGTAAATTTTCATAATCAACATATTTGGTCGCATGAAAATCCGCATGCAGTTGGGGAAAGAAATTTTCAGCATGAATTTAGTATGAACTTGTGGATTGGTATCTACCGTAATCGACTATTTGGACCCTACCTTTTGCCTGCAGGTTAAATGCTGCGACCCTTCTTGGAATTTTTAAAGGCTGAACATGCAAATATGTGGGATGATGTTATGTTAGATTTAAGAAGATTGGCCTGGTTCCAGCTTGATGGTTGTCCAGCTCATTATTCGAGAATAGTTAGAAACTGGCTGGACGAAAATTATCCAGAAAGATGGATCGGCCGTGGAGGACCAGTCGCCTGGCCTCCACGATCCCCTGACCTAAATCCATTAGATTTCTTTGTGTGGGGATTTCTAAAAGAAAAAGTGTACCAGACTCCCGTAACCACACGAGATATGCTAATAGACAGAATCAGGAATGCATGTGATAAAATAAGGCCTTATTTGAATAATGCTATACCACGTTCGATCATTCGTAGATGTGAAGTGTGTATTGAACAATTGGGTTTACATTTCGAGCAACTACTTTAGATTTTGTATGTTTGTCCTAACTATCCAATAGCATTTTAGTTGTAAATAATTAATTCAATTTGTTAAAAATAATATTGGAAAATTAAACAAATTAATATTCAGATTTTTGTGTTTATTTAGAGTTAAGATTTATTGCTGCGTTTAAAAACACAATCTAAACGATCATCTTAATTACTTGTAATGCCCAAATCGAAAATGTAAAAAAAATATTATTTTCCCATAAATAATTAAAAATGCATCGAACCTTAAAAATCGAAATATCTCAAAAACGGCTAACATTAACGAAAACTCACAGGAGAGCTTTTTTATGTTGAAAAGTGCGAAGAATCAGTTTTTTTATTCAAAAAGCAAAAAATTGCACTAAGAAAAATTTTTCCGTCATTTTAATACGCTACAGGTACAGTAGAGAGCGCCCTCTAGCGGCTACAGTAAAACTATGCCCATGGTTCGTTTTGTCGTACCAAAAAAACCCTTGTATACCAATTTCACTATTATACATCAAATATTGTTCGAAATATTTAAAAAAAACTATTTTAGAAAGTAAATTTAAACACCCTGTATTTCGGAAGCCACGCATTTTTCGACCCATGTTTATATAGACTTTATGCATTAATTTTCAAAGTTCTATCGAATCTCAAAGTTATGCAACAATAAACTGAAACACCCTGTATAAAGAGCAAGAATGATTTTGGAAAATAAAATCGCCGTATGCCGTTAAAGAAACCAATTTTTACACCACTATCTACGTTTCTTATTTTTCCTTTTACTTTTAGTAATAGAAAATGCAAGAGCCGCTAAAACTAGATTTTCATCGGCCATGTTTCAAGACAAAACTCATACTGCAAGATCGTTACGTGTGTGTCCTTATCCAATTTTAGACAAAATCGTACAGAGGCGTTGGATCGTGAGTGGCGGGCTTGAGATATTAGCGTGTTAATATTTTATTATTCGTTACATTTAAGAACTGTTTCAAGATATGTTGATTTATTGAAGGTATATTATTGAGTCTAGACTTCGCTTTGGCATTCGCTTGTGGGATACCTCATTCCACGCAGTGGTTATATCTCAAGAAAATATTGTGAAAAATTTAGCAAATGTATGTAACCACCACTCAAGTAGAGAGTTGTTTACAGTGATATGCATACGCACTATACCAGGATAAATAAGATTTACCTATTTCTAACTATAAATTCAGTCAAACTTCACCAAATTACTTGGGTATAAACATTTTCAATAATCTTCCAGATACGTCACAAACGTGAAGTGCTTTAAACAAAATTTGAGAAGGTTTTTGATTGATCAGAGTTTTTACAGTATATCGTATATACAGTGTATAAACGTTATGATATTCATTATTTAAATGGGTGATACAGGGGATTAAAAGAAGCAAAAAGTTTCATATAACATGGGGGTTAAAACGGCATTTTTTTAGAGAAAAGCGACTTTAAAGTAAAATAAAATCTGATAACGCCACAATGCCAGATGCAAATTACGACGGAACGCAGTGTAAATAAAGATTGAGTTTGTTATTTTTGGATCTTAGCTATTATTTCATTATTTGATAATGTACTCCTAAAATGCAAACAATTAAAAAAACGGACTTACCACTAACTGTCTCAGCGCTTCACCTGGAGTGTGAAAGTTTATTGAACGTATTAAAAAAATCCACTTATAAATACAGAACACAATTTTGATACATACATTGTTTTTCTTTTTAAAACCCACACTGCACTTTTTTTGTATCTAAAGAGGGTGTTCAAAATGTCGTCCTCCACTTTCCACACAAGCTTCATTACGACCTTCATGAATGGTATGAGGATTTTCTTGGGCCCACGTGTGAGTATGGAAATTTAATATCGCGTCTCGCGTAAAAGTACATTCGTCCGTCGCTAGAATGTTTTGAAAAAAATCCGGATTTTCAATGTTTTCTGTGCAAAAACTACTGACAGAATGTTAGTCTGCGAGGATAGTCTTCTGGTAACAAGGCCTGCACTCGTTGTACATGCTAGGGATAAATCAAATTTTTTCCGTAGGATTCTATGGACTATGGTATACGATAGTCCTACGCGGCGACCTAATTCCCGAGTGCTGATATCTGCATTGATTTCCACGATATTTAAAATTTGTTCCTCCTGTTCTACAGTAACCTGTCTTTCACGAGTGCGAATGTTAGTGGGCTGAACACTTCCTGTATCTCGAAGTCTTTGGTACACTTGCACAAATGTCCTTCTGTCTGGGTGTACCCGTTGGCGAAATCTGTGGCGATAAATTTGAGCTGCAAGATTTGAATTCTGACCAGCTTCACCGTAAACTAACAACATGTCGGCGAACTGTTGATTCGAGAACACTGTAAATAAACACGACGATGTACGCGAACAAAAACAAAACAACATACTCACCACTGTTACCGTTTGCGATCGATTGCTGGTTCGATAACAGTGATGTTGACCGACGCGCTGTTGTCATGTCTGTTTTAAATATTCAATTTGATGAAACTTACTGACTACAAATTTTGGATTAACTAAGAAAAACTTAGTGCCATTTATTTGTTAATTACCCAATTTAAAAACGTTTCAGATTAGATTATAAAAATTAGTAAGATTGTGGTGATTGTGGTCGATATAAGGCACTTAAAGTTGTAAACTGTAAAGCCATTTAGACAAAAATCTATTGACTTTTGGACCATGGGTCATATGAACTTTTTGACTTGTTTTGACCCCCCCCTATTACCCATTTCAATAATGACTACCATAACGTTTATACCCTGTATATTTTTATATGAAGTTCTTTTCTTCTAGGACTTTTTAGTGCTTTAATTGTAAAACATTTGTTTTATTGTCATCTGACTTGTTTAACTGTTATTTTGTCCCTGATTTGATGTTTTTACTGACCATGTTTTTTATAATACACAGGTAAATAAAGGAATTTTAATTTGAATTTGAGAAAGTATATGCCATTTCCGGTCCCTATAAACAATACGCCAAAACAAAAACTTTAATGCTGCGACGTTTCAACATAGAGTTATACTGTAGTATCTCTCGAAGCAACCTATTTATTTTTAATTACATGTAATTGACTTATCAATAATGTTTATTAAATGGTGAATGGGCTTATATCTTAATCACGAAGACGCATGCATTAAGGCAGTGGTCGCCAACCTTTTCAGTGTGTTGAGCTACTTTGATAATTTTGGAATAAACCGTGAGCTACCTAGTAGTAAGCAATGTAAGCCAACTTAAATGAAATTATGCACAGTTGTATGCGACACAATACATGTGTTTATCTTACTAATACTAATCCATACTAATAAATTTATAACTAATACTAAGGACTAGATAACTAAATCCATTCCTACCAATTGTAGGTGTTTGAAAAATAAACAAAATTTGTCGACAGCTACAATGGCATGTCACATAATGATTTAATAACGGTAACTAAAAATAGAAAAAACAACACACTGTTTTAGATAAAAACACATCCTGTTAAAAAATGCGCGTTCAGATAATTTTTTTAATGTTTGGAGTGTAATTTGATTACCGCCATTCGAATACATTTATCCAAATGTTCATCTATGAGTCGATTACGGTTTTTGTTTTTAATAAACTTTATATTTGAAAAAGAAGATTCACACAAATAGGTTAAACTAAATAACGCTTTCACTATCAGGGCAATATGACATAAAACTGGATATATATCTTTTTTTAGTGAAGGCCAGATACATTTTGTGTTTGAGACTAATAGTTTTAAAGCTAAGTCATTTGAAACGCAATCACTTCCATTTCTATCGCAGCGATGCCTTTCCATGAAATTGCGCCACTATAGCAATTTCGTGAAATCCATGAAACAGTTTTTAAAGTTATCCTTCAAGTTAGAGACAATTTCTACATGATAGTTACTATCATATGGTTCTAACGGACTTTGAGATATCTTTTATGAAAGAACAGGAAGATGCCTGGTATTGCCATCGATTAAGTTCTGTTCCCAAAACTCAAGCTTTTTGATAAACGCTTTTATATCAGAAGTCATTTCTGCTTGTTCTTTGTCTCTCCCCTGAAACTGCAAATAAAGTTCATTTAATTTTTCGGTAATATCCACAAGAAAACCAAAATCTCTAAGCCAGATTGAATTCTCCAGTTCCGGAATCGGTTCATCACGTTGAACTATGTTAGATATGATATCATTAATACGTTTCAGCACTCGTCCCCTACTTAGCCATCGGACCTCAGAGTGGAGCAGCAGTTCCCCGTATTGACAGTCAATTTCATCGGCCAAGGTTTTTAATAATTTTCCTTATAACGCTTGAGCTCTAATCTTGTTCACAATTTTTACTACCAGTTTCATAACGTTGTTTGGTTTTAGAAAATGTCCACATAATGCTTGCTGATGGATAATGCAGTGGAATCAGATAAATTGTGGAAGACTTTCATCTTTACGGTATAACCCCACGAGAACCTTGATCACGACGCACCATAGTTGGAGCGCCATCGGTTGACAAGCCTACTATTTTCCATATTGGAATTTTCTCAGACGAAGTAATATTTTTAAAAGCAGAAAACAAGTCCTGTCCAGTAGTCTGTCCTTTTAGTGGAATAAACTTCAAAAGATCTTCTTTAATCGTAAAATCACTAAAAACCATCCTGATGAACTCGGCCATCTGAGAGGTGTAAACGACATTCTGTCGATTCATCCAGCTGCAGTTATCGAAGTCATTTCTTAACTGTAAAACTATATTGCTCATTACTTCTACTCGTCTCATCACTGTATTAACAGAAAGTTACATAGATTATATAGCATACACTATCTCGTCTTTATTTCTAAAGTTGGCAAATGATGAATCTGCAGCTGCTAAAATCACTTCCCCGTCTTTATAAGGTTTCTTCTTTTGTGTAATTATCTGGGACACCCGGTATGATGCTTCAGTTGCAGTCCTACTTTTGCCGATTGTTTTTAAAAACTTTGCCTGTTGTCCAATTAACTGATTTTTCACTTGTATCAGTTTTCCCGTTCTGGTTGCAGAACGTAATGGAAGGTTTTTTTGAAAATTTGAATGTACAGTTCTATAGTGCTTCTCGATATTCCCAACGGAAACAGATGTATTACATAACAAACATACATTTTTACCTTTAACTTCTGTAAAGAAATATTGTTCTTCCCATTCCGAATGGAAATGGTATGTCTTCATCTTCTTACTACTGCTCATAATGTTTTTAATTGCAGGCCAACTCTAACCCAACCGTTCGGTTTTAAACTGAGCGCACTGTCGCCGTGCCTTGAGTATTTGTTCCATTCAAAGTAATCGAGATCGTTATCGAACAGATCGCTCACCGCAGTGTTACCGCTGCTTGTGTTTTTTATGAGAATTTACAAAATTCACGGAAGCTTCTTTGATTTTTACGCCTTTTTAAAATATGTCGTGAGCCACCAGAATTGCCTTTGCAAGCTACCGGTAGCTCGCGATGGACGGGTTGCTTTAAGGTATAAGCTCATATACCATTTGATAAACACCATTGCCCTGATGTCATTTGTAATCAATAACAAGAGGTTTACAATTTTAATACTCTCTAAAATGGTTTAGGACTTTGTTAGTGGATACTTGAAAGATATTAGGAACTTAAGCTTAAGATTGAATATTTTGCAACTTTTTAAATAATAAATCCTATTATATCTCGAAAACTAAATACATTTTTGGTATCTGGAATATTTAAAATCAGCTGTTACTTCTTCGGCACCAAACATTTTCTCATTTTGTTCGGCAGTACAGGTATCCATGCTTTGTTAACTATATGTGTTCCCTCTTTCCTGTTGAAATTGTTATGCCCTTGAACATTTCAGTTCCCTCGAACTTTATCCTGCAGCTTATTTCCTTACGGGCATGTTCTGCTATTGCAGACTTTTCTGTGTGGCCTAACCGGAAGCTTGCTCTGTGTTCTAAAATTATTGTGTTTACAGATAGTTTCGTAGTTCATATAAACACTTCCGCAAGTGCACGGTGTACGGTAGACTCCCGATGTTTCCCGAGGCTCATTTCTGCTTTTGGCCGATTTCAAGTATTCTTGTCGGCTTATAGACAGTCTTGATATTTTCTATACCGGGAAGCCTTTCGATTCTGTCAGTTATTCTAGGTACATATGGTATAGGATTCTTTTCTCCTCTGTCGCTCTTCATCTGCTTTCTGGAATAACCGTTAGCTCTGAGCGCTTTCTTCAAATGTCCTAGCTCCGTTTCCAGTTCGATTGGTCCGCAGACTATTTTAGCTCGTTCTGTTAGAGTCCTGAGAAACCCGTATTTTTGAGATGGGTGGTCGATGTAGCCCGGTTTTCTGTATACAATATGCCTGAGGGTCGTTATTAAGGGCACATCAAGGAATATCTGTGTGTGATCCTCCATGGTGAACTTGATGTGGTGCACGCTGTTCAGGTGTGCAAGAAATTCGTCTAGTTTTTCTCGCCCGTACCTCCATACAATGAAAGTGTCACCATTCATATCTAAACCATACCTTATTGTACGTGCACATACAAGCCGGAATCAAGCGAGGCGTAGCGTTGCGAGCAAGGCGGAAAATACAAACTAATATAATTCAATGCGAGGGTGCATATTGGTGACGAGCCGTAGCGAGTCGTGACGAGTCTGCGGCGAGCGATCCTCTCCAAAACAAATCAGTTTGACTTTGAGCGTGAAAGATTGCGCATTAAATATGGTGGATATCAAAAAATTAATAAATGAGATATTTTTGCGAACCCCCATGGGATCAAACAATTGTGATGTAATATCGAAAATGTGCTAGGAAATAGCAGCTTCTTGTGGAATAATAAGTAAGTAGTAAACACATATTCACATATTGATATAATTTATTTATAAAACATTATATTGAAACGGTACAACTCCTTCATTATTGAAATATTACATAAAACAATTCCTTATATCCCTAGTTTGATCTGGAAAACTATTTTTCCTATTTTCCTTTAAATCTGCGTTTTCCTTTGTGACTTCTGTTAGGGCGATACCGTCTTTATCAATAATTATATTATGCAACACACAAATGCAATTAACAATTTTTTCGGCATTTTCTGGAGATGCTTCTGTTGCTTTTGTTAAAATACGCCATTTTGCAGCAAGGATTCCGAAGGCACATTCGATAACTGCGCAAGAGATAGATGATGTCACCGAAATTGAAGGGAATTCAGAAATAGAAGGCGAAACTTCAGCTACGGATCAAGAAACTCCGACCGTATCAAACAATAGTAGTTATACAAAAAGAACGAGGGTGCTGGGATTGACTATGAATTGCTAAATCTAGAAAAAAAGAAGATTCGAATCATCGAAACACAACTAGCTCAGTCAGAATATCCCAAAGTCAAAACCAAAAGATGATTTATATTACTTTTTAATGAGTATCCATAAACCTTTAAATGATCTCCCGATTGTTCGACAAATGTTTATTCGCGTTAAAATACGGGAATTACTTTATAGTCAACTTATCAGTGCAAACCAATATCAACAAAATATAACAAATGGTTTAAATGCTCAAAATTCTGCAGTTCACACATTCGTTCCCAGTCAAAGCCCTATCATCCATCATCTGTATCTTCCGTTTATTCAGATACGTCAGCTAGTAATAGTAATGATAATGACCTGTATTACAGTAGAATGTAATTACTCAGTAAGAGAAAAAATAAATTTTTTTTACACAGGTACACTAAGAACTAATTTTTTTCATAGTATACATAGTTAAGTTCGTGCTAGAATATGTTAGTACTGTAAGTATATGAAAAAACAGTAATGAAATATGTATGTCATTAACAGTATTTTCATTTCTGGATAAGTTTTATTATTCAGATATTTTCCATATTTACAATTGTAACAACAATTTGCTATGGTAATTATTTGAAGGATAAATTTACTGGTAGATGAAAATACCGACACTAAGTGGAAAATACTATAAATATACTCAGACAAATATATTGTTTTGTTTGTTTTAAATAGTTAACCTTTTTCTTTGAAATGTTTCTTTTTATTTCAAATTCCTTATGCTAGACTGCTTCTCGTATATAATAATTTATTACTAATAAAATAATGCTAAAGATGGACTAGCGTACCATAGAATAATAAACATAAAAGAGTTAATATAAAACATGCAATATTTTTCTCTTTGAGTAGGTAGGTTTAATATAATACGAACCTTAAGGTTAATGCTAGCTTCTCAATAGAACTGATGGCTTTTCGAAAATTTGTATTTTGTTTCTGGATACGCCTTTCTAATTTTCTTAAAATATAAGACAAAGTACTTTCATTCATTCGAAAATATCTGTACAAACATTTTGGAGTCTTCTTGTAAACTTTTATACAAATGAAAAAACTCTTCAAATCTTTCTCTCGATCGATTGATGTCGTGTGTCCAAAATCTTCTTTTCTTGGCTAAACGTCGTTTTATTAGAGGATTCTCTAATAATAATAATAATAATAATAATAACGTTGTGTCCATCGTGACTGTTCACTGACTACTCTGGGAGTGTAATAAAAATCCGCCTTTTCAAACGCGTTCAATATGCTCAGAAATTCTTAGCGTTTGGTCTCGCATCGCTACGTATTGCAACCACTCGCTGGCTTCCGCTGGTTTATAGTGGGCGCTATTTAGAGCTTCTACATTTTCCATTACGAAGTCGGCTACCACCGGGCATAAAGGGCTTCCCATTCCACCCTTCAATATGTTCGTATAATGTGTCCTTACAGGAGAAATATGTCGGAGTTAACACATACTTGAATAAGTTACTTATGTCTTCAGGAAATATTCTGAAGAAGATTGAATCGTTTGCACAATGGCCAGGCAAATCTCACACAGTTCATTCTTTATACGCAATTCTGCAACAAAGGACCCCGCACAAAATATATGGAAAATGGATCCCAGCCTACTTGACTAAAAACTGAACATGATATATTTCTAACTTTCTTGGGTTAAAGTTATTATGGGACCTAAGCAATCCTACAATTAGTTTCCGAGAAATTGCACGCGGAAGTTTGCTCGATTTGCAAAAATGGTGAATGTGCCTGTTGTAGTTCTCCCACCAAATGCTCAGAAATTTGTGATGCTGAAGAAATTATTTTATTTACAAACCGTTTAGGAACTTGTTGGGCTGTGTCATGTTGGTCTTGGCCACGGTCCTTACGAGGTTAAGCTTATTCTTATACGTTGACACTGAAATGAATCAGGCACGAGTGGTTCGAGAATTAAAAAAAAATTACTCAAGAGGACAATTCGCTTCAAAAGCGCACTAATGTGAACATATTGTACTCGTATTTATTGGCTATTAATTTGAATGTTTTGCTTTGGACTGCTTGCAGTTTATCGAACGGAGGAGGATAACGCGCTCCAAACTCATGACGAACTTACTAAAATAGCACATGAGCCTAGGGTTTTGGCGCCAGATTTACATCTGCAATAGTGCCCATTAATGTTTATTGCATAATCATCAGGTAAATCCTCGCCATTTCCATAAACTTGTCGAGATTTTGTCCGAAGTGGAGAATCAGAGGATTCTTAAAAATCCTTTGTTTTTGTACCTTCTTTTATCTTACGCTAGACCGACGTTTGCCTGTTGCACCGTAGCTGACAGCTGAAGCGCTAATGCAGCCTAAGAACCTCCGATAAATAATAATCGCAGAATGGTATCTATTAAGAGGACCAGTTATTTTGTATATCTTTCAGATGTTGTGCATGCTGCATTTACACGGTTTTCTCGAGGAACATAAAAATCAATCAACTTTATGTGCACATTCATCGTTTTTACAAATCGGCAAACTTCAACTCTCTATTTCTCGGAAACTAATCATACAATTGCCTTGATGCAAGACAACTTTTGTTCAGGATAGCTAGAAGTACATCATAATGAATTTTTAGACAAATAAACTGTGACCCATTTTCCACGTGTTTTGTGCGGGATCCTTTGTTTGCAATTTAGTTCTTATTTTTCAAGAATTAAAGTCCTGTCTGTCACAGAACAAATTTTAATAATTAATTTTGTTTAAATTAAGCGCATTCGGATAGAAAGACTAAAGTTTTGTTACTATAACTCTGAACTCTCACTTGACACAATGTCAAACATCTATTCTGAGTGCACTTTACGTTACGGTTTCAGTCAGATATTTTCTTTTCGAATTTGAAGTTAGCTCAGTGGCTTTCTTGGCTTTCCCCTATCACTGTTGCTATTGCTATTGCTTATTCCAAATCTAAACTCGGTTTCAAATGATTTGTGTTTCTAGCAGCTATTGTACAGTAAAAAGGGCAGCATACAAATTTATGTACTAAATATTGTTTGACACAATCCTTAATCTCGTCCGAAATTCACTTTACTAAATTCAGCACAAAATTTCGTAACGAAACAGACGGCCTTGAGTCGGACTAAAAAATCTTACCACTGACTCCAGCTGAAACTGTCCCGAAAACTGTGCAAATAGCGAAATATTTCGTTGATAAAGTATGCCATTTCAACGTTTTCAGATATACAGTGTATCGATATGTTCAGGGGACAGTAAATCTTCTTTCCTTCAGTTTGACTGTCTGTCAATTTTATGAATCTTGGCGATGAGAATCGCCGTTTTAACGGCGCTACCATTGCCATAACAATATTTTGCAGAATTTCGTTTGGAAAACTGGTCATGACAATCTGAAAATTATGTAAACAAATGCTTAGTCTTGCCGGAGATTCACAGAAAATAAGATATCACAAATATCAAACATGTCTAGCGGATGTAGCCAGGCCATGTTAGTAATATTGTCGGGTGATGCTGGCTACTCTGTTGTAGCGAGATCATGCAGTGAAAATATTGCCCATTTAGAAGCATAATAATGACGACAGATTTTTTAAGCTAGTTGTCGAAACGAATTCAGACTAGACAGAAGGAGCAATTATACGATTTGTTTGTCGGCAAAATTGTGTAGTCAGAATGCAAGTTCAAACTACAAGCCCAAACAACTAAATATTCGGACATTTTTAAATTTTGTGCAAATTGTTCTATAAAATAACACAACAAGATAGTAAGCTTGTACCGAAAACTTTTATTGGTAGTTAATTATACAAAATGTGACCTATTTTCGATAATAATATTTGTTTTTATTGATAAGTAATTTAAATTAACAAAAAAAAGACTAAACTTCTCAAAAATATGTGGCAACTAAATATTCGGACACTACAAAATGTAACTTAACGAATAAATTGTTACGTCGCCTTTTGCCTTAATTACCGCCTGAATTCTTGCAGGCATGGTCTTAACTAATGCTTGACAGTTTTCTTGTGTAAACGAATTCCAAATTTCTTGCAATTTCACACGCAGTTCAGTGATTGTTCTCTGAGGGTGGTTTCTCAAATGTTGTTTCATTTTGTGCCAGACCGTTTCTATCACATTTGAAGCGGGACTACTGGCTGGCCAAGAGAGGACATGTACGTCATGATCCCCAAACCATTGTTTTGTGCTTTTGGCAACAAGATCACTTGATATTTTGCGTATTGACTTGCCTTTTCAAAACTGCTGAATAATAATTTGCCTCATTTTCTGGTTAGTGACTACACCTCGCACCATTTTTGCATGAATATAAGTTACCAACAAGAAAAGACAATTAGATACTAATATCTGTTTATTATGCTTATCCATCAATATAAATTGATTGCCAAACATTTTTATGGGTCCACTTGTACAAAAAGTAAAGGTGTGCGAATATTTAGTTGTTTGGGCTCGTAGAATTCGATCAGGCTTAAGTCGCCACTAAGACAGTTGCTGAAATTTCACATTAAATCCGTTCTTTATGTATACAAAAGCGTTTGGGTTTTGTACAACCCAGGTTGCCGAAAAAGAATGGAGTTTTCTGTGGATTGCAATTAGTAGTTTAAACTGAATAAAAGCAAATCTTTTTATGGACAAGTATTACATATTAAAGTCATCGGCGTTGCCAGAGGGTATGTACCTCAACCTTGAGTTTTTGCCTGGAAAGTTAAGAGGTAATTTTTTTTATTTCATTTCACTCCTTGCTTCGTTGAGTTTGTTAACAGAACTACATACCTAACAATGTCATTGAAAAATGCAAAACATTGGAGCCAAACCAAATCTTTTTATGTATACCGAAAAGGGCCAACCAAAACTCAAATCCATTTAACCTAAGTGTGAGCATCACTAAAAATTTCAGTGATATTGGTTTGTAAGAGTGACTCTCGTAACGTCAATAATTGGGATATCTCTTGATTCCCTCTCATTAAACATTCTTTCCACCTCGAAACATATCCACGAATGTTGCTTATTTTTAGAGTATGTAAAGCCTTAATACTCAAATTCTGGTAATCGGTTATTATTAAATCTATCTTAGTTCCTGAAAAGTTTGTAATCCTTGTGTAATCATTAAATTTTTGCCTAGACCATGAAAGTTCAACACCTGTTTAAATTTTTTTACATAAAAATCTTGATTATCAAAACTTATATTGAAGTCTCCCAAGTGCACAGTGGAGCAAACACTCTCAAAAAAGTAAAAAAAAATGGATAATATTACAGCTTGGAGACCTGTAGTAAATGTGTACAATGTAATTTCGTTTCATTTTGATTTCAAAATTAATATACCACCATTAATAATCAACAACTACAGTATAATGTGTTTTTACTTCAACCATACTCAGTTTGTATATTAGTATGCCACCTGAATGTTTTGAAAGTGTGTTAACTCTCACAACATCATACTTATAAATATCAATCTCCATATATTTAATATCTTCTGCTCTTCAGCCAAGCAAAGAAACTAATGCACTGATATTAAAAAATCTATACCTTCATCCCTGTGCGATAAAAATCCTTGAATATTTATATGGTATACAAAGTTAGTACATGTTTTGTCACCACAAAAAAAATTATTTTTTGATTTTTCATATTTGATTTGGACCATGTTGCAGGTATAGTGGCAGCATGAGTGATTTATAACGAAATTTATATTGTACTTCAAATTTGATTCTCTGCAATTTGGAAATGTTATTTCATCTTTTGATATCGCACAGTTTTGGGGCCTGATGATCACGATTATAACATTTTAATTTTTCGCTGTATGGTGAAATCCGCCACAGGTAAAACACCTCAGAAGATCGTAATGCTCATAAATTGTACAAACATCCATGGATACAAACAAACTCCTGCTGGCTACTCTGTTGTAGCTAGATCATGGAAAAAATATTGCCCGTCTAAGCTATTTATCGAAACGAATTTGGTCTAGACAGAAGAAGCAAGTACATATATGATTTGTTTGTCAACAAAATTGTGTAGTCAGAATGCAAGTTCATACTAGAATTCGATCAGGCTTAAGTCGCCATTTAGACAGTTGTTGACATTTCACATTAAATTCGTTCTTTATACATACAACAATGGGAGGGTTCTATACAACCCAGGTTGCCTAAAATGGTGGAGGTTTCTGTGGATTGGAATTAGTAGTTTGAACTGTATAAGAGCAAATTTTTATGGACATGTACTCGTATTACATATTATAGTCATAGGCGTTGCGAGAGGACATGTACTTCAACCTTGGGTTTTTGCCTGGACAATTCATTTTACTTGATTAATTAATAGCAAATATCACTGATTTTATACACATGCAGACCAATACACATAATCACCCAGATGCGATCTTGCTATTCAACCAACTTTCTTCTCAGAGATAAAAACTACAGACCAGGACCATTTGGCCTCACAAAACTATGCAACCAATAATGCATGTAGCTTAGTTCAGTGATTCCTCCATAGATGGACGTTCACAACGATCCTAGTGAGCAAACGTGGAATGACTGCGTCCTAAAAACTACCTAGTCTGCAAGATGATCTTATAGGTTTTTTTGACGTTTTATAGGTTTTTTACATAATACCCGTGCGGGTTCCTTTTTCTTTATCCAATACTGATTTCAACTGAGACATTTAATATCTTGACTTCTATACCTTAGAATGAATGGCTGTCACAATTTCCGCAAAAGAATTATCGTATGTCTTCGGCAAGTTAATTTTCTTCGATAATTTCTCCTGTAACTTCCTAATTTGTTCTCTGTCTTTATGCGCCGGTTTGTCTTTCGTAAAGAGAGGACAATATTCCATGATTCTTCCATTACCGCAAGCTATTACTCCGGGGCCGTGTTTTCTATTGTTTTTCCATGTTCCTGCCAGTTTTGAACCACACTCAGTTCCGAAATATAGCAAACCTACCGGAACAAATATTTTCCGGGTTAGCACTCACAATGCCTGCATGAAAAGTGAAGTCAGGCGCAAAGCTGTTGATGAAATGTATCACATAGAAAAGGACGGAGACCATGGCATAGCCAGACCTGATCCCTAGGAACACCAACGATGACATTGTGGGTTGAAGAGGAAAACCCTCAGTGACGATGGATATCGTAAGACAAAAACACATTACGTGAACAAGTTATAGTCTAAAGAATCAGGAGTGACTGAGGTGACAGTAACAGATATGATGGGTGTTCAAAAAGTTCGGATAGGGCAAATAAGGTCGAAACGAAGCGCATACAAGGAATACTACCTAGGCGTGTGGGTAGGATTTTCCCAGGCCATCTGGTGGTGACCTTGATCTTCGAGGTCATTTCAAGGTCAATCCCATTTTTCAAGTGATACTCTATATTTTGTCACCGGAAACGTATTGAGCAGAAAATTTTACGGTAGAATAAGTTGTAGTCTCAAAAGATTGGCTGGTTATGATTAAGATCAAATATCTATTCGATCTTGACATTATTGATCGTCAATGCAATCTCAAGAACGAGTCGTTTTTTAAATGAGATACTATATTTTGACATGTGATGTCATGAAGAAGATCACCTTTGTGGTTGAAACCTTTACAGTACATAAGATTCTGTCTTTTACGTCAAGTCTCTTTGGGACTCATCCGATCGTAAAATTTTCCGCTTTATCAATTTCCGAAGTTAATATTTGGTAAATCATAAAAAAATCGACTTGTCCTTGAAATGGCTTTGATGGTAAGGTGAAAACCAAATTCAAGGTCAGCAACGGACATACAGTGTAACGCTTCCTTTCCGCAAAAAGTCCAGAAAAGATGGAATGCAATGAAGATTCCAACTTTTCTGCACAATCACAGAAAGGGGGTTACCATTAGCTTCCGGTAGCTCAGTCGGTAGCATGAAGACATCTACAGGCGTGTAGCTGTGTGTCGACCATGGCATGGCTAGAGGATAGAAGAACAAACAGAACACAAAAATTTAACAGATTTTATTTAACAAAAAAGCATTTCATTACATTACAATTTTAAAGTTTTAAAGAACAAATAAGTTTTAAAACTTTGGCGCTGCTATAAAACTATCAACTTATCTTTTCGCTGGTCCATTTTGACTGGACTGAAGCGAGGATGGCCAGGTGCTTGAAGTGGAGGTCCCAGTCATGAGGGGTGACCTCACATTTAGTGGCTTCAAAACCAGTTGTAGGCGAAGTTAAACTTGAAGGTGATGGCGCCGCCAAGGCACATGCATGGGTGAAGTGATAGGCCAAGCAATGCAAAGTCAAAGACAAAGGCAAAAGCAAAGTCAAAGACAAGCCAAAAGTCAAAGACAAAGGGAAAGGGAAAGAGAAAGGGGGTGGCCCCAATCATTTTGTCCTATTTAGACACACATTCTACAAACCGCTAGCACATGGTGCTATATGACCTCATGCTACAGAGAACAAAATTCTTAGCTCTTGTTCGATCGACGGCTCAAGTCAAAAGGAAGCGCGAGGAAGATCGCAGATCAGGAACTCCGCATCAAGCGCCCTCCAAGCGGAAATTTTTCCAAGTAAAAAAGCTAGAGATGGGATTAATGAAATGATAATCGAGAAGTGATTTAATAAATACGATCGGACGGTGAAACCGTTACAACAGGAAAAATCATAAGCCTGTACTTGGGCAGAATTTCTTTCACCAAGACTACCTTAGCGATTAGGTATTATTATTCTATTATACATATGACCTTGACCATGACCTTTACAGGTCAAAATTTTTCAAAGACCAAGTACTGATACAAGATCATGCCTGGATAGAATTTCTTGTACACTCATGCTTTTCGACAATGTTCACCGTAATCCGGAATTTTTGAGCGCACTAAATATTATAAATACAATACCATTTTTTAGGTAAGGGGATCTTCGTAGGTAAGTCTACATTACAGCTCGTGTGTTTATCGTTAAGAAACTTTGGAAAATATAAAAAATTTATGTACCTACACCATGTCTTGTTCCCATGAACCAACTGCCTCTGTATATGTTGTAGATTGGAAAAGTCAGTGTTTTATTTAGAAACATGTTCCAAGTGTATTCTCCGTATCCATGTGGCTTGTCATATTGCCACTCTCCTGTGTAATACTGGAATTATTGCATTACTTTTGAATTATTGTTATAATGAACACTATCAAGACACTAGGTAATAACCATGTTAAAAATTTTGATCACGCCAAGTGCGAGATTCGTTCCATAACTCGCTTTTTGCATGCCATACGTGGATATTCATAGTCAGTTTCACAGAGGTGTATGGCGACAACTGTATGTCCGTTCACTATATCAGAACGTGATGCAGGGACTTTAGTGCCTGTTGGATGGAAGTCCACGATGAAGAACGGAGTGGACGACTATCAGCTTCGAAGGGCGGTTATCGAGATGGTCCAATGCGAAGTGCTTCAAAACAGGAGGATCACCATCCGTTTGACTTGTTCCTCAGATTCTTGGGACTTCGCTTCGCTTCGCGTTGGACCTTCTCGATAACCACCTGCGTAGCTGCCCACTCCATTCTTCATCATTCCTTTGTGAACTGACGATGGATATCCATGGGTGGAGTCCTTTTGGAGTGCAGGAAGCGAATTATGGATCTAACCTCGCACTTGGGAACCGCTCTATTGGACGGCGGCTGAGTCAAGGATAAGCAGTTTGGCGAAGTGCGGCTGGGGGAATCGAGAGTTGGACAACAGTCGTGCGCAGTGTTGTTGCTGCAGTACGCCTTGCAACTTCCAGTGTGATTGGAGCTGTTGGAACCTTATTTCAGGATGAACACTCGTAACCAGTGGCGTAGCTACCTTGGATGGCCACCCGGTGCGGAAGTTGATGGTGTCACACCATCGAATGTCAAAATCAATAAATTTTATATGATTTATAAACGTCATGGACCTTTTAATATTCATATTTAAAGTATTGAACAAATAACAAAACAATAAAAATTAAGACAGAAAAAAATATGTTTATCTCACAATTGAAATCTCTTCTTTCTAGCTTTGACAGCTGCAGAATCAGAAATAACTTCATCAAAATTTATATTTTGGATTACCTCGTGTTCGATGACTAATATACCAGATTGCTAAGTCGCGATTGGGTCATTGTTGCCCGCAAATAATTTTTTACTAATTTTAGTTAACTGAAACTCCTTTCATATGAAACTACAGACACGCAAACCGTGATTAACAATTTTAGTGCAATCATAAGATGTAAGAGATTCTGTAAAATCTCTTTCTACAATAAACTTAAAAAAATCTAGAGATACCCAATCAGAAACTGGAACATTAGCGGCTTTTAAATGTCTTCGCAGTCTTGGTATCTCCAAAACTAATTCTTTTTCTGAGACCTCATCATAAAAATCAGTAAATGTGGATGTAACTAATAATTTCAGTTCTTCAGTATTGGCCAAAACCAAAGTATTTGTTTGTACGATCTCAAACAATGGTCTTGAAGAGACTTTGATCTTGTCTGGAGTTCAACTCCGAAAAAGTTGAGTCACCGGGTGAGTGACACCCGGTGCGGACCGCCCCCGCCGCCTCCTTTCTACTTACTGCTCGTAACTACGAAAAAGTAAAAGACTACACATAGGACTTACATCAGTATTTTCAAAGATCATGCTAACCCTTCCCGTGTTTAGCATTTTCTTGCCATTGGCCCTTATAGCGAGCTCCATTTTTGTATTTTCTGCATCCTACCCCCATGCATGTTATCCTTAAGCCAATCGCCTACGTAGTTGTTCGTTCATTTCATATTCTATCCATCCTTTTCCTGGAATGTAGGCGCATAAACTGGCGTCGAGTAGGTTGACTCATGCACATTCCATTGCAATGATGTCATAATTATATTACGCCTGTCACATATTGGCTTTTCTTATAACAAAGTAACTAAATAGATCAGGTCAGCCTAATAAGCCCATACAATCATTCCCCGGTGCCCACCCATTTGGTAACGTCGCCCCTACCGACCATCCACCGAGTGGTTAGCTCGCGGCAGGTTTTACCTATGTTATTTGCGGCGGGCAACTATACGAAGAAATCTATATGTAAAAGGTCTAATTATATTAATGGAAAAAAATTGAGACAATCTCTGCAACCCCATCCCAATTTTTGTATCCCTCGAAAAGTTTGAGCAAGATCTATATTTTTCATTTTTCTTTATCTAGCACTGGATATATGTTAATTATTATATTATTTCCAAAATCTGAGGTTTTTTAATCAATTTCCGAAGTTACTCTAGACAGCAAATCCTTCTAAGTGCTATTTCCTTAGCTACCTGAATGTGCAACTACACGTCCATTTAATCGACCTCGTACCTCTTACACTCGCAGAGATTCCCTATGGTAAGATTTGAGTTGAAATATCCGGTATATAAATGTTAAACATTTTTTTGGTTCAGGATTTTCACAGTTTGGCGTTAGTACTGCCTATAGACTAGGAGCGTCCACTAAGGTCGAGCTAATTTATTCAGACCAAAGGTTAATTTGCTAGAGAAAAATTGTTATTAATGTCATATAATATCATACTGTTCAATTATGTCTATTAGATTACGTACTAATGACCTGCTGGACTAACATTGAATTTGGTCTTGTAACCTACAGATAACTAAGGACTTTTTAAGATATATTTAAGATGGTAGATAACTCACAAATTATTGAGGAATCCCAGTTTAGGCTTAAATTCAGGCAGAATATTCAAAACTGTACAATTTCTTAAAAAATGTCGTAGTTACTAATCTCTTGGAAATAGTTTTTGTTTTTGATATTAAAATAATTTAGAAAACCATTATTTATTAGTTCACGAATACACAAATCACCGTCTAAAACATCATCATGCCCAGTAAAATCCATTTTTGAAACCTAAAAATGTATTACACGATATTTAACTTACAAAACTTGAATGCTTGAGTTAAACACAGTCCAAAAAATTTTATACGTTGTTTAAGTACTTGTACAATAGAAATCTTCAAATTAAACTAGGTTTCCGTCTAAACTAAGTTTAGATAGTATTGTCGCGTCATTTTTGTTTCATTGTCTGCTTTTTTACAAAATGTTGGAAACAAAAAGACATTATTTATTTTTTATTTTAGTTTTCTTCACCCAAGCCTTAATGATATTTGATAAAGACATTTACATATTACATAGAATTTGTTTTTACTTGAGAAATGATTCAGTAGTTATTGGATAAACCAAGGTTTTCAATTTTTATCAATTTGTGCAGTTATTCAAATAATACTACTTTTAATAAGAAAAGATCCGTTTTCGGTAGTGTGAAAACCAAACACAAGTAGTCAAAAGCATTGTATTCACAAATACTAGAAACAGTATTTGCTAGTCTTACCACATAACTGAAAATGCAAATTTCTCGAAATCTAGGACCCTCCACTAAGGTATGGTAATATACAGCGTGTTCCTTAATGATATGCGAATATTTAAGGGTGTGAATCTACATGAAAAATTAATGTTAGTTTACTCTATAAACTTTGGTCCAAAAATGTTTCTTTACAAAAACTCGGGGTGTTGAAATTTTAGGAAAAAAGTGGAAATTAATTAATATTTCAGAACCGCTTCAGATATTTCACTGATATTTAGTACGTAGTGAAAGTTGACAAAGCTACATATTTTTCAATGCAAAAATAATTTTTAGCTTCAACAGTGGCGTGCGTACGGGTATCGACTTCGATTTTTCTCAAAAAAAAGTGGTACGCCATTTATGAATTCCCCGTTCCTATTAAAACAAATGATCTCTCTTGAATTGTTTTCCTTCGATGCGCCATTTTTGAGTAAAAAAATAAAAACCGTTCTATTGTCCGAGAAAATTGATGTAATAATTGAAGAATGCAATTTAGCAATAAATATCTAGTTGCTCTGGAACATGTCACTGGCTTTTGACATCTGACAATTCTCTGTTATTCAAATCTGTTCGCTGTGACATCTTTTTCATTATTTAGTTTTTATAATCTTGTTAATAATGGTCAATTATTCAAATGCAGCCAGACGGATTTATCATCAGAGTTATCCCGATAGTGCTTTGCCAGATAGTCGATCCTTTTCTAATATTCATCGTCGTATTGTTGAAACTGGTTCTCTCCGAAAAGGAACATCTAAAGGTAGACCTCTAAGTATGAGAACACCCGAAATTGAGGAATCAGTGCTGTACGAAGTCGAAGAACATCCTGAAGCGAGCACGAGGCAGATCGCTATACACTTAAATATTTGCCACCAAATTGTTTGGAGAATCTTAGTGGATTTTTTGTTATATCCTTACCATATTTTAAGAATACAGACATTACTTCCCATTGTTTTTTCAAGGCGTGTGACCTTTTGTCAGTGGTATCTTCAAAAAATTACACAAAATCCGCAATTTAAATCAATGATTCTGTTCACGGACGAAGATAATCTTTCTCGAAATGCCATTCAGAATTTCTACAATAATCATTTGTGGGCAGAAGAAAATCCACATGACGTAACCGAAACAAATTTCCAATACCAATTTTCGGTTAACGTATGGACAGAAATTATTGGCAACCACTTTATTGGCCCATTCTTCTTGCCGCGACGACTTGACGGACAGACTCACCTCAATTTTCTTCAACAACAGTTGCCTTTGCTGCTTGATGATGTTCCGTTAGTAATAAGAAACAATATTTGGTACATGTATGATGCTGCACCAGCGCATTTCAGTGTAGCGGTTCGTAATTATTTACAAACTGTTTATCCAAATCGTTGGATTGGCCGCGGTGGGCCCCAAGAATGGCCACCAACGTCCCCAGACAACAACAGTTTAGATTTCTTTTTGTGGGGTTATCCTAAGACACTAGTACACAAGTCCCATTAACACTGTAGAGGAGTTAAGAGAAAGAATAATTGCAGCTTGTGATAGAATAAAAAACACTCCAGGGTTATTTCAACGAGTGCGCAATTTCATGATAAGCAGGGCGGAAGCATGCATACTAAGTGAAGGGGGCCATTTTCAACAATTTTTGTAATCATTTCGTTGGTTTTCATGTTATGTTTATGTTGCCAGTTGTTGTTGTTCACTACCCCTATGTGTTTAATTTTTCCAATTAAATTAATAATCATTCGGCAACTTAGACAATAGAACGGTTTTTATTTTTTTACTCAAAAATGGCGCATCGAAGAAAAATAATTCAAGAACGATCATTTGTTTTAAATTGAACGGGGAATTCAAAAATAATTTTTATTTCGCAAACAACCATTGCCGTACCATTTTTTTCTAAAAAAATATCGAAGTCAATACCCGTACGCACGCCACTGTTGAAGCTAAAAATTATTTTTGCATTGAAAAATATGCAGCTTTATCAACTTCCAGTACGTACTAAGTATCATTGAAGTGTCTGAAGCGGTTCTGAAAATATTAATTAATTTCCATTTTCTTCCTAAAATTTCAACACCCCGAGTTTTTGTAAAGAAATATTTTTGGACCATACTTTATAGAGCAAACTAACATTAATTTTTCATGTAGATTCACACCCTTATATTAAGGAACACCCTGTATAAAGCCCGAGGTCACACGATACAAATCATAGTTCTTGCTTCGCCATATTTAAAAATGGTCGCCAAGTTGTACAACAGTTGTTCGACACATCGTAGCCAGTGGGCCGATTTTAATTCTGTTCGGCTTGTTTTATTCTTTTCTTAAAAACAAACATGCCTTATGGTTGACCCAATGATTATTGAGATATGGCAGGGTCATCAATTCTTACCATTTGCGAAGGAATTTAAATAACACCGCATGTAAAATAATTCATTTTTGGTAAAGCTAAAGCCAATTTTGAATAGTAAAAAGTATTGTAAGTAATCGTATTAAACATTCCAAATATTCCAAGATGTGTACGCTGCCTATAAGACTATGTGTTAACAGTATGGTTACGAATACACCAATATGTGCTTTGGATTATTCTCTGTAAATTGATACATACAGAAGTATTTAAAAAAATGATCACGTGATGGGAAACGATGTTATAATGCAGCCATATTAAAAAATGGCGCCCAATTCGCAATACATTTGTCCAAGCGTATAACTCAATAATTACTGGATCATACCAAAAATGTACAATCATTAAATATATGTGCCTTCAAAAAAAGTGTAAAAGTAGCATCAAAAATCGGATTAGTGGTTACGAAGGCATGTTGGATAACCCATCTACACTTTGGTGGGCATTTTTGAATATGGTGGTCAAGCGATTATGATTTTGATCGCGTGACCTGATTTTTTATATATGCCAGTAGTTAAAGCTTCAAATTAAGTGCACATGTGAATTCGCACGTGACTTTAGTGGCTAGTTCTACACTTAGAGAGATTTGAAATGTTACTATATGTCAATTGTATGGTTAGATTGACGGAAAATGTCTTCTGTATTTGTAAAAATCAAGCGTTCAAAATTGGTTTCTACTCTACAAAAAAATGGACCATTTCCCCATTCAAATAACTGCACAAATTGATAAACATAACTACTGGATTACTAAAAAAATATGTTATCATAAAATATTTACATTGCTAGAAATGCCTTTAAAAAAGTCGGCCGATTGGTTACGAGGACATGTTGAATAACCGTTTTACTCACTAGTGGGGTTTTTGAGATATGACGGCCAAACGACCACGATTTGAATTGCGTGACCTATTTTTTACATTCTCCTATAATGTCCCGCATTCAAACTGAGAGGATAAGTACATAGGGTGTCCAAGATAAATATCCTCTGGGATACACACCTTAGGTTGAATTAAGAAAAATCTGGGCCCTTCGAGGCGTATTCACATGGCATTGAGAAACATAAATAAGATAAAAAAATTAAAAAACACATTTTTCTTCATAATTGAGAAAAATGAGATACATCGTAGGATTCGTTGAATAAATGCTATTAGCTACCTTTTTTGGACCATATAAAATATAAAGTTGATGACGGCATCTCAAAAACAAACCGTTGGGTACATAATTTAAAAACAATGGAGACGTTTCATTAGTCTCTTAAAATGAAGTCAGAAAAAAATAAAGATGATTTGGCCAAATTTTAGTTTTTCCCAAATATCTCAGTAAGCCATGAGATGTTTGCAAATTTCTCAACGGCATGTAAATACGCCCCAAAGAATGCGACGTTTGCCTAATTTAACCTAAGCTGTATCTCCCAAAGGTATTGAGATCTCCATGCACAGGATCCTTATCTTGAACACCATGTTCACGTTTCTTTAGTGGCTACCCCTAAGCTACTAGTGAAAAAGCCTTTTACGGCAGATTCACATAGCAATAAAGTAGCAGCCATACCATCCATTTAGGGTTGAAGTAAGCAGCAGAACCCTGGCAGGTACACCTGGTAGGCCTGAAACTTGTTGGCACCATTACTTACCGTGCCGTTTACCGCTCTTCCAGGATCCTTTATAAAACGTCAAGGAATTTGATAAATTCAAAACTCCGAAACCATGATAGTAGCCTTGGCAGACCTCGCCATCGTACCTGTTCAAGTCCGGCATGATCATTTTTCCCTTTCCAGAAGGGTAACCATTCTTGAATTGACCCTAAAAATGGGCAAATATGTCAAAAGATCCATATATTAGATGGAGCAGATTTTTTCCTGGTACAAACCTTACCATTCGAGGTCTGTTCAAAAATTCTTTTTTAAATTGGTATTTTTCTATTCACACATAATTAGTTCTTGTCTGTATCATTTGATTTTTGGCACAAAATTGGTGAACCCACAAGTCTGCTTGAGATGGCGTCGTGTTTTTTATAATTGAGCCACAACGCAGGCTTATGGTCTAGATACCTGTGGGAACCGTGGGGCTATAGGGGGAAAGAGGGCCCGGCATAGAGATCCTCCGGATGGTACTTTCATTCTTGACGGTCTGAGCCAGTCTATCACCTAGATTCCCAGAACCCATAGCCAAGAGGAAAATTGTCTCAGGGCGGGATTTGAACCCCCGCAGCGCACGGCGACTGATTAGTAAGCCCATAACATCTACCACTATGGCACCACTTTATTTTTTGAACACTCCTTGCACTTGATTGGGATTGTTGTTAGAAACGTCAATATGAAAGCTCTTTTCTACCGCTCCGCCAACGGGCTTTGCTTCTCAGAGCTCTCCTCCGTGATGCTAGCGCGCGATGTGCCTGCCATACACAACCGACTAACTTCGGCCTCCTAACCTAACGGTGTGGAACTTTGCCAATACCACCGCTCCTTTGTCGTTAAAGTATCCAGATTGTGGAACGATCTACATGAGGAGGCTTTTCCCAGTTCTACTAACCTTAGGCGGCTTAGAAATCGAATTAACAAAGCTCCTTCAAGTTTCTCATAGCAGACGCGGAGCCACGGCATTCAGGCTTCTGCCGACGCGATGTATAGTCGGTAGATATTTGGAAAATTTTCGGTCGATTTATATTACATTGAACCAAAAAGCAAAAACTTGCCTGTGATTGAAAATTGAAAAGGAGAGCACCTTATTTGAGGGTGAGGGAGGGGCTAACAGCATCAATTGCTAAAATGCAGATACTTTAAGAATTGAAGAGTGCAGGGTAGCATCACATGCTGAAATGCCACTATCTAAAAATTTGAAGCGCGCACACTACTTTGTAATTTCTTTATATTTTATCAAAATATATTATTTAAGAATATGAGAAAAATTTCGGGAGATTCAGCATTGAAGTCGGTGGATTCACCGCAGGAACGATAGCCATGGTAAAATTGATCAGTTATCAGCATGTACCTTATAGACTGTACCATCCGTCCAACGGAATATTCCTACACCATTCATGATACCTCTGAAAGTATCTCCCTGGTACGTGTTGCCATTATTAAAAATGATCTTTCCACTACTTGGCTCGTGTGCTACTATCCAGCTCAAGCTACTAATCTGTAACATAGTCCAGGAAGTATTTTCGTATCTAAAAAGCACCTTTTCAAAGAATTTTGCTGTTGCCAGGTCAGGAATGCTGTAAAAATCATTAAACAATTTTTTATAGCTTTTTAAAAAAATATGTTTTCTTTTTCTAGTTTTTGGGTCATTTTGAATAAAACAGTTCTTCTCTAGAATTTAAAGTTTTCGAGGTACAAGCTATTCAATATCTCGAAAAGTATGAAATATGCCACTTTCGATCCGGTGGAAGGCGAGTGAAAAATTAAAATAAACATTGATGAAAGTGCTTACGGTACATTCGATACGAAATTTTCCAGTACGGCGCTGTCACGCGGCGCGGAAAACGACCCAAAAAAAGGGGTTAACCCTTAGCAACACGTTGAAGACACTTACGGTAAATAAACATTATGTCGGCAAGATAATATAATTATTGCTACGATGGTTGATAAAAAGATGGTTTTCAGAGAACTGTAGCCACACTGGAAGATGCGAGGCGAAATCTGGCAACACCGCTTAGCGTGGCTGCTGCCCCTCTCTCAATGCCACCGGCTGCGCTTTCGTGCAAGTGATAACATGTTCTGGGGGATTTTTTTGAGGGAAAAATAAAATTGTTGGGTGTTTTTCCATCTGTAACTACAAAAAACTGTCTACTGCTAAACAACAATTTTATCTATCTGTAGCCTTTTCTTTCCCCATGTTGCACCCATCTCCACAAAACATCTACGCTCGCCCATCTCTACAAATTTATGTCAATTGTAGGGTGGTACACATCCAGCCATAGATATAGCACGCAGAAACATGGAAAAAGCTGTGAGTTTTTCGGTTGATTTAGCTATCTTTGTCTCACCCGTGTGTTTCGGGAGAAAGAACTATGCAATTACTCTTCTTCGTGATTTTGCACGGATTTGCACGTCTTTTAGAGCCACCGATTTGCGATTTGCCAATCCCCAAATGGCGAAGTGACAGCGAATGCGTGTATCCTCCTACGTTCATGCGCAAAAGTAGCACACACACAACAAAAAGTTGTTCCAATAAGCTTGAAAAACAGTTTCAATTCGTTGGAATTATTTTTTATTTTATATTTTCTCTCGGGACATTCATACGACTCAACTAGTCCAACCTCTAAATAGGTCCATACAATTCTTACGCGGTTATACGATCACCTGACAGACTGACAGAAATTAGTAACATGGTTTTTCGTGATGTTCATGTCATATAGCCTCCAAAAAACATACCTCACTTTTGAAAATTTTTGCGATTACAATCCTTCCCTGCCAGTAGACGTGGGAAGAAAAATGAGAACCTTTATATTGGACAGCTGCTGAGCCAATAATGAGCGGCGCAGGGGAATCCAGAGTGGGGTAGCGCGCAGTTGTGTTGCCGGATTTCGTCTCGCACCTTCCAGTGTGGCTTGAGGTCTTCAAGAACATATTTCTGGATCAACCTTCGCATAAAGGTAGAACATTTTAACTCGAATCTGATTTAAAAACAAACAGCCTGGTTTACCTACACGATAGATTGGATGTGACCTGCATCGTACCTTTTCATCTAATCATTCACTGGAGGAAGGGTCGCATTTGATACCGAAAATTTTATCGCAATATCTCGATAATCTCAAGACTTCAGTACGTGTTAGAAGGAAAATTATAACTATTCGTATACGCGATGTAAAGGAAAGCTCAATGGAAGATGGCCCATATGCCCGCAAGTTGTATTTTCATTTATATAAACGAATTAAACGATTTGATCACAAGCGGAGCTTACAGTGAAGGTCAGTTCAAGGCCAGCTTTAGGTGAAATTTGTAAGTATTGTCATGTATCTGACACTTAACTGTTAGGCTCATAGGTTTTTAGTCTCGCGAGTCCGAATTTGAGTGTGTGTCGTATCAGGTTATTTGAAGGGCATTCGAGGTCTTTTCAGGATCACATTGATAAAATGCCGGGAAATGAAGTCTACCAGATCTAACGTCAGATTCAGACTGAGCGACCCCATTAACCTTCTAAAAGATCTAGTAGACTTGACTTTTCGTGATTTTCTCAATTTGACCTTGAAATAACTTCATCCACTTCAAATGACCCGATACTTGAAAACTGGTCTCAAATTCGGACTTACAACACCAAAAATCTATACACAGGACTAGTAGGATTGCTTTCCTGGCATTTGTCCAATTTGACCTTGAAATAACCTCGAAGCATCCTTCAAATGATCTGATACGAACTGACCTCTGATTCGGAATCAGCAACCCCAAAAACCTACGTACAGGTTTGGTAAACTCGATTTTCTGATATTTTCTCAATTTCACCTTGAAATGACCCCGAAACGCCCCTCAAATGTCCTTTTACGAACAAACTCCCCTTAAATATAAGCATGACAGTTTAGTACTAAATACGTGATTAGTTATTCGTGAACTTCTGAATTTCACTTAAAAATGACATTCATCCTCACCAGGAGGAGGCTCCTGTAAGTGCCGTAAAACTGTATTGGGCCCAAAACCGGCATCATGGGCCCAGGTCCTTTGACCTTGTATACATGTTAGGGTAAGAAATAAGTGATGCCCACACTACCACAATAATAAGTAATTCTGTAAAACTTACTAATTTTTCACTTTCAATCACTGATCTCTCTGATACTTCTGGTCTAATAGATTCACGGAATTCTGAAAGATAGAACAAACTGTAGTATAAGATTGTATTACATATGTACTTCGGTTGGGACTTATGCCATTATTGATTGAATTGATTGATTGAAGAACCAGAATTGGTGGCATCTAACGACCACAGTGGTGATCCGTCTGCCAAATGTGAACCATTCCATCTGAAAGCTTTCCGTTTTCACTCGCGCAGAGGTCGATTCTGGTAAGAGAGGGCGCTTTGGGGCGCCTTATTTAGTGATTTTTTGCAACTCATCAGCATCATCTAGACTTGGTCTCAGGGACAACGAAAGCATAGCAACGATCCTATGTTCAAGGTAGATGTATCTATGTCACTTTACAATAAAAATGTCTAAATCTAGTCCTTGCGGATGAGGTGCTAAACAGCACGAAACAGCTGTTCATGATTGACTGTTGAGGTAGGACGGACGGGAGCTATATTACATTTGGTTAAAATGGTAGTTATATCTCGAACCGAGCTAGGGATGTACATTTATCACATTTACCTTGTATATCTGGGACGTAATCTGGTACATCTTCAACAAGTATCACACAAGAATTCTGTTCAAATGGAAACAAGTCGCTTTCACTTTCTTCAATAGAAGGTCTAGCGGTGCCTCTTTCTTGAATGATGGTCTCTAGCATGTTATCAAAAAATAGGAACATTAGTTCCTCCTTGTAGTTTATTTTTGGTATTTCTTTGTGCATGTGAGCTTCTTCTTCCTGAATGCTTTGAAAGTATTTTCAAATGACTAGAAGCATGGGCGCCCGCAGTAAATTTTCTCAAGGGGCCGATCATCCGCAAAAGATTACTTTTTGCAAGATGGTACCTGCCCCCAGAACTGTTGGAAGAACGGGGGTAGGCACTTTTCTCAGGAGGGGGGGGGTAGTGGTTTAGCAAAACCAACCAAAATATTACCAAAATTTTACACAATATCATGCTAAACCTGCATCCAACCGGATTTTGCCTTTGCGGGCGCTCATGATTAGTAGTAATAAACGAGGTGTACACTCCTTACGGGAATGAGTTTCAAATAAGTTTTCTCCAAAACCAGATATCTTTCTTAATACTGAAAGGTGTCAATGGGTACAAAACACGAGGGGCTCATCTTCTAGATCTATCAAGTCTTCAGGGTGTACAGTTTTGATGCAGAGAAATTTCGAGTATTGCCGGAGACAGAGAAATCAGAATTTTCCCATTATCGTATTTATTTTTTTCTGACTTTATTTGAGATCGAATTTCGAAATAAAAAGTACATTATCATTGTCACTTTTTCTCTTCCATGAGGTGGCATAATTAGACCTTTAATTTGAGGTTTCGTCTCTTGCCGTTACTTATTAACCTTATTCTTTCTTATAAATTCCGTATTGGATTTTCATACAGGTGAATAGAGTTCTGATCCCAAAGACGTACGCTATGTCATACATTGACATTACAAAACTTAGTTATTAACAGATCTTCCTAAGTAGGCTTTGAAATTTTCAAATAGTCATTTGTTTCATAATATGAAAGCATTCTTCAGTTTTTATGAACTAGGCATAGACGTACAAGTACGCGTGTACATATACATTTTATTCGAATTGCCTACACACGTAAAGAACATTTACTGTCCAGCTCGCTAATACACATGGCGACAGTGAGTGATATTGATTTAAATTTATTAGCAGTGGCGTGCGTATGTATAATCAAGAAAAAACAAAACCGATTAATGAATAAACACAGGCCACGAAGTAAATGGGCAAAGAAATGGTTGTTGCAGCGTGATCGATTCTCACACGTAAATCTACTGGAAGAACTGCGTTTAGAACCGGATGATTATCGAAATTATCTCCGCATGGATGAGGATAGCTATGTATTACTTTTAAATTTAGTAACACCACTGATCCAGAAACAAGACTCGTGCATGAGGTCTGCCATATCACCTCATGAAAGACTATCTGTTACCCTTCGGTACCTAGCTACTGGCAGGAACTATGAAGATTTGAAATTTTCTAGTATCATCTCACCTCAATCGCTAAGTAAAATGATTCCGGAGACCTGCAATGCTATTTATGAGGTATGAAAGGATGAGTATCTAAAGGTATGCACTACTAAATAAAATAATACGTTATTATTAGGGGGCTCACGAGAAGATCTAAAAAATCAATGATATAGCTTTCCTCTATCTTTTGAATAGGCTTTATTTGGTCTCGATTTCGCGAGCCCCCATTTAATGTTACTTTAAGGATGTTAATGTTTATCAATTAACTAAACATAAACATGATAAGTATTTAAAGTTAACATAACAGTTTGAGAAAAAAAGGAAAAATACATTCAAAGCCAAAACTGTCTTAAATATTAGTTTGGTTGAAAGTTAGTTAGAAAACTGGCAAGGATACCTGTTTCGCACACATCGTTGTCAAGTGGCTGAACAGTAGGTACCTGTTTTTTTTGGTTGCATTTCTTGTGGTTTTTGAAATGAACAGGTATGAAATGAATTTTGTGACACATGTTGCTGGGGAGGCGCAAACTGCGATGGATAGGTATAATACTGAGGATAATAAAGAGTAGCGGAACCATCTCTGTTTAAAGTAACTTGGGAATCATTTTCTGCTGAATCGAGTAGCGAAACAATTTTTGTTGCTTTGGTAATACGACTCATTTCAGCTTCAAATAGGTCATTGATGAGCTTTTCCGTGTATAAATTTGTTTCTCTTGGAAGAGTTCTCAATTTCGCTGCAACAATATTTCCGAAACTGGTATCTCTTGATCTTTTAAGAAAAGCAACAAATTGTAATACCATAAATGTGGTATATATATGTCATCCTGCCCAGCTCCTGACCTTTTGGACTCTGCAATTTTTTTATTTCTCTGCGAAACCCTGCACGCAGACTATTTATTTAGGTTTTCTCTGTTTCCTTGGTAGCCGTTTTTTCTACTTCTCTCCACTTTTCAACCAATATTTTGTACGCATCGTTTTTTTAATTTCTATTCATGTAATCCTTGGATTTAGTTTTCCATAAACAAGGGTGCGATTTATAAAGTTCTATGAATTCTATTAAAAACTCTTTTGAATAGTTTCTGCTATCAGCCATTATTAAACATAGTTAACACCTGGAGATGGTTAACGCGAACCGCACTGGTATTATTCCTGATACGTACATATATTCGTTCTGCCTACACACAGAGAGATATGTATGTATGTGCAACCTGTACGCGCGTACAAATATTCAAGCAGCGACTGAAGATATCTTTGACGGATATTTTAGAGAGATTTTGTCTACACACCGGCGGATATGTAGGCGCATACTTGTACGCGCATACATATCTCAAGGAATGTTCATGTGTCTGTAGGCGCCTTAAGGTCTAAAAAGTTAATCTTCCTTCAGTTGGTTATCACTCAATGAATTAAGAACATCCTGCTAAACATGTTTCATATTATTTAAGGATTGTGTTGAAAACAATTATGTTATGTAACCGATAGAAACATTTTAGAACAAATAAAAGCCTCGACCATGTTGCAGCTTCACAAACATATTTCATATCATAGTCTAATCTTAAATACCCGATGAACTAACTATCCAGTCGTGTGTTTCCGATATAAACTATAAGGAATGTTGGAAGTTGAGTAATATTCTGATGGAGACGAGCATATATCCTAGTGTCCATCTTCATTTTCGTTTGCTCCTTTATCTGTTGTATAGGCTATCCATAAATTATGTTTAATACTTTCTGCGAAGGGTGAATATAATCTTGTTTGAATTAACCTGGGCTCTGTTATTCTTAGGTCTCACTCACAGCCCCATTGTTCCTCCTGATTTTGTTCTATACTATAACTATCTAAAACTGTAATGACTCATCGATGTTCACGTGAACATCACTTAACTACCAGTAGTCGGCTGTTCATAGGCGGGGTATGAATGTTTAACATGGGTGAACTAAATTTGTCACATGCTTAATAAAGAGTGGTTTGAAACATATTGTAAGTCAAAAATTTGGGAATTACCTTTATTCATCGTCGCTTCCACTTACATCTGTCAGTAATAAACTGTCGCTATCGCTTTCCTCGTTGAAATTGACTATAACTGGCTCTATGATGGTGTCGATGTGGTGGTCAAGCTAACACATTTTTGTTTCTTCCTTCACAACATGACGGATAGCATTCTGCCAAGCTTCGGGCGTTACTAGCTGTATGGAAGTCTCAAGTAAAACCTTAACGTCTGGTAATTTGAAGGTTGTGTTATGGCACGCAATATAACCCTTCACTTGAGCCCAGATGAGCTCTATTGGGTTCAGTTCACAGTGGTAGGGCGGTAACCGCAGCACAGTGACACCACATTGACGGGCCATCTCATCAGTCACGTAACTAATGTTCGCAGGTTTGTGCTGTTTAATTTTTTCATACAATTCCGCTTTCAGACATGAATCGTCAAACGGGATTCCTTTTTCGCGCAACCATTGCTGCATGTCACTTTTTCGAGATCCCATAGTCGGTACACGTTCGGCTCGACGACTATGGTAGGAAGCATTATCCATGACGATCAAAGAGTTGGGCTCAACTCGCTGAAGCACCCCTTGAAACCAGCTCTCGAAGCAGCTGGCATTCATTTCGTCATGGTAATCACCTCCTTTCTTAGAGACGAAAAGCAAGTCACACTCTTCTAAAAAGCCACTATCGCTACCAATATGAGTTACGATCAATCTTTGACCTTTCCCTGACGGTCCACGAAGACCTGTTGACAAACCTTCAATGCTTGCTTGTCGGTTACTCACTACGTTTTTGTCTATCCAGGTTTTTTTAACTGTGTGACCTGCATTTACCCATGTCTCGTCCAAATAATAGATTTTTCTGCTTTGTCGCCTATATTCAATCATTTCGCGTAGGTATTTTCGACGCCAGGCGACTATTTCAGGTCTCTCTATCAATACTGACTTCCGATTAGGCGTTTCGTAACGAAAATTAATTTCGTGCAGGGATTTCCTCATTACCTCGACGCTCATTTGGGGTATAATTTCATTTTTCTTGATCGCTGCATGTACAGCCTTGAGAGTTGGTATCTCATTCCTAAAGAAGAATGAATGTACGGTTCGCCTTAACGCCATTTTGCTATCGTCATCCAATTTAACAGCCTTTCGTCCCTTCAAATTAAACTTTGGATCAGTAGTAGCTCCAGTTTTCTTCTTTTCATGCACCACCCTGCGAATGGTCCACTCTGGAACGCCTGTCATACTTTCATAACGCGCGAGTGCATCTCCCTGCGACATAGTTCTGTTCAGATAATTGAACACGTTGAGCACGATTTCTTTCGCGTCCCTCTTCAGTGCTTTACGAAGCCGTCTACTTGTTCCCTGGCTTTCAGTACTTCCACTCGTGCCATTTGTACTCTCCATGGTCAAGTATAACCAAAACAGTAACCACAGAAACCACAACAATAACAATCACATAACAATTCTTATAAAACACACAATATGCGATCGCTCAACGAAACACGTTCCAATGCGTTGCCAACGCCTATGAGTCTGCCGGTCGTGGCGCGTATTTGATTTCATTGGTTCTACTGGCAGGGAACAATCAACCATTATTTCCATCTCTGTCTGTGCTGTTGACCACCGCAAAGCCACAGAAACGACATATGTCGTACGCTATACGGCTGTACTGGAAGGAAGCCGGGATCGAGCTCTGATCACGTGTTGATCACGCGTATGAGTCATTGCAGTTTTAAATAGTTGTAGTATAGATATATGCTGGGCTAAACTTAATTAGTCACTGCTGGCACTGAGGTGTCCTAATAATGCCAATGTAAAGTGAGGAAAACTGGAAAGTGAATCTGAATACGTACTCATCCAGCAATCCTAGAACGCAATACAATCTCTACCTTTATTTTAGTCTAGCTTACATCAGGTTTGGACTTGGATCTTACTGCTAGCAGATACTAGTCAAGTTTAAGCATACCTGTATATGCTCAGGAGAATACCACAGGAGACGATGGAAACAGTTTTTAGTTAGACCTAGACAATATTATATTTGCGTTTTACCAGAAGTACCAAACCGTTATGGATAGCCTTTGCAACAGATAATACGAAGATCCAATCTTAAGCTACGGAATGTCATGCGCCTCATTTGAAATTGTTATCGATAGTCAAAAATACCCATAAATACTTGAGGGAGTTCTTGATTTCAGGATTCCGGACTTAACGTTGTAAGCATGTATAACCGAGAGACTGTATAGCTATTGGCAAGAACCTTCAGAAACAATACAGGGTGTTTCAGAACTATGGGATCAAACTTGTAGAGGTTATTCAGTGTAACAGTAGAAAACATATGAGTATATGGACCCATATCCGGCGCTTGTGTGTTGTTATCTTTAAAAATGATAACAGAGATTGTTTTTTGTAGCTGCATTCCATATCGCCTTAGTCGTGCTATCATATTTGTGCAGTTTGCAAGAATTTAACGAAAATTAATTATTGCTAGTGGAAAACTACTAATCAAGAATTGGCGGTTGTATCAAGAACGTTATCCCGAACGACGTCATCCGTTATACAAAAAGTTTATTGCTATTCATCGGCGGCTCCCCGAGACAGGCATGTTTTGAACCAACATGCATGATACTGGTGTTGCTCGAATCGTAGGAACGGTCAAATTTGAAGAAAAGATCCTTCAGCGAGTTGCCGACGAACCATCAAGTAGAACACGTCACATTGCTGAGGATATGAATTCGAGTGACGCTTCCATCTGGCGGGTGCTACACGAGCAACAACTTTATCCTTACCACTTCCAGAAAGTTGAAACATTGACTGTAGCCTATTATTATCCTAGAGTTAAATTTTGTCAATGGCTTCTTCATCAAATCGCTGCACAACCAAATTTTTTACGCTATGTTTTATGGACCGATGAAGCCTCTTTCACGAGAGACGGTATTTTTAATAGTAGGAATAGCCACGTTTGGGACAAAGAAAATCCTCATGCAATTTTTCCTAGAAAACATCAGCAACGTTGGTCTGTCAACGTATGGGCAGGGATTGTAGATGATCATTTGATTGGGCAAATGTGGTTTCAGCATGATGGAGCCTCGGCTCACTTTGCTGTACAAGTACGTGAGTATTTGGCTCAGCGGTTTGGACACCGTTGGATTGCCAGAGGTGGAGCAGTTTCTTGGCCTCCTAGATCAGCCGTCGCTAGATTCTTTCCTGTGGGGAAATGTAAAGTCTTGGTTTTACGAAACTCCAGTAGAAACAGATCAAGACTTACCTGGACGAATTACAACAGCATTTGAAATCATTCAAAACGAGTATCAAATTTTTAGTCAAGTCCGCCGAAATCATGTGCGACGTTTAAATCGGTGTATTCAGGTTGAACATTTTGAACAATTGTTGTGATGATATCAAGTACAAAAGGCAAAAATTAAATGTATTATATCCTATTTGGGCTATTCATCTTTCTAAATTTCAACAAGTCTTAGGGCCGTAGTGCTGTAGTGACACTTTTCCGGATATGGGTCCCTATACTCAAATGTTTTTTTACTGTTACACTGAATAACCCCTAGAAGTTTGATCCCTTAGTTCTGAAACAGCCTGTATATGGTTAATTTCCTTCGCGTATTTTTTTTAAATACCGTTCGTTCGATCTGGGTGTTTTCGTTTCTCTACTATTAGGAGAAAGAATTAAAAAAATATTGAAACATGTAGTACTTCGTGGTGCCTGGACAAGCGAGTGAGATACGGATGACCTTGAAATTCCCAGTTTTTCCAATTTATATTGCCTGATAAACGATTGTTTTGATTAATAAATGTTACCTCAAAACATTTAAATGCCATTTCAAGGCTAACATTTTGTGATGAACATTGCCGTAGAAAGTATATAGAGAGGTCCGATACTAAGTGTACAGAGCCAATTCATTGGAGGTACGAAAATTATATTAAATATATGATAATCTAGACTTTTTGCGTTAATCTGATAGGGTTAAATGTATAGCAGCAACGTACATGTCGAGAAAGAAAATATGTAATTATACATACATAAAAGCATGTTCACGCAGACCAGCTCTCGTTTTATTCTTGAATTTCCTCCCATTTGAGCTGCGAGACTATGTAGGGCTGCGGAGTTCGAAGTTTTATATGATTTGAAGTATATACAGAAAAATATACATTATTTCAGTATAATCATTTATATGTACTAGATAATAAGGCAATTAATTGCCTAGTGTCTTAATTCCACACTAGCCTAGAGCCGCAGCTCCGCTTGCATGGAAGTAGTATATAGTATAGCTCATACGCCTTGTATTAGTTTGAAGGAGAAAGAAATACAATATTCAAAATAATGCAACAGTACAATACAAATAGCCGTTAAAATTGTAAATGTACACTTGCTAACTTATACCCGATAAACCTCTTAGGCATGGTTTTATTTTAGTAAGAAATGGTTTTTATAAATTCCGTAATGAGCAGTGGCGCGACTTTCTGGTGAAGGCGCTTGACTCAAGTATTCCCCTCTGGAAAGTTGCGAAGTCGTCCAGAAACGGAAAGCGAGAACAATTTCCGCACATCCATGGTTCTGGGGGCATAGTCTTTAGGACAGAGGAAAAGGTCGAAGATTTCTCTGATGCTATGGACAGACAACTATTACCTCGACGAGGAGCAGCACATTGTAAGATCCGTCATTAGATATTTTATGGCCAATGGTGTCAGTGCTAGTGGCGTCTCCCTTGGCGATGCTTCCTCATAGGAGACTTCATCGGAAGATTCCTCAACTAACGAGTAGCATGATACATCAGCGGGATCTCCCGAGATCCCGCATTGCATACAAGCAGTGCTTCTCACAAGGATCTCCTCTATCAATTGATCCAAAAGGGCTTCCCCTTCTGGCTTCTAAAACTATCGAATTTCTTCCTTGAGGATAGGAAATTTGGGATCAAAATTAATAACGTTCTGTCGGCAACTCGGCCCATTAGGGTCCGTCTCCCTCAGAGTTTGGTTCCAGGACCAATCCTTTATTCACTTATTATTCATGACGTCCTTTGCCCCACCAAGTGAGAAGTCTATCTCTATGCTGATGACACTGCCCTGGTGGCCCAGTCATGTTCTGGGAGTCTGATTCACGATAGTCTAAAACTATTGAAATCCTTCCTTGAGGGTAGGAAATGCCAGATCAAAATTAATAACGTTGAGTCGACAACACTGCCCATCAAAGCCAGTCCCCACAAGGTTTGGTTCTTGGACCAATCCTTTATTGTGAAATCTATCTCTATGCTGATGGCACTACCCTGGCGGCCCAGTCGTGGCTGATCGAAATTATTCATTCGGAAACGCCGGCTCTATTGTAGTAAAAACGTAGCAGAACCTCGTTTCAGTGAACGGAGCTCGCGTACCATGGGAAAGTTCTGCTAAGTATCCTGGTGTCATTCATGACAAGGCAGAAGCACACTGAATTCTAGATCACTTTTCGGCAAACCTACACTAAAAATTAAGTTTGAACATCAAAGTGCGGCTATACAAGATGTGCGGCTTGGGGTTTTCTCGCATTTGCGTCATCTGCAGATTTTGCAGAACAGAACCTTGCGTACAATCACTAACGTCCCATGGTATATCTCCAATGATACACTTCACAGAGACTTTGACATCTATTATCTAGGGGACCCCATCAAACAACAAGCGCAGTTACGCTATAGTCAAGCGGACTCGTTTAGCAACCCTTTGTTGCGGGAGTCAGTAGATTACACATTCCAGCATGTTCGCAAGTATTCAAGGTCGCGGCTCGCACTGTTAACAAAATTAAATCGTGCCACTTTAGGTCAAACCTAAATTCTAATTTTTCTGCAACGACCAATCCCTAAATTACTTTTAGGATACTAGTTAACAATGCCAATGCACACCCCAAATCGACACACTTCTTTCTTTTTGTTCTCCCTCCTTCCTTACTTTCTTCTGACTTTGTCTGGTATCTGGCAACCAGATCTGACAGACCTACTGACTTACAATACTAAGAGCAAAGGTCCTACGGACCGCTCTGGTTAGACAATGACGAATATATCTGTCCCGAAGATATCAAATCATACCGAACGTAAACATATTAGACTTTCTAGAAATGCTCAGAAACCATATACGTATATACTTGACGTAACACAAAACACCAAACAAATCTAAGTCAACGAGCATGCTAAAAAAACGAACGTTGGAATGCAGTAAATGCCCTATTTATATATCTCTCATTTCGGTTGGACCAGCGTCTGAGGGTTTCCGCGGCAGACACCTCATTCCATACTATAGGCTTGTTCGTACAGTGGTCGGTGACTTGTTGGTGACTGTGTCTGGGAGTCGACCGTGTGAATTCCGTCTATATATCGTTACACTGTTCTATGTCGCATTTTTCTCGATTTTTAGTTTACAGCATTATACAGGGTGTTCCATAATTATTGCGACAAAATGATAGGGGTTGTAGAGGGCATCAAAATGAACAATTTTGCCTTATAAACCAATGTTCGGAAATATGCCGTTTGGCCTGCAGCAAAAAAAAGATCAGTTTCTTGAAACAGCTTACCTACAGTAATTGCTCAAAGTGTCCTCCACCTTGCTCAATACACAGCTGTGCACGATTGTTCAGTGATCGGCGAACTCTGTGGCATACCCCCGGTATGTCCTGAACATGTGCGGACGCGGCCATCACTCTTCCCAGAGAAAATAATCCAGTGGGGTCAGGTCGGGTGACCGCGCAGGCCAAGGTACAGGGACACCTCGGCCTATCCACCTATTTGGAAATTTGTCGTCCAAATACTGCCGCACTTGTAAAGAAAAGTGGGCTGGAGCGCCATCGTGTTGAAACCACATGTTGGCTCTTATGTTCAGTGGTACATTTTCTAATAGTTCCGGTAGCACATGCTGTAAGAATCGGCCATAAGCATGCTCATCCAAACGTGGTGGAAGCAAATATGGCCCGATGATATGCTCGTCCACAATGCCGCATTAGATGTTAATTGAAAACTAATGTTGGTCCCTATGGATGGCTATGGCATGAGGGTTTTCTTCATCCCAAATGTGACTGTTACGGCTATTAAAATAACCGTCCTTTGTAAAACAGGACTCGTCAGTGAACAAAACGTACCGACCAAAGTTTGGTTGCCTCAATTCCTGCTGCAGCCACCAACGACAAAAACGTCGACGCGGCAGATAGTCTTCTGGACCCATGGCTTGGACTTTTAAAAGGTGGTATGGGTGTAGTTGCTGGTCATGGAGAACCCGCCAAACAGTAGTTTGAGACGCTCCCATATCATGTGCAATACCACGCACGCTTGTACGCGGATTGGCCTCTACATGATGCAGAATCGCTTCCTCAAATTCTACTGTGCGCCTCGTGAAGGGCCGCCCTACTCCCGCGAGGTGTCTGATGCTGCCACTGACACGAAGACGTCCATGAATCCTTGCAAAAATGGCGTGATACCGATGAGGACGTTCTGGAAACCGTTGGGCGTAGATTCGCGAGGCTCGTCTTCCGTTACACTAGCTTCTCCGTAAATTAAATGCATATCCGCAAGTTCCGCATACGAATAACGCTGCATTTTAACACTAACGTACTGTTATTTACTATCTAGTTTGACGCACCACTCAGATAAATTAAATGAATCGGTGTGGAGAATTTACGATAACACCAATGTAAACACAGCAGGCTTTTTTTTACAAATCGGCGAGACCATGAAATGTGCTAGACGAACATTTTGCAGCTGGCGAATTTTTTGTTTCTCCTATGAGCTCTTAAGGTAAAATTAGCGGTAGTGCTCAAACGGCATATTTACGAACAGGGGTTTATAAGGCAAAATTGCATATTTTTATGCCCTCTACAATCCCTATCATTTTGTCGCAATAATTATGGAACACCGTGTATAGCTGTATGTGCATTAGACTTTGACCATACAGAGTTTCGAAGTTCTATCTCACATCCTTATATTTATATTACCAGAAATACACAATTGTATCTGTATTACGTTGGAATTACAAAGTGGTATGTAATACGTATACATACAACAAGCAGTAACGAAACAGATTTTTCATGAACGCTACATACGAGTACAACTTCGTTGTACTGAAACTGAAATCTTTCCCCAAGATCGAGTCGCATTATTGCAGAGCTAACACACAAAGGGAGTACCTAGATTCTAGTCTCAGTATAAAGCAAATGTACAGGTTCTTTGTTCAAAGTTATACCGCTGCTCATAAGAATGCTGTAAAAGAGTCTTTTCACAGAAATATATGTTCTACAGAGTACAATTTATACTTCTATGTTCCAAAAAAAAGGTGTGACGTCTGCGAAGAGGCAAAATTGAAGAAAATGGAGAATACTCTAAGTGCAGAAAACGCTATGGAATATGAGAACCCTGTCAAAGAAAAAGCTGAAACGAGAAACGACACAGAAAAATACAGAGAATACCAAAATAGTCCATTTTTGGTATTTGATCTACAAAATGCTCTGCAGTGTCCCCAAGCAGAAATTAGCAATTTCTATTACAAAAGCAAACTTAATGTTTATGATTTAACGGCAATATTATAAAGTACAAATCAAGTTTACGTGGAATGAATCGTTAATGGGTAGACCGGGCAATGACCTAGCTACTTTGATTAAGATTTTAGAAGTGGTTTCTGCAGAAAACAAAATTTTAAAAAGTTTTATTCTTTGGAGTGATAGTTGCGTGACACAAAATCGAACTAGTCTTATATATTATGCTGTAGCATATTTCTTACTAATCAACCCTTCAATCCAAACTATAATTATGAAACAACATCACATTCATGTGTCCAGGAAACTGATTCCGTACATAGCTGCATTGAGAAGGTTTTAGACATAGTCGAATACTTTTCACCAGTATCACTCTTGAGAATTTTTCTAAAGGTTAATGTTATAAGATATTACAGACGCGCTCAGAAGTCTTATAAGATCATACATTATGTACCGCTTGTTTTAATTATAAAGTGATAACTTTTTTAAAAGGGAAAGCCCTAAAATTCACAAATTCTTTTACTGAGGCAGTATCGCACCAATCAGTAAATTGGAAAAAAGTTTCAATAAAACCCCTACAAACGACCATGTCGATGAATGGAGTATTAAAAGCTCCGAAAGTCTTACTTTCACATATTTTTGTATATTTAGTATGTTGCTTTAGCCTACCTAAATATGTTACAAAGTTGTATGTAACATTTTTCCAGCAGCAAAAAACATAATCTAACAACTTTTCCAAACCATTTCATAGAAAAACCGTATAGAACGAAAGTTAAATTTGATAATTAATTGTTCCAATAGCATTCGTTTCAGTGATAAAAGTGTAAGATACATGAAACTTTTCTTTATGCCATAACTCGAAACACACATTTACGTACATACAACAGTATAACTCTGAGGCAACGATATCGTAGCAGAATGAACGGAATTTGTGTGGCGGGATCTTGGACACGATCACTGACAGGTTGGTGACAGCTGTACGAACAGGGCTTATAACAAGTCCCTGTACCAATTTTCATCCACATCCAGAATAAACATACTTTCTCATTTGTAATATTAGTATGGATTTTGCGTTTGAAATGATGTACTACACTATCAAAACATGAACATAACTATTAAAAAATTAATATCTTTGAATTTCATAGTTATCCGTATCTCAGTCGCTTCTTCATATGCAACAATGACTGTTTCACCAGTTTTTTTGAAATATCTCTCCTAGTAATACAAATTTCATAAAACCCAGGTCCAAGAAGCGATAATAAGAGTACCTTTCCGAGAGAGTTCTCTGGATTATTTCTTCCGATTCACCTCTTAAGAACTGCTTGGATTTTTTCGTGTGCGATGCTTTCTTCGATAGCTTTGCTGCTGAAGCAGTTTTATGCTTGAGTAACGATGCACGAGAGTATTGCTCAGTCATTGTGAGAATTCAAGCGGTAGTCAACAATCTGTTCTTATATAAATGATATGAGATGAAGGAATAAATTTTCAATAAACCAAGGTGAAAGCTGTTGACAATAACCTGTAATTGACAATTAGTGTCATAGTGATGTTTCACAGTCAGTGGACCCTTGTAGCCCCAAGTATCTTCGAGAGGTATTCTCAAAATTTTTGATGTCTTTGTAGGGTACGTACTGTAATTTCTTTGTATAAATGGTTTGATTACTATTGATAAAAAAGTTGTAAGACTAAGAAAGTGGACATTTTTGTTTGGCATTGTCGATGTTTAAATTTAGTAAATCCCAGGCATCGGTGTTGTCTGCATTAGTACTTGTGAGAGCGAAAAATTGTACTTATGACAATTGAAGAAATTATCCATTACGTCGTCCCTTAAATTAATTTATTGCCCCCAATTTCCTTTAGGCTTTTTACCCCCCGCCGTAGGTTCCAAGCGCCCGCCTCGAAGGAGACTGAAAGACTAGGAACGCATCATTGATGCATTTCTTTACCACCTCTGTAAATACACCATTTCTTTTACTTCCTACGCCACTGGGCGTAATCGCTAAAAATTTCGAATATGTTTCAAAACCATGTCACTTATTTTCGTCTGTCTGTCCGCCAATATTTAAAACGTCTGCAACTTGGAAAATACTGCTCGGATTTGGATCAAATTTTCACTGTGCCAAGGACAAAAAATGTTGAAAATCGGTCCAGTGGGAGCGAAGCTAGGGACAAAAATACAAAACTATGAAAACACCACAAACTTCATTTTTTGAAGCTTCAAAGGCTGATCATTTCCAGAAAAAATGTTTGCAGTGGTTAAAAATTTGATGGTGGTGGTTGTGAAGAGTGGAGAAGGGGATTTTGCTATTCAACCAACTTTCTTCTCAGGGATAAAAACTACAGACCCGGATCACTCAGCCTCACAAAACTATGCAACCAATAATGCGTAGTTTAGTTGAGTGATTCCTCCATAGATGGACGTTCACAACGATCCTAGTGAGCAAACGTAGAATGACTGTTTGCGCCCTAAAAACTACCTAGGCTGCAAGTTTTTTTTGACGTTTTATAGGTTTTTTTACATGATACCCGTGCGGAGGAGGGATGGTGTAATCGAGGGTGTAATAGCAAAAAAAATAGGGTGGTATCTCCGCCATTTATATTTCTTGCAAAATAAAAATATATAATAAGTTATAAACATAACCTATATCATGATAACATAATCAAAGCATTTCCAGTTGGTTTGGATTGTCAGAGGTTGGCCTGTCAAATATGACCATCAAGCTACGAAATGTCAACGCGCTGTCCGCTATTCTGTAGTACAATGAATTACGAAGTATAAAATGGTGATATTTAGAATTGATTGATATCATAAAAGGCCAAATTTAATAAATGATGGTATATTTTTGCAGTTGCAGTAAGGCAATAAATAATTGGTATTGATATCGTTTTAACAAAATCAGTACTACTGTATTACAGAATAGCAGCGCTGGCATCTCGTTGAGAGTCCTTGATGTGGTTATATTTGACAGACCAAGTACTCACCAACCGGAACAACTGAAAATAATAGGCATTGGTAGGGATGCAGTCGATATATTGATATTTATGAAAGATTTAATGTTTTATATTTTATTTTATATTATATTTATCGATTAGAAACGATGATCATGTTTGCACGCAATATTATACTTTTCCACATAATGTTGAGTGCGTAGCCATCATTCTTGAAATATCGTATAAAACTCTAGGTACGAGATTCGTATTAATCTCGTATCTCGTACCATAACTTATAATCCCGTACATGTACGAGATTTCTTGTACGTCTGGCAACCCAGTATCCCATACAATATAGTCCCATGCTGGATTGCGACGTTGCTGGATGATCGAATAGATTGCATTGTTGGGCTATTATTATACATGTTTTTCTAAGAGGGACAAACTTGTGCCTAATATAATCTCTTATGAAATGATGATATCGTTGCGCAGGAAGTGCGGGGTTTAGCCTACTTGAGGCAATTTTTTGGGGGGATGAGCAGCATTGAACGTTGGCAAGAATTCTGGTTATAATAATGTTGTAGGTTGCTATTCGGGATAGTGCGTTGAAGGTTTTCCTAACCAGGCTATTAGGTTGGCCAATCAGGATGCCATTCTTCAACCTGGATCTTCTTTTCCTTCTATTTTTCTCCGTAAGGCACATTAGAGTAATTCATGTTTTTTGGACAGGGGAAAGCTTTCATTATCTTCCCTCCGTACATACGCTTGTACATTATATATGTGCATACCTAGCAAACCTATTGTTGGTTCTTATGTCTGTTTTCTCCCTCATATAGGTTGTTCAATATTTGCCATTGCCTGCATGATTGGAAGAATTGTCAGCAGTTAGCCTCTCGTCGAGCGCCAATCCCAGTTGTCGCTGATAATCAACCCAACTGCTGAACTCTAGCAGATGCTCAGGAGTATCCTTCGTGCCAAAACAATGCATATCATCTGTTTCCTAAGTGCTTCATGTAGCTTTCAGAGCAACCATGGGAGGGAAGCGACTGTGCAGTATAGGAATCTATTTGTACGTATCTCCTGTCAATTTTATCTGGAATCAGGGTCCTAGTCCATGCTCCATGCATAATTCCGCCATCTGGCGCCTCCTTTTCAACGTTTCTAGAGTCTGTTCTCTGTTTATACAGGTCGCACCTTCAGTCAATAAATTAACTGGCGGGATCCCAGCAACCACCACCAGCAGCGTCGACACCATCCAATAGGCGCAGTTCCACCTTCCGCTGATACTTGAGCATCAGCTGCCTATACTTCTCCTTCTTTAACACCTTGAAATAGATTGGAGCTCGTGTGTGCTATGGTTTCTTATTATATGACCCATGTATAGGGTCGGCAAAGAGGGTAAAAGGTTCGCCTCCCCACTACCATATTTGACGTTATGAACAACCTTTGGGGTTGTATTTATCCTTTGTATCACTTTGCCTGTACATGGTATAGTCAGTACTTTCTATTTAAAGTTCTACGCCCTACAGAAATATTTAGTAGCAGTAGCTGAGTCTAATTTTTTTGTTTGTATGATGATATCGCTGATTTTGAATACACATCCTTCCATTAGGAATGTGTACTTTTGAACGATTTATTCTCCTTGAGCTATTTGGCCAGCGCCGTTGTTTGTTATTCTTGACGTTTCGCCATCACCAGTAGATGGCATCTTCAGAAACAGATCGAAGTTAACTCTTCAGCGTCTTCCAAGAGACTGATCAAACTATTGTTTGCCGTCGTTATTTATATCTGGCGCCTGGGTCGAGGGTCAGACGTCTCTTTTACCCGGTGCGATTGTTTTCTTTCCTGCCGCATATAAGTATTTCCATATTTTTGAATACAGGTTTTGTTAACTATGTGTGTTTCTTCTTTCCTGTTGAAATTGTTACTGTGCTTTGAAATTTCAATTGCTTTACTGTTTAGTGGGGCCTAAGAAGATGATGTTGTGGCCAAAAGCTTAGTTTCCTCCAACTTCATCATATGGGTTCATTCCTTATGGGCACGTTCTGCTATTGCAGACTTATTTGTGTGGCCTAAGCGGTAGTTTGTTCTGTGTTTAGCAATTTTTACCGATCGCTTCGTAGTTCCATTATACACACTTTCGCAGGTGTGTGGTATACTTATATAGGGTGGGCCATAAGAGTGTTGGCGATTTATATCTTAAATTTCTCGGAAACGCGGGCGCGGGTTTGGGGGGCGGGATAAGCTGTTAGGCGCGGTATTGCCAGGAAATTTAGTCGCCATGAAGCCGTACACGGGAGCGCAGCGTGCATTTTGTGTCCAAGCGTATTATGAAAACAATAAATCGGTTATTACCGCACGACGTTTGTATCGACATGAACACGGTTTACGCGATTTAAGAGAAGTTCCAAGCGCCAATGTGATCGGAAATGGATCAGAATGTTTGAAACAACCGGCTCCGCAGTAGCAATAACAGCTCGTGGTAGTCCAGCTTCTGCAAGATCAGCCGACAATGTAGAGCGTGTTCGTGTTTCAGTTCAGCGAAATCCGCAACAGTCAACACGTAAGAGAACTCAGGCTTTTTTCATCAAAAGAACGAGCTTGAGACTAATTTTGAAAGGTTATTTGCATTTGAAGGCTTATAAGATTCAACTAGTCCAAGAATTAAAACCAGATGATGCCAAGAACCGACTTAACTTTGTCAATTTGATGCTCGACCGATTCAACAGTTTTATCAACGTGATGCTTAGTGATGAAGCCAATTTTCACCTCAATGGCCATGTTAACAAACAAAATTGTCGGTTCTGGTCCGAAACTAATCCCCGACGCTTGCATGAACATCATCCGGTACTATTGGACAGTACTTTTTTGAGGACGAAAGAGGGCAAGCGATGACATTCAAAGCTAACAATTATTGCAGTATGATAACAGACTTTTTGGTGCCAGCTTTGCAAGAACTCCAAGGCCTACCTCTAGAATGTGGTTTCAACAAGATGGGGCCACATGTCATACAGCTAGGGTATCTAGAGCTGCTGAAAAATGTCTAAACATTATTTTTAAGTCTTGAAAATTCCTATTTTTCTACTTTTTAAAAATACATTTATTTTTATTTTATATGGCATAGTTAGTTTTTAATTGAATATTGAAATTTCCAACAATTGCCCACCTTGTACAACACTGCAAAGTTCAACTATTTGCTGATGATACATTAATATATCAAATAAAGACATTGAAACTGCACTATAGCTGTTAAATAATGATATGAAAAACGTAATAAACTGGTTAAATGTGAATAAACTTAAACTAAACAGAAACAAAACAAAATATATGCTAATAGGAAAGTCTTTAGATCAAAATGCGATAAATCTTACAATTCATCATAAAAAAACTGTGTCAATCGAACCATTTAAATATTTGGGCAAATTCGTAGACAGTAAATTAAAATTTGTAGGACACTATCAATATGTTATTTCAAAAATGTCCAGGAAAATAAACTACTTTTATAGAATTTCGCATAACCTAAGCGTTTATTGTAAAAAAATTGTGTACAATACTATCATTCTTCCTCATTTGTTATATTGTTCGACTATTTTGTTCACTGCAGATAACACTGTATTTTCAAAATTACAAATATTGCATAATAAAGCTATGAGAATCATCTTAAATAAAAATAAATATACTAGAATAAATTTTATACTGAAAGAATTACAATGGTTAAATATCAAAAATTTTATAGCCTACTTGGTTTTCATTTTCATATTCAAGTAAAAAAATTATTTTCTACCAAATCACTTAAAAAATTTTATTTTATTGTATAGACTTTCATTTACAAAACTGCAGTAGCAATATAACGAGCAAGTCTGAATATCAAAAGGGATTGTACGAATTTAATAAATTAAGTAATGATATCAAGATGTGTGTCAGTTTGAAAATGCTCAAAGGGAAATTGAAAAAATATCTCATGGAAAACCAGAATTCATAGTAGTGAAATTTTGTATAAAAATATATAGTCTTGGAGACATAATGTATTTTGTGATATACTGTATAATATGGATATTATGGACATTGTAGCATTATTCCTAAATAAATCTGAAACAAACAAACACAAATGTTTCCAGTGAGTGTATCATCTCTTTAGTCTTGTTCTTGTATTTTTCTTGTCGGTTTATAGTCTTGATATTTTCTATCGTGAGCAGTCTTCCGATCCTTTCAGTTATTCTAGGTATATATGGTAAGAAGGCCTCAGCTATTGGTAGGATTATTTTCTCTCTGGTCGCTATTCATAAATATTACCATCTGCTTTCTAGAATAACCGATAGCCCTGAAAGCTTCTTTTAGATGTTCTAGCTCCGTTTTCAGTTCTACTTTTTCCCAGATCCTTTTAGCTCGTTCTGCTAGAGTCCCGATAATCCTTCTAACAGAACGAGCTAGATAATCTGTAAACCAGCCAAACTGATGATTCTTCTGACCGACCCGGATACAGGTATAAATGCCGACCGCAGTTTCTCGGAAGACGCAGAAGATGCCATCTACCGGTGATAGCGAAAAGTCAAGAAGCATGAATCGTTTGCACACTGGCCGCGGAAGTCTCACATAATTCGATGTACTTTTGATATTTACAATTCGAAATAATGCATCCTTGTATAAGTCTACGTGGAATTATAACCGGAGCTGTATGCTCTCCATCGACTCTAAATACCTCTGATTAATTCCACAATAAATCAGGTACTCTTTTAGGTTTTTCCCTTCCGTTGTTCTTTCCAATACTTCCATCACTTGCTGATGAAGTATAGAAAAACAATGTAGTTTACATCTCAGGATTCTTATCTGTGATATGGTGAAACATTCAATATATGTTGCATTTTAATACTCGTAAGCTAATCAAATATCAAACATAAAACCATATTGGAACACGAATTTAGACGTATCACTTTCTTGATCTTATCAAAAGAAGACGTTTAATGGCTGTTTACCACGACAGTTTTGTTTGTTGAGATATAGATAAATGGATGCTCGTACAATGATTTTGTATATTTTACTATTTTTTCAGTTGAATTTGATTAAATTCAAGCCGACTATGCACCAGTGCTAATATGCCATTAGAATGGATTTTGCTGAACAGTGTGACAGGCGGATTCATCCCCAAGCAAAGGCTTCTCGGATTACGAGGATATTCTTTATGTAAGTTTTTGATTGAGTGACATTTGAGAAATATACAGCGCTTTCAAGAAATGTACCCCCTATTTATTTTTGCTGCATTTTGATGTAAAAATAACATTCAAAAATTCTAAGATGGCGGCTGGGAGCTATCGTGTAACATTTGTTTAGGTGGAATGAAGTCATGGAATACCTTGTTTTGAAGCCCCTGATGAGTACTTCAAAAATCTAGTATATAAAATCACTATCTTTCAAAATAACGGGCTGGCACGTTATCAAAGTTGAGCGTTTTTACGTTCTTGTATGTACATTGAACCGCTTATAGCTCACCAACTAATTATGAAAATGTTATAGTGTATCACATCAATCTTCATCTCAGAAGGTTGATATAACATACTATAGCGTTTTGATGATTATTTATAGATTTCGAGCGACACTAATTCGGCAACGTTGGCAGTTTTTTTTATATTCTGCGGTTATAATGTAGGTGCTTCAAAACGAGTTATCACACGACTTCTTATTCCATTTGAAAGAATGTTCCAAGTTTGCACCGAGCCGCCATCTTGAAGTTTCAATCGCCACTCTTAATTAAAATAAATCTGATTCAAAAAAGTAAATCTTTGTAGAAATGACACGAAAATAACGTCAAAAAGATCTGAAATTCTAGAAAACTCTGCGATTTCTACTGAAACAAACTTCTACCATATGGTTGGTTATGAAGTAGCGTATTTGCAGCTGCAAGAATATCTATCATTTTCTGGACACCCTGCACATGTTCAATAGGGATGGGTGTTTAATATACTTTAATTATCTTTGTTACGATGTAGACAACGCTTGAGCAGTGTATATACTGCGTATCCAGTGTAAACAATAAGTATACAATAAGGATTTTTTCGCGAATCCACGGTGTAGCACAGTGCAGTACCGGGAACTGATACTCAAATTTTCGCGAAGTGCGGGAATAGGGGAAGACGGATGTGACGTCATCTAAACGTCAAAAAATTAGGTGGTACGATTAACAGCCCAACGTAGCTGATGTCCTAGCGGATGACAGGTCTATGTCAATTGTCTTCGCAGTGCCGAAAATTAAGTTAAATAATTAAATCATAAATCAAGAAAATGGAGGAACAGGGCCACCTGATTTTGAATGACGAAGGAGAAGACTATGAGGTCATCGTGGATATAGGAACCGCACATGTCATAGCAAACGGTTGATTTTATTAATGTGTATTTGACAAAAAACGATCGGTCTTTTTATTTCGAATTCAAAGGGAGCAGCTAAGTTTATCAAGGAGCTTGAAGCAAAATTTTTGTGCAACATGTGCTACCTATCCACTCCCAGTGTAACTTGAAACTGTCAAAAGTTCGAGAGGAGGGGGAAATCCCATCTGTCCCCGCTCCATTCCCTACGGGATCTCGCTAAAAGATCTTTAATGTATATACCCTATTTCACGAGTATCCATCACGATTTGACATCTACTGAGGTGAACAGCTGATCAGCAAGTGACATTTTTGTGTTAGTCTGCAACGTTGGCAATATAGAATCATGTGTAAATCTAGTAAAACTTGTTTGTAGCGTTTTGTTTTTGTATGCAAATGAACTTTTCTAAATAAAAGAGCTGTTAGCAAGCCCAAAATGAATCTGTAGCGTATAAAAAACCAAAAGAAAATACAGCTCTGACTACATGGCATTGACGGATCCGTCAGAATTATGTGTACTGTGCCGATATGGGGAATTTTGAGATATTACTAGATAATATAATCAGCTGTCATTCTACCGTGCTGGATACTCGTGAAGTAGGGCATATCGAGCGCCAAAAATAAGAAAGTTCATGAACTAGTACTCATTTTGTTCAAAGATGGAATAAAATATTCCGTCAAGTGCTGTATCTTTAAAAGAAAGTTGTCGCTTGTAATCACATACTAAACTAACTTTTGTAGTATCGTAATATGCGGCTATCGGCGCGCTATTTTACCAGTTTCTATTTGCCTTATAGAAGCACATATAAAATTATGAAATGCAATAGGATAAAGTATAAAGAAAGCATGTATACTACTCCTTACGAATCACCGGAAGTCCCTTGCCTAAATATTGAAGATGCTGTCGACGCTGAATGGAATCAGTCCAAGGGATAGATTTTCTTTCTAGAATACTCGTAGGTTTCATTTTATTTTATAAATCTTCCAGATTCATTTAAAAATATAACTTTGTATACATACATATATATATATATATATATATATATCAATAATAAATATCGATATCTACACCTTTTCTAATTATCCAAAACACACTTCTGTTGTATACATTGTGCACATTATTATTATTATATATATTTTGTTTAAACTGGCTGTAACATTTTGGCTTTGAAAGCTATTTCCTCCAATAATTATACGAGTAGATACAATATAATTTTAAAGTTTTCGACCTACGAAGTGTTTCATATTGATCCATACTTTAATTTGTAACCTGTGCTGTTCAATAAATAATGTGTTTTCTTCGTTCTTTTTGGGTTGCTTATCTTGAGGTATGGGTAGCTCTTTGAAGAATCCGTCCGAAATTGTCATCATAATTATAATTGATGAAGAACATGAACACTTTCGAAAGCCCGAAATGAACAAAGAAAACACTTTTTTGTGCTTGAATTTCTTTGCGTTAACTAGTTAGTCAAGACTACCCTCCTCTTGTTCAAAAACACTGTCACCTGTCAACTAGAACTTCTTGACATCAGTAATCAGTTGATAGGAAACACTGAAAATACACATTTTTATCACTATCGCGGCGTGGAACGGCAGCTTAAGAGAATTATTGAGAGTTATTTTTTTGTTTAGGTACACCATAGGATTATTTCGCAACACTTACAGAAGAAATAAAATTTCTCATGAAGATATTTTTGAAGTACTGCCGGGTCATAGCTCGCAAAAATTGGGAAATATGATAGAAAGCAGATTTAAAGAAGATCTAGACCGCTTGGGTACAATTTCTGTGTATAGATTATTGTGGAAGTGCTTTGGGAAGGAGTATGCTTTGACAGGAGTGCTCCAGTTGCTCATGAGGACACTGGTTGTGTGAGTTTTATTTTCTATTCAATTATTACATTGTTAGAAGCATTACTGACGGCGTATAAGTCCATCTTTTGCTCGACTATGATATCGTGTGACTACACTTCAAGGATAACGTGTTAGTAGGAAAGATGCAAAAATATTATTTTTGGAAAATATGCGAGTAAATTGTTACAAAATCATGAACGGAGTGTCACTGCAATATTTTTATTTTAATCAAAAAGGCTCAGGAGTTTCCACTGTTGATTCCTTAATAGGTTTATATTGTATATGTTATATTAATATTGCCATTTCTAACCACTTTCTGGCTGAGTCTGAGGTAAATGAAGATACATATAAGATCTATTAGTATTGATGCAAAGAATCATAATCTTCATTTGAACCTTTAGAAATCAAAAGTCATTATTTTTCCCCAAAACTATGTAGAAGCGATGCGAAAAGAAATTTTAAAGTAAACTTTAATTCTGACACTAGCGAAGTAAGTCAGTTAACCAAAAACTTGGGCGTAACTTTAGATGAATGTCTAAATTTATACCACACGTAAATTATATCTTAATAAACAATTTCTTGACTATAGTACTAAAAATTTTTGGAGTGATCCTTTGTTAACGTCCAACATTAGTTATAGTTTATCTTCCATTTCTCGATCCAATATCTCTCATACATCTCCAGAAAATCAAAAATTAATGTAGTCGGTTATACAGGGTGACTTCGAAGTTGAGTCATTTATTTTAACAGTGTGTAGATCTGATCAAAAGAAATGTTTTTTTCCTTTACCATTTTTCTGGTAAAATTAAAGTAACAAAGTTATAGCCCTTTGGAAGTTTGAGTACCGCCCTGTCTCAATAATATCATGTGTTCGTGTTTGGCAACAACGGTTCATCGCATCGGAAACAAAAAAGCGAAAGAATTTGGAACGATGTTTTTACGATTACAATTCAGTTCAGTTATACACACAGTCAGTTTCAGTCGCGTGTGAATAGTGTCTGTTGCGTGGCTCAAACGAAATAAAAAATGGCACATGTTTATGCGGATCGGTTTCCCAATCGAGTGCAACCAACCCCTCGTGCCTTTGTTAATGTAGTACAACGGGCTCGTGAATCAGGTGACTTAAGACCTCACAGGGGACCTCACGATCAAATACAGGTCCGCACTAAAATACTTGTCGGGAGGATACTTTATAAAACAAGGTAAAATTTTTTTTTAATTTTTTTTTTATTTTTACACACATATTTTGGTTTATCTTCCTTCTACAATCATTATCTGAAAATTAATGACTCAACTTCAAAGTCACCCTGTATATATATATATATATATAATAATAATTGGAAAAAATATGATCATGTAATCGAAGACTTGAAGTGGTTGAGAGTAACAGAACTGTGTGAGCTACGCTTAGTTACTTACATCCACAGAATATAGTTCTCATTCATTCCGCCGATTTTGAAAAATAAGCTCATATCTAGAACCAATATTCAATCAAGCGACGTTCGATTCAAAGTAGTTATTTTTTACAATTATAGAACTCGAGCCACAAAATTATTATCATATATATATAGTTAGGTGAAAAATTAAAGCTTCCGCCTTTTGTTGGGTACTTCGACAAAAATTTAAGCAAGGAGGACTCTTTATACTTTTTTTATTCTCTCTAGCTTTCAATGGACTTTGCCATCATCATCAGGAGCTGCAATTACATTGATAACAGTAGCAACAATAGTGTAAAATGAATTTAAATTCACTTACAACAAAAGGCGGAAGCTTTAATTTTTCACCTAACTGGTCTAGACGACAATGACCACGTCTCAAGTTATATATATATATATACACATGTATTGTTAAATGGAAGACTTTTCTTTGGGATATCGACAAATTATGCTAAGTGTACCCTTTTGACTTACAATACTCAATCTTTCGACAGACTATGCTGCCATCATCAGGAGCTAAAAAACAAATTAAAACCATGCAACCATGCTCACTTGGTTAGAAATCTTTTCTCTTACTCCAGTGAGAATGGTGCTAGTATATGATGGTGAAAAATGTAAAATAGAACACATGGTAAGGTGATCAAAGTTCACGTAAAAATTCTAACCTCTCGATCACGCCAGCATTTTTAAGTTATTTAAAAATGTAAATTTGAAAAGTTTAAGGACAACTTATCTAATCAATTGATGTCCAAATCTTTCTGCAGTGGAGTAGTAAAACACAGTCACGTTGCATCGTTTTTGTCGTAAATTCAGTTTTTTGATCACCTTACCATGTGTTCTATTTTACATTTTTTAACATCAAACACTACCGCTATTCTCACTGACGGAGTAAGTAAACAGATTTCTAATCAATTGAGCATGGTTGCTTTTTTACTATTTTTAATTTGTTTTTTAGCTCCTGATGATGGCAGCATAGTCTATAATTTATTTATTTATTTATTTATAATCCATACACTGCCTGAACAGAGTGATCCAATTAACAGGCAGGGAAAAAACAAAAAGTGATAATATATATATATATATATATATATATATATAACTTGAGACGTGGTCATTGTTTTCTAGACCAGTTAGGTGAAAAATTAAAGCTTCCGCCTTTTGTTGGGTACTTCGACAAAATTTAAGAAAGAAGGACTCTTTATACTTTTTTATTCTCTCTAGCTTTCAATGGTATTTGCCATAATCATCAGGAGCTGCAATTACATTTATAACAGTAGCAACAATAGTGTAAAATGAATTTAAATTAACTTACAGTAGTATGTGAGGATGTTGCTAATTGTTGTTTACGTTACGGATGAGGTAAACACCCAGTAACACGGTGAAAGCTGGATAAATGGTACAATGGTCAAAATTATAGAGAGGCAGTTGAATTAACTATATTATTATTAGATGGGCAATAGAATTAACAGTAATTATTTAATTATGAGGAAACAGTTATTAAAATTTGAATGGAATGGAGTTTTTTGGTGGAATAGACCAAAAAACAGATTCCACCAAAATTTGGAGAGTTGTGTAAGTGCTCCAATTTTTCGCAATTTAGCAAATATGAGTCAATGAGGCTCAGTTGCTTAACATCTGTCTTTTTATTAATACAGTTGTCAGTCATGAAAATGTGGTTAATTTCCAGGAATAAACGTTTGGATAGGTGTTTTTCTTTATCGAGAACTTTGATACTTGTGTAGTTCATTGTCGAATTGCTTGCAAATCCGTCCTCACTATAAACTGCATTTTTTCAAAGATGAAAGACAGAGTTCCGCTGCTTGGCTTAACCAACACAGTCTACTCTATCAATTGCAACAATTGCAACCAAATATACATAGCTCAGACCTCCAGATCTCTTAAAGGAAGGATTACATCACACAAAAGTGATTCTAGGCTTCATCCCGAAAGATGTGCTCTAGCATCTCATGCCAACACAACGGGCACCCTATGAACTACACAGGTATCAAAGTTCTCGATAAAGAAAAACACCTATCCAAACGTTTATTCCTGGAAATGTCCCACATTTTCATGAATGACAACTGTATCAATAAAAAGACAGATGTTAAGCAACTTCATTTACTCATATTTGCTAAACTGCGAAAAATTGGAGCACTTACACATCTCTCTAAATTTTGACTCTTCACAACCATAAGTAGAATGTTTTTTGGTCTATTCCACCAAAAAAACTCCATTCCATTCAAACTTTAATAACTGTTTCCTCATAATTAAATAATAACTGTCAATTCTATTGCCCATCTAATAATAATATAGTTAATTCAACTGCCTCTGGTCGGGTTGACAAATTCTTACCCAACATATTCTGAAAATTACACCATCTGAAGTGATTTGGCAACGTAGCACGCGCCTTACAAAAAGAATTTTCGTTCCATCATTCTACACGGACACTGCTAACCTTCGGCCATTTGTCAAAAGGTTCATCTTACTCATGATTCCATGCCCACCATTTTGTGCAATCATCAAGTGGCTTCACGATGTAATGCTTAACTTTCGTTTTAAATATTTTTTAATCTGTTTTTAACTTGTTCTTGTCATACAGCTGTGTGTAGTTTGTATAATTTTGAGCATTGTACCATTTATCCAGCTTTCACCATGTTACTGGGTGTTTCCCTCATCCTTAACGTAAACAACAATTAGCAACAATAAGTTAATTTAAATTCATTTTACACTATTGTTGCTACTGTTACTAATGTGATTGCAGCTCCTGATGATGATGGCAAAGACCATTGAAAGCTAGAGAGAATAAAACAAGTATAAAGAGTCCTCCTTGCTTAAATTTTGTCGAAGTACCCAACAAAAGGCGGAAGCTTTAATTTTCCACCTATGTACGTATATATACAGGGTGACTTTGAAGTTGAGTCATTAATTTTCAGATAATGATTGTAGAAGGAAGATAAACCAAAATATCTGTGTAAAAATAAAAAAAAAATAAAAAAAATTTTTACCTTGTTTTATAAAGTATCCTCCCGACAAGTATTTCAGTGCGGACCTGTATTTGATCGTGAGATCCCCTGTGAGGTCTTAAGTCACCTGATTCACGAGCCCGTTGTACTACATTAACAAAGGCACGAGAGGTTGGTTGCACTCGATTGGGAAACCGATCCGCATAAACATGTGCTATTTTTTATTTCGTTTGAGCCACGCAACAGACACTATTCACACGCGACTGACACTGTCTGTATGTATAACTGAACTGAATAAAATAATAAATTGTACAAACATCGTTCCAAATTCTTTCGCTTTTTGTTTCCGATGCGATGAACCGGTAAGGCGGATTATATCTGTTGTTGCCAAACACGAGCACATGATATTGAGACAGGGCGGTACTCAAACTTCCAAAGGGCTATAACTTTGTTACTTTAATTTTACCAGAAAAATGGTAAAGGAAAAAAACATTTCTTTTGATCAGATCTACTCACTGTTAAAATAAATGACTCAACTTCGAAGTATATATATAACGGCGTGAGCCGTGGTCATCGTATCGTCATCTAAACAACCAGTTAGGTGGAGAAAAGGTTCAGCTTTTATTGGGTACTTCGATAAATTAATGCAAAGTGTACTCTTTTAACATTATTCTAAAGGTTTCGATCATCAGGAGAAGACATTTGTAAAATAGCAACTACATTTGAAAAGTTGATCTCAAATTACTTACGAAAGTAGGCGAGTTTATTATTAAATGTTATTAACTAAGTTAATGAGAACACTTAGTGGTGACCTAATGAAAACTGGACGCATGCTGGCAGTTGTTAAAATTTATCAGTTACACATAGCCATGTGTCAAAAAAAAACAGTACAACGGATTTAAACACTTTTGGATTGATTGCTAAATTGTTTGATTTCATACATCGTGACAATCTTGTTACTTAAGAAAATGGCGCACGAGACCAAACCATCGGAAGCATAAAGAGCATGACAAGAGTTGACATTAACTGACAGTTGATCGAGGAGTGGCTGGAATGGGTGGTGTGTGTTATAGATGCTACCAATCTGATTGAACACGTGTCATGTTTTAAATCCATGTCCGCACTCCGGTTTATATTTCTATTACGAATGATTTTTGGACTACAAAAGTCTGTAAATGCTTTTATTTCTGCAACTTGACATATTTTTGTGACGACAGAAATCATGACTGATGTAACACAGCTACTTGTATGCTTTCAATTAGTCTCTCTCCAAAGGCTAGACCCATACCACACTAATGAGTTGCAGTTAATCATGGTAACTGAGACGGAAAGCAAACATGTCCGTTCTAGCCTGTGCCTATTACAGGGTATTCCATCCTTGAATGGATGTAGTGAAATAGTAGGTGTATGGACCGAAAACTTTTCATATTTGAAAATAAGGAAGTTCTAAATTCAGTATTTACGGATGATTTATCTAAAAAGCCATAACTCTAACATAACATGCCTAAGGGTGAAAACACAGTGGAAGCTGGTTTCCTGCTTACCGGCAACCAGAGCCGATCGGCGCCTAGAAGCTTCTATAATAATATAATGCTCTTGAGTTGGCAATAACACAATAGAGGCAGGCTCAGGCTGCCGGCGCAGGCAGTCGGCGTTACCGGTTTTGCCGGAACAATTATTTAGTTCTTTCTCGCCGGTTGTCAGAGCAGGTTCATGTGGATAATGGATACAGACAAGTTATTCGCATCAGTATATAAACAATTCCCCATATGATTCATTCTGGTGTACTGAAAAAGCAGTCGGGGTCATCTTTCAACGCCTTTAACAAATGATGATATTCACCATAATGTACCCTCTCACGATTTATGGGGTGAATACCAACTTCCTTTCTAGTGATTATTTTAGTTACAGAGCTGTCCAATGCAATAAATTCATCTTCGGTTGAGCTAGACCCCATGTTGATACGAATACTACGCTGGAACTGACAAGAGGCCGGTTTTAATTCCCTTTTTTCTCGTGAGCACTGTGTCCATGACCAGTGCCGAAATTCGGTACCGATCGACTTTAGTTGCCGGTAAGCAGGAAACCAGCTTCCACTGCGTTTTCGCCCTTAGGCACACAGGGTGTTTAATTATTTATTTATTCCTAACAGGTTACACCCAATTACATGAAATATACCAACAACGAAAGTATGTCAATAATTTAACAACAGAGGAACATAAAAGACACAAATAAATGTATACAAGTGTGCCAATATTTGAAATGTGGAAATAGCTCTTAACATATCGATCCTATATCACACCAAGGTACCAATCTCGGTATCAATCCAATATTCTCGATCACAAAAAATATCACAAGAGGAACAAATCGCATTGGAACATTTACACATATAGTATAACGGTGATTTACACCCGATGTTTGTATTACAAATGTCAGGGTAACACAAAATCTGAAACCGGTTGCCTAACCTAGGCACGCGAAAAATTTTGCTTAATATTAAGGGGCAATCAATTTGATTGATTAATACTTTATATAATAATCTTAGCGCCGATAAATCACGCCTTAGCTGTAACGGATCAAGTTGAAAGATTCTCAACAGCGCCAAATGGTCAAAACTTTTTTCAGGGTAGTGACCGTGACATTTAAAATAAAAATATTTAAGTGCTTTACGCTGCACGCACTCAATGCTCACTCTGCAGGTTTGATAGGTAGAAGACTAGATGATAGATGCGTGCTCCAGCTTACTCCTGATAAGAGTGAAATACAGAAGCTTTAAACACGACATCCAAATCCTTGACAGTCGAGGTTCGCTCTAGCAGGTTGTGATCAATGTTATAGTTATCGTATAATATAGGATGAAGTTTTCTACATAACCTTACCTTTTGAAATATTAATATTAACTGTATTGTTCGAGCACCATGAGTAAACAAGCTTCACGCAGTTTTGCAATAGAATGCAGTCGTTGAGATTATTAATAACAGCATATATTTTCAAATCATCAGCATAAAGTAGATGCATGCATGGCAAAGATAGCGATAAATTTTATTAATAAAGATTATGAACAACAAAGGTCCTAAATTACACCCCTGGGGTACACCCGATGTTGCTGTATAAGTCTTGCATTGATACCCGCCATATTCCACGTACATGTTCCTTTCCAGGATATAAGACTGTATGAGAAGCAGTAAAGGATCTGACAAGCCAGCAGATTCAAGTTTAGCTAATAACAAGTAATGATGAATTTGCTCCAAGATCTTTTGAATGTCAGTGTATATGACATCCAATTGGCGCTGATCATCCAAAACTGTAGACATTTCTTGCGTTAAACAAGTCAAGTTTGTGACTGTGCCTCCCAGACATAAGCCCATGCTGATTGTCAGAATAGATCCTCTCACAGAGCCATACAAGACATCGTATATTAGGATCTCAAACATTTTGCTAAAGGTAAAAAGTATAGCTATCTTCCTACAGTTACAGATATCGCTGACATCACCATTTTTGAAAATCGGACAAACCTTAGTCATTTTCCAGATCGAGGGGTACGTACATGTTGATATCATTAGATTGATAATTACACACAGAGGTTTGGCCAATACATAAATACAACCGTTTACTATAAAATTGGGAACACCATCGAATCTTGAAGTCATTTTGTTATTGACCTTCCTAGAAGCGCGAATAATATCATCTTCACTAATACAGATCAATGCACTAGTTGTGCGAGTGGGCTTTAATGATTTGTAGTTAGATGCATCAGATTTTGTGAAAACTGTTGAAAAATATTCAGCAAAAATATCAACTATCTCCCTAGGCGAGCTATAATGAATGTCCTTATAAATTATATTTTCTGGAATTCTTGAATTTTGTCTTCTAGCATTAACGAATGACCAGAATTTAGTAGGAGTTTGACGAATTTTATCCTCAGCATCCTGAATATATGCTGAATATGTAACTGTGATTTGATGCTTAATCTCAGCACGGATCTGTTTAAATTTTTGATGGAGATGGTTGGCATTATTTGTTCTGATTTTTTCCTTGGTCTGTCAGTTTTATATTTGCGATAATCTCCCTATTGAGCCATGGGGGATATGTGCGAGATTTAGTCTTGAATTTAGGAACATTGTCTTCAAACACATGATTTATAATATTGCATAAAAGACCACATGCTACATTTACATCATCGGATTCAGAAATTGGAGACCAGTCAGTGAATAGGAATGCGTCACACATAGCATTATAATTTGCTCGGCGAAAATTATATCTAATATTAATAAAGGAAAAACTCCGCTTGATATCACTAACATTAAGCTCGAGTACTAAAGCTGGATGGTGGTGATTCTCCTTAACAGGCTGTAAGTCATTCCTCAGAACAACGACATTGAAGTTGGCTAAAGTACAGTAACCGTGCATTATCATTAACTACATTATTGCATTTTGAAGCTGTAAGAAAGAGCAGAACTGGCTTACAATTTGATTCATACGGTCATTTACATCAATACTGAACGTAGGAATATTGAAGTCACCAACTAGGAAAATTTTATAAGATTCAAAAGCTCCAATAAATTATACCAAATCATCCAAGTAATACTCAAACTCGGTTGTCGTTACAGATGGTGGAATGTACAAGGTAAAAATAACAAGAATAGAGCTATGAAAAACGATTTTAACTGCAACAGTGTCAATCGAGGGAAAGCTTCATCGGATCCTGGAATTTTGAGCTCCTAAAACATCTTTCGTTTAATTTGAAGCACCTGAATTTGACTGAATTGTGGAAAGAGGATGAACAAGTACGACAATTTTATCAGGTTTCTGCAAAACGCAAAACATTTTTCCTCAAAAAGTTTTAATGAAACATTTCATATATTTTATCTTTACATCGTCAGATTCGCGTTTTTTATGTTTCTTCTGGTATCAAGCCTAACACTGCTTATAGGATTATAAAAAAAACATGTTTGTTATGCCACGAAACCCCCATCTTCAAATAAAGTCTAAATACTCACCTATAAAATGTCAATCATTTTTTCATAGTTTTGCTATTAAATTACTTTTCATTTTCATTGGGATACCTTGTATATATTGTATGTGGTCACGTGATTTTTATTATATCATCAAGTCTACAATAAAGACGAGTTAGTTTTCGTAGAATGGTGCAGTCAGGCTTACCTACAGGGACTAAGGCCCGTATCGTCAGTCGTCCCTACAATTGTAGGGCGCGTTTATGGCCTCCTTGATTGTCATAGTTTTCTATTTCTCCATGTCAGAGCTCTATTTTGAGGTTATGTCACAAACATCTATTTGCATCAAATTGTGCTTGCTTTTGAGTTATATCATGTTTTATCATCCTATCTTAACAATAGGAGAGCGCTGACGCTGACACGGGACGAGTGTAATCTAGAAATTTTTGAAGGAGAGAAAAGAGTATGACAATCAAGGAGGCCATAAACGCACCCTACAATTGTAGGGACGACTGACGATACCGGCCTTAGACACCAAACCTCAACACGTATCTCCAACAGAAACATTTCTGGGCTTTGCGCCTATTGACACACTTGATCAACACAACATGACCTATCACTATACCAATTTTTATTAAACTTGACTGGTGATCAAATCCCCTGTTTTGTGCCAGGTACTCTCAACAAAATCGGTTTAACGGTGCCTGAGATATGTGCTATTGAAGATTTATCATGTTTAGATATATCCCGTATATCCATAAAATTGAATTTAGAACTTTTTAATTCTCCGATATGAAAAAGCTTTGATCCATACTACATACCATTTAGTTATTTTCATTTAGGTACGAAAACACCCTGAATACATAGCAAGCCATTGCTTATTTGCCTTGTTAATACCTGGTATTTCGACTACTTGATGAGACGACAATAATAGTGGCGCGATATCTATTGTGCCCAGTATATTGGATACCAAAATTTCCCAATTTATTTTTCAGGGTAACGATACCATGGACGATATCACAGTTGATCAATTACTTCCAGCCAAACCAAACTCATCTAACGGACTGCGATGCATACTATTTAGCGGCCTTACTTATATTCCTCAATCTACTAACATCACCTACTTGCACAACTATTTGTTGCATCTGACTTCAATGGGTATCAGGATACGCACAGCTTTCTGCGCTCTGATCTACAGAAAGTGCTTGAGGTTGAGCCCTGAGTCACTGACCACGATCACTACTGGAAACATAGTGACTTTGATGACGAAAGATGTCGCTGCGTTCGAGACGATGATCATGTATGCGAATGACGTTTGGATTGGGTGCGTCCAAACGGTTGTGATATTTTATTTGCTTTATCGGAGAGTTGGAGTAGCAGCTTTTGTTGGAGTTGGACTGTTCTTGATTATGATACCGATTCAGAGTAAGTTTTTTCTGAATACACTAGTGATGTGCTTTCTAGTTCTTTCCGGTTCTAGCAAATACTTCGCGAAGAAACTATTTTACGAAACAATAAGGCATAACGCGTTATCATTCAGTAAAAAAGCCCCTTTCATCTGATCCCCGGGGCTAAACAGAGTCGGGCGCAGTTATTATTTGGATAGATAACCGTTTCAGAACACCTCGTATTGTTGATTCCTTTGGTTTTTCATTTTTCTGTTAGGATAGATGTTTAAAATCTACGAAGTCCACGTAAACTGCCGCTCACATAGTAGATGTATTTAGCTATGAGATATGTACGCTTTCTAACAATCTCAGATATCTTGGGGGATACACTTTTGTTTTTGTTTTGGCCAGTTTCGCAAAGAAAGCCATGAACCGGAGAAGAGGAATACAGGCGCAGACCTTTGGGACCATTTTCACCTTTAGGGAAAAGGTGTCTCTGGAGTTTAAAATCTGGTCTCAGTAGGTGTTATGCATACTTTAACAAATCGCTTCTACCAAGAACAGAGGATGCTTTGAAGTGGTAGCAGGAATCACAAAAGCCTGTCCCACATTATTTGACATGGTTAAACAAAAAGTTTGTGACATATAGCGACATCTATGTCATGCGAACGGCCTTTTTGAAGGCTGGTCAAGTCTTGTCAGAAAGAAGAACTCAACGGGTCATATCCTGTATAAAAGTTAGCTAATCTTTATTTCTTTCAGCCTCTGTACTAACTACGGTGTTCCTTCTCCTATCTCGCTCCCTTTAATTGGCGCTTATCCTCTTAAATAATCTCAGAGAGCGAACTTACTTTTTGTTGCTTCGCGCCATTAATGTTAGGAAATGCCTATGGTGGAGCTAAAACTTGCGGAACATCAGCATTGACATTGCGGAACAAAAAAGAATGCCATCAATTGACACGGATATTTTGATTATTACATAAACATCACTATCTGACAGTCGCGAATATTGCACTGGGTTAACACTGTTAAAATAGTTCACAAACAACCGTGAGCGTCACCTATAAAGGAAAGACATAACCACCGATTTGTTAATATTTGCCGGAACTGCAGCAACCCGCATCTTGCTAGCATGGTTTGTGGGTTGCAGGCTCCCAGGATATTATGCGGTACTTTTGGAACAAGATGTCATGAAGGAAATATTGATTGATATCGATGTACGAGCGTATATGCTACTCATGAGTTAGAAATGTTCGGTTCAAATTTGGTCATTCTCTTGAGAAATAGAGAAAGAAAAAGTGCATGAGTTTTGCCATCGTTTGTAAGTTTCAACTATAAAGACCAAGTTGTGGTAATCGTGAGATTAAATTCCAGGACCATCAACTATTTTACCACAAACGGATGTATTTACAGTAATCCATTCTGCTGGTTGTTCTATTCGCTCATTAATTGGCCTCTTTACGTCGATGGCAGTTTGGCTTTTGAAGGATCGTCAAGAATGTAATAATTGCTATTTTCTTTTCAGTTACATTGGCAAAGTTGTATCCAAGTTACGTGTGGAATCGGCAAAGAATACTGACAAAGACTACAAACTATACGAGATGCTGTTTCTTCAATAAAAATTATAAAAATGTATAATTGGGAGTCCATATTTGAAGATAGGATTTCACGTAATAGGAGGTAAGGAGACAAATCAGAGTCCTAATAGGTACTTCGTAATTTAAATTTACCGCCATTTACCAGCGACTCGACCTTATAATTATATGTTGAACATGTATGTAAACAAATCGTCACAAACGCAAACGTGTGAATAGAACGTTTGGCTTGGTTTGCGTAGGTTTGCAAGCGCTTGAGCGCTGCTGGCGGGTAGACAGAAGTTCGTTCCAGAGTAAGCTGGGTCTAATTGATCTCTAGTGTTGTAAAACTCAACTAAAGTTTTTTCAGCTCAACTCAGTACTTAGTTCAATTGAATTGATCAATGAGTTAACTCCTTTGAGTTGTTTAACTCAGTAGCAAGGAACTTGCGCTGCAGTTCTAATTTTTAGTGCTTTATAAATCTAAAATAATTTTAAAAAAAATGAAGTATGCAAAAGATTAAGATGATCCCGGTGGTCAATAGTTGGCCTGTAAAATACAAACACGAAGTCGAGGACCCTCAACGTGATGAAATGCCTAACTATTAACTTCCTAAAGACTGTGTTCATGCCATTCACAAATCATAGAAACAAATAATCATCCTTGTATCTGTACAGATTATCTGTGGTGATATAAATACTCAAACAATTTAACTAACAAAATAAAATATCTAGGTGTACGTTTAGACTCACATGTAAAGTGGAATATATAGTACATATTGGACCATCTGAGACCATTATTGTTTAAATTTAAGTATCTAAACAAATATTTGGATAAAAAACAATACAAATTTTATATCATGCTATGATCGAAAGTCGTATGAGTTATGCAATATTTTAGGTTGGGATGGAGCACTGAATAACCAATGAATAAATTAGAAATTATCCAAAAGCAATCTTCGAACCTAATTTTTGACAAGCCACCCCTATACCCATCTGATCTGTTGAAGTCTGAAGCAAAACTGTTCGGCCCTAGGCCACAATTTTTTTATAAAATTATAATGTAGTTTCTACATAGAAATTATCTTATTCCGTTAGATCACTTATATCAAACGAGAAACAGAATCAACATCATCAAGCAAACAGCTTTCACCTCAAAAACTATAGGCCCAAGATGTCATACTTACCTTTGATTATATAACCTTATTTCCAAATTATACAAGCTATATTTCAAATAAAACAAAATGCAAAATTGGAGTTGAAAATATCGACATCAATTGCAAGCATGACAGGCACGAAGAAAGTTTAAATTTAATGTAGTAGTAAAAACTCCAACGTTCATATATACAGGGTGGCCCATCCATGTGTGGACGAAATATTAATCATAATGAAATACATTTTGGGAAAGTCTATTTATGGCTGGCATATATGTCATTTCAAGGCACATTTCTAAAATATTGGCAATTATACAGGGTGTCTCAGTTTTGACCTACATATCAAAGTTATGATTTTTTAAGTAGAATGCCTCAAATTTTATTGCATATTTGGATAAAGCAATTTAAAAGAAGAAGATTGATATGACATACTATGGGGTTTTGCTTATTAGCTATTGAGATATGAGGTGTTCTGTCCAGAAAATCCGTCCACGTCGTCAACCCCTCAATCCGCCATTTTGGAATTTGGAGTGCTGAATTTTATATCAAAAAGAACTTACACACCTCAGCTTTTATCTTATTCGTTTCTTTTTCGAATTTACATTTTTGCTCATACAGGGTGGTCAAAACGCAAATTGTACTTTTTGAAAAAATTCAAATGCATCACCCTATATATTTGTGCAAGTTTGGATTCGATTTTCCTTAAGCTTTTTTTCTAGTATAAAGTTTGATTCAGACAAAATCACTAGATTTCAGTTATTAAGCTTTTAATAGAACAACCACACCAAAATTAAGGGAAAAAGTCACATCATCCATGGAAACAAAAGACAAACAGTGGGCTAGCCATATTGCCACTAAGAGTACAGATTTGACGTAAATACTATAACAATCAGAACAGTATAAATCAGCTTCAAGCGTAATAGAGAAAAACAACTATAACAACAACATAAACAAACAACTATTACTACTCAATACCTAATCTACAAAACTGCTCGAAAATATTTTCTGTTGAATACACAGCCGTAGCCTTTGGATAAATGACCGTTGCACGTCCCTCAATACGTGTTTCCTTATGTTCAGAAAAGCATCCTTGATCCTTTCCTTCATATTTTCCGGCGTAGATGGCGGATATCTATAAACCTCTTGCTTAACGTAGCCTCATAGAAAGAAGTCCATCGGTGTCATATCTGGTGACCTAGGAGACCAAGATATAGGCCCATCATGACCGATCCAACGATTGTTACTGCAGGTGTCCAAATAGTTATGCACACGATTATAATAATGCGCAGGTATGCCATCAGGTTGACATCCTCCAAAAGCAAAGGCAAATGCTCGAGCAAAAAATTCAAGTACCTGTTAATCTGTTGTCGAAAAAGAAAGGCCCGACAACTTGTCTGACAATAGCCCTCCCCAAACATTCAAGCTCCATTCATTTTGGAAATCTATTGCCTAAAAGAACCTTATTCAGGAAAGTAGTGTCTTCACTCAAGTTATTTAGCATTATTCTACTAAACTCCATTCGAGCTGCGAAATCCTGAGGACGAAGGCCTTGATGCAAGCATAGGTGATATGGCTGGTACCTATGCTTGTGAATAAACTTTTGGACACAAAATCTGCATATATCAGTTTCTGCTCCAATTTGCCGTGCACTTAAATGGGGATTTTCCTGCAACTTTAATGGAACCTCCAACTGATTCGCTTCATGGTGATACTTGGATTATTTCTATATTTTTACTATATTACACTGCTCCACTTGATTCAAACGTTTTCGTAGTACGGGAAATATTTCTGGCCTTGGATGTCGCATATTAGGGTACGTTGTTTATAAATGCGAGATGACAGGAAATTATTTCTAACGAACACCATATTCACCATTTTTTCTGTAGAAAAATTCATTTTCAAACAGCTTTTTATTATAATGCTCACAAAACCAATTTTGACAGTTTGTAACTAATCAACAATTTATTTGTTTCCAAGGATGATGCGATATTTTAGGGAATTACGCCGTTCCATAAAATACGTGGTAATAACCGAAAAAATAGCCGTAAAAACCCTTGTGTCTAGTATCAAAAAAAGCCTATAAAAATTGAATCCAAACTTGCACAAATATATAGGGTGATGCATTTGAAATTTTTGAGAAAAACTACAATTTGCGTTTTTGACCACCCTGTATGAGCAAAAATTAAAATTCGAATAAGTAACAAATACGATAAAAGCTGTGGTGTGTTAAGTGATAAAAAATTTAGCACTCCAAATTTCAAAATGGCGGACTGAGGGGTTGCCGAGGTGGAGGGTTTTTGTAGGCAAAACACCTTATATCTCAGTAGCTAATTACCAAAACTCCATAGTGTGTTATATCAATTTTCTTCTTTTGAATTGGCTTATCCAAATATGCAATAAGATTTGAGGCATTCCTTTAAAAAATCACAACTTTGATATGTAGGTCGACATTGGGACACCCTGTATAATGGCCAATATTTTAGAAATATGCCCTCAAATGTCATGTATAACCCCATTAACAGATTTTCCTAAAATGTATTTTTTATGAGTAATATTCAGTCCACACATGGATGGGCCACCCTGTATATATATTTAGGTTATGAGTTCATTAACATGCACAATTAATTTTGCTGTGGGTAACTTTATTTAGGTATACGTATGTTAGTTTTAGTTATGCTTGTACAATACGTGAATAATCTTATCATTATAGTATTGTCACGTCTCCCAGATAAAACTTCCTGCGAGCGCTCATGGAAAGTGTTTCACTGAAAAATCTAGTAATATTATTTTTGTTGAAGTGCTTTGATTGGTCATGTATTATAATCCTGTCACATGCAGCCCCGGAGTGATCACACACTTGACATATGTTTCCTATGTGCTCTTTGATTTTTAGGATCGAGATAAACAGCCTAGTGAAGATATTCATAAGAAAGGTAATGATCCTTCTCCTGGGCGCCTTGACCTCAAAACTAGCCTTCTTTGCCATGGTAATGATGTACGTCTGGCTAGGCAACCCTATTTCAGCAGAGCTGGTTTACTTTATCCTCACTCTGCTGCAAAGAGTGAGACACGCTTTCAACGTGGTGATTCCTATGGGTATCACTGAGTCCGCAGAGTTGTATGCTTCAGCTAAGAGGATAGAGGCTTTGCTCAAAACGGAGAGTGTTACGAAGAATGCCGATGAAAAAACTGTTTTGAAGGATAATATGTTAGGGTATGCATATGGAACTGTTTCTACCACCAGATTATTACCCAGAAACCAGAGTTCACTTCTTCGAAGGTTTTTAAAGCACAGAATCTGAATCTGTGCTCCAAATCTCTCGATATAACGAACAGCTGTTACTCACTCCCGTCTGACGGTCTAACCGCTAATCATATACCCGCCTATAACTTGAGAAGTACTGTCGGATTACGTTGAAATATTCACACAATGTTACTACTATGTCAGGGATGAAAAAACTGTGTAGTTTTTGAAAATCGGTCCAGTGACGGGGGAGAAAACAACCTACTTGATGCCATTTTTCAGAATAAAAGCTTACTTTCTTCTGATAGAAGTTGAAAACATCTAGATCAGAAAAATTATAAGTCATATTTCGGCATTAGATGAAGATGTTTAAGCAAACTCATAGGTAAGGCTTGTACTTTGAGATGATGTTTATGATTTTCTAGAAAAAAATTATTCGCCGTGCTACATAACCTCAAATATAGGCAACAATGGCTGTTCTTGCAGTTTTAGATTATAATATTGCGGAAATTAGAACTAATTGAGAGATTTGGACCACGGATTTGGATTCAGTGCATGAAAATCCTTCGGGAAAGTATATCTCAGTTTCTGACGGCCTATGTTGTTGAAGTGACATTCATTATGTCACTTACTTGATAAGACAGGCCAAACAATGATAAGATCAAATTATATAAAAAATTCATTGAGTGCCGCACGGGTATTACGTATCTTGAAAAGTGACGTTATATCGATTTTTTTTGACATTATACTATTTTTTTTGACATTATGTAGTTTTTTCGACAAGATGTTAACTTAGTACTAGGTGATCGACACTTGTCGTGAACTCGTTTGTAGTTGTATGTGTTGCCTAAACGTCATGATGTTTCAGTTATCAATGTTTGGCTCTGATGTGATGTAAAATCTGCTTCAGAGATGGCATGTGTGCTGATGATAATTCCATTGGATTCTTGTCTCAAATACACTTAATTGAGATTCAAGGCATGAATTTAGTTGCGCATCCACTTTTCCTAATCCATTCTGGGAATTACATATGCAAATTCGCTGAATTTAAAAAATGAGAGACAAGAAATAATTATATTCACTGTAGACTGTTGAATTACAAGTCATATACATGGTTATAGTAATTACACACAACGCGGGCGCGGTGGTGATTTCCCGTAATTCTTCTCAAAGATTTGAAAACACAAAAGGAAAAAATCGTAATGTATAGCTTTGAGCATAACCTCTCTTCAGAAAGATATACTTCATTGGCAGCATAGTCAGTAATAATTTTCTCACATAGCAAATATCACAGATTTTATACACATGCAGACCAACACAATAGTCCAGGTGCGGTATGGCTGCTACTCAACCAAATTTTCGTTCTAACACATTTCACAAACAAAGTGGCTGGCTGCAACCAACAACGCATTCTTGGAAAGAGACGAGCATTCTTCCATAGATGGACGCTTTGGATCGCGCTCACAACGATCTTAGTGAGCAAACGGAGAACGACAGTTTGCACCCTAAAAACTAACTTGTATGCAAGATGACATCTTATAGGTTTTTTTTTTGACGCTTTATAGGCTTTTTACATAATACCCGTGCGGTTGTACAAGGTTCGCGAGTTCTATATATCGATAATATGAATTAAATTAAACTTTTTCATTACAACAAATTCACACAGTTATGAAAATATTTGCGAAGTTATCCAGGGAAGACGTAGACGCTAACAAAAATAGGAAAAGGCAACATTTTATTGAAGATTTTCCATAAACTAATGCACTTGAGGGTGACAAAATTATTCATCCACTGAATCACGGAATGTAGTCCATTATTTATTATGCATTGCTTACATTTGTTTGATATTTCTGTGATAGTAGTCAGTTTACTAAAAGAGAATCGGTTCCACGGTTCAATGGGGAGCTGTGGCAACTGTGCAATTCCAAATTTAGTATACATAAATGCAACAAACATTACATAACTTTAGTCTAAGCGACACACCCTAGAAGTACAAAAGCGCGATGCACGTGTATTTTTCGAAATAATGTTTTTTTACTATAATTGCATTTGTATTGATATCCTAAGCTTTACATTGATCTTATTCCAAAGTAATTGGTCATACCTGATTGTTGGACTTTCTATTGCAGTACTTGTAATTATTTTTTATTTATTAGTTGGATTTTCTATTAAATAGTGTTTTTCATTTTTTTAAAGCTTCTTCAGTATTGCTACAAGCTACTGTGGATCCGGGTCACTAGCTAGTTCAGGAGTAAATAAGGACAGGAAAATACATAAGAAATACTGGTTTGCATTTTGTGAGTGAATTAATGTCTACACTACATAGTGTTATATTTTATGAAAAATGTTTTATGGCTTTCAGCAATTTCACCGAGTTTCTGCTTGTTCTAATATGTAATATTTGTATTGAGAGTTAAAATCATGGTTGTATAGCTTCGTAAAACATAAGCTAAAGCAAAGGTGGTGAAAGTTCTTTAATACTTCTCTGTTGCCAAATTTTTCATAAAACAGTAAGCATTAATTCTTTTTATTACGTGTATACCATCTTTGGATAACTTGAAAACAATCTGTATAAGATCAAGATAAATCAGAAAAATAATACAACAGAGGAGTTGCTTTTGATTATTGGACAAACAATTGTTAATTGCTTGATTTTAGTTTTTTCAAGGATTTCATAAAAAAAAACTAAAAAAGATAGACTTTGTACTAAAGTATATACAGGGTCTGCGAAAGGTTGGGAAATCAATTGGAGATACTACAAATCAAACTTCTAGGGAGCGTCACTTAGAGCACTATTTCATATTATTTATATTTCACATAACTTATCATAACTTTTTTGTGCTACCCTGTATACAACAACTGACCAAAAATCTTGTTTTATTGTATTTTCTTAACAAAAAAGGTTTACTTGTTACTTGTACTTATCGTCTAAAGATGAAAGTTTTTCAGATATTTGTCTTTAAAGTATTACATCCTGCCAATCCGTACATTAAATGCATACCAGAATATTTATGGTGTTTAAAAACTTATTGTCAACTTAAAATTATACATAAAGTTTAAAGCAATATTATGACAAATATTAGAAACCATAGCAACGCTACTCAGATATTATCCAAAGCAACTTGATCATTATGTTATAAAAATGTTTTATCATCATGGTACAAATAACGCATTGGAACTATTAAAAACATATATCTCGAAAACTATTAGTATTTTCATACTAGAAAGTCTCCCTATACCGAGTTTTATGCTAAAATCTGTAAAACTTCTCCAGCAATAAGGCAAAATAGGAAATCATTGTAACTTTGACACCCTGTATCTCGCAAACTATAAACTTTTGGACTAAGGTATGTTTAGGTCAGTTCACCTCCAGTTTCGAGATTAACCAACCTTTCGCAGAAACAAACTGTATAATGTCGGAAAAAATCTTCCGTGATTGCACGAGCGTCCGTGACAGTGTATACTGCCACGGATGGGAGGGATTTAATGATGATTTCTTCCACCACGTCCTGGTGTGCGCTAGCCTTAACCCATCAATGTTTAAATTACTGGATTTTGTCTTCAGGATAAACGAAAATGCTAAAGTAAACGTAAGAAATACCACAGTAGAAATACGGGGTCACACAGTTCTGAAAGGAATCTCCTTCGAAGTAAACAATGGGCTGACAATTATCTCAGGTCCAATAGGCTCTGGCAAAACCACACTCCTAAGACTTCTGTTGAATGACATAAGTTGCAAGGAGGGCTCCGTGCTTGTAAATGGCCGGGTATCTTACGCTCCTCAGGAACCATGGGTTTTTCCTTCTACTTTGAAACAAAACATACTTTTGGGCGAGAAGTTTGATAGAAACAGGTACGAGGAGGTATTGAAAGTGTGCGCTCTTACTCTTGATAGAGACAGACTTCCAGGAGGTAAGTAGAAGGCTTCTCGATTTTCATACTTTAGTCATCATGGAGGTCCAAGGCTATTTTGATAATGTGTCGCTTTAGTGATAATGTAAGTTATGGTATCCTGATGTCATTACCTTAAAGCATTAACACCATCGAAGTCACTACTGATTTCTGGAAAATTCGTAACTCTAATCCTAGAATATAAAAGGGTCTTTGACTATTCTCTGTACTCATTTCGTTACTTGTTCTTCTGTTCTCAACTGTTGCTGATGCCTCTATAAAAGCTACTCTACAAAAGTTACTGAAGTATTTCTCTAACATCCTTTGGCGATTATAAGAGAAATAGGAACGCGAGTGATAATTCCTTAGTGCAATCAATCACCCCACGATCCACACGTATTTAATTTGTATGGCCAATAAGACCACAAGATTTCACCCGCATGGAATTTTTCGTAGCGTGGACACCAAGAATGAAATTTACGTTATACTTATTATGTAAAAAACTGAATCAGAATATTTTATGTGAGGACTTTTCCTGAGCTACAAGAATGATATTCGATTTTAGGGGACGATTTCATGGTGAAGGAACAAGGATCTAACATCAGCAGTGGTCAAAAAGCAAGAATCAGTTTGGCAAGAGCTGCATATAGGAATTCAGATGTATACCTATTAGATGATTGTCTAAGGTCTTTGGACATACATGTTCAGGAATACGTGTTTAAAGAATGCTTGCAAAGGTTTATGACTGGGAAGATTTGCATTTTCGTCACCCAAAATAACAACTTTTTTTATAAGGCTGACGGGATACTATGGATTGAAAATGGTGTGGTGCAAATGAAATCTCGTGGGGTTATTAATGCTGAAAAACAACATGTGAAGGGTAGGAGCATTTTGTTTTATTATTTTATGAGCAACTTGGTCGTGTGTTCAACAGCTTTACCTACAAGGTGTTACATCCAGGCAATGACAAAATATTGCTTCTAAACATGAATTTATCAGATAAAATATGGGATATTACACACAGCATCTGGGTGCACATTTATATAGTACTCACAATTATTCATAGTTTTCCTTTCTCTTGACTCACATATTATAGTTGATTTTTTTTACGAAATGCCATATTTTTTACATGCTCGGATAAACTCTTTCGAAAAAAGAAGATTCAGGTAATATATTTATGCTGACAGATGAGGCTACCGTGTACCGACAAGCTTATTGCTGCAATCTGATGATCACTTTTCATGAAAAGCGCAAATGGTGCACTAATGGTTCTCAAAAAACCTACGTCTTTTTGATGCCATTACACTACATACATGGAAAGTTGTACTAAAAGCTGTTTTGAACGCATGGGAAGTATATAGTCAACCTACTGGACGTTAGTTTTCAGATAAAAGCCCAACAACTAATAATCTTCTTCCAAAAGGGCGTATCGGAATATGTAATTGAATATATGGTATTTCATTAGAAAATCAACTTTGATGTGTGGATCAAAATTAGGACACTTGATTGTGAGCATTCTGTCCGCAGATAACATGAATAATGACCCGCCAATAGTTTTTTTGTGAAGTTTCTGCTTACAAGCAATATTCTCTCCCATTTGTGTCACTTAGTCTAATCATATTAGACGAAAATACCACTGGTTCGCGAAATAATTGTAAAGTCTGGTTTTATTGCTGCAAGTTGTTCAAGAGGGTATTTAAAACAGGAACGCATAAAATGGGAACACCAATTTTTGAGCGAAAACTTTTTATTCGACAACAAAGAATGAGAAAATATGTTTTTTGTGAATCAATCGAAAGTCTTGGTAGAAACAAAAAACCTCCTTATACAAGATTTTCAGGTATTTATGAGACCTACAAAATGAGACCACATGTAAAAAGATCCGACTAGTAGCAAAAAAGTTATGGTCGAAAACCGAGGCAAACTGCAGGTTTTGGCACTTGTTGGTAATACGACGATGGTTTCTCGCAGATACTTGAAATTTTTTAAATTCGTAGGATTTGTACTTATAAATAACCACGGCAAAATTCTAGTAGACTGGTCAAATAGTTTTTGAGAATTTCTAATTGTTTATCAAAAAACCCCTGTTTTCCGGCCATCACCACTAGTGTATTGAGCAACATGCAGGGTTAGTTCAAAGGGCATTTTATAGCAAAATACACTAGTTTACCTTGCCGATATGAATCGCAAACCATTCTGAAGGATAGATGTTATTTTTATGTACAAAAATATGGGTTACGTTTTTTCTTCTATACAAATTCAAACATTTCGTTTTTGTGAGTAATTCGCATCAAAGGATGATATATACATATATATATATATTATATATATCTCCGCTTTGTTTTGAAATGTATATAGGTATGTTTTTCGAATATCGTAGCGCATTTGTTCAATTACTCACAAATACGAAATGTTTGAATTTGTTTAGAAGGGAAAAAACGTAACCTTTTTTTCGCAAAAATAACGTTTATCTTTCGGAATGGTTTCTGATTTATATCGGCAAGGTAAACACGTGTATTTTGTTATAAAATGCTCTTTGAACGAACCTTGTATATTGTTCAATAAACTAGTAGTGATGGCCGGAAAACTGGAATTTGGGATAAGCAATTAAAAATTCTCCAATTTTGTTGTTGTTATTTAGAATTATGAATCCTAAGGATTTGAAGAATTTCAAACAGTAGCGTGAAATTGTCGTCGCATTACCAACAAATGCTGAAACCTGCATTTTGACTCGTTTTTCGGTCATAACATTTTTGCTATTAGTAGGATCTTTTTACGTGTGGTCTCATTTTGTAGGTCTCATAAATATCTAAAAATATTATATAAAGTTTTTCCGTTCCTACGAACACTTTCGATTGAATCCCAAAAAACATGTTTTCTCATAAGGATGAGAGCAAAGGTGCTGTCAAATAAAAAGTTTTTGCACAAAAATTGGTATACCCATTTTATCCGTCCATGTTTTGAATACACCCTTGAACAACTTGCATCAATAAAACCTGACTTTACAATCATTTCGGGGAAATTTGTTAATATGTTTAGACTAACATTATATTCCATGAACGAGAGAATCAGCAATTTGAAACCCGTTGATCTGCCCCTGTTTATGAAAAATTATTTGGAGAATTATTTTGGGAGAAAAATAACAAAGTTTAATTACGTAGAACCTGTGATGGAAGAAAAATGTGACGTGACACTTGGAGATTATGACGAGGCGGATGAGTCCACTAAATTATTAGATTCAAAACAGAAGCCTAACGTATACTGCGAAGAAAAAAAGTCGGGGAAGGTAGAAAAAGCAGTTTATAAGAAATATATAAAACTTGGTGGAGGATATTTTCTTGGCGTATTTATTATTTTATTTTTCATCGTAACGCACACATGTAAAAGCTACTCGGAGAAGATGGTAAGCAACTGGTAATTGATGAACATTCTGAGAATGGTTCATGGGCCGACGCTAGGAATTTTGCTGCATGAGCTAAAACATAAAAAAATCTGACTTATGGGTGAGAATATGTAGGTACAAATACCTCGAATTATATTACTGAGTTTCGCGCGGTATCCAATTTCGTTGTATGTCAATATTCGGTCATACTTGTGCTCATAGCAATCTTTGATGGAGACGTTTTGTTCTACCGGAATTGAAAAAAAATAAACAATGGAACTATCTTATTTATGAAATTCATCCCAGTACATCAAAGTTCAACAAGTCAACTGTCAGGATTATGGGCATCTGTTACATTATGAGTTGTTTTATTTCTTTTAATAATATTTATTGATCTGAATTTAACGTTTTTGCTTGGGGCCGAGGAAACATTTCGAAAATGTCATATTATGTTTTATGGACGATTCATGGTGATCACGAAAAACCATGGCACTCATTTCCGCCGATCTGTCCGCTAATCCTGTCTTGGAAAGTACTGCTCGGATTTTGATGAAATATTGGCATCAGCTTACCCTTCGGACAAAAAGACGAAAAATATAAAATCACCCATACTTTGTTTTTTGGCTCCTACACATTTTTTAAAACCGCTTTGAGGGTGGGAGTTTGAAAGTAATATAGGAAAGTATGTCTCAATTATTGGCGTTAATATATTTATTCGCTTTCAACCCCGGTAATCATAGGATAGCCATTAGACACATGCCATCCAGACATTTCCTCGTATATTTGCACTTAAGGTTTAAGAACCAAAATAGGTTCCATATCCATGTCCAACGAAAATAGAAGATAAACTTGTAACACGATAGCCGTTAAGATGGCCGGTTTACCTCTCGCAATTGCGATCAGCTAGATCGCAACTTTGTCAAATGGGTTGAGAAGTGCGGCTTGATTGTATGAATCTATTTGTCTCGACGTATTCAATTTATGTCTTATACAAGCATCGAATATAATATTCTATGAACTGATGACATTGTTCCATGGAAAGTGCAGAATTAATCAACTTCACGCCAGTTTTTTAAGCTCAGAGCAGTTCCATCCTATCGCCGGCCTATAAGGATATCTGATAACTATTACTATGTTTCTAGGGTAAATTTGGAAGAAAACATTTCGCTTTACAAACATGAGAACATCAAAATATCAGATGATCTAATGACACGCTACAATTTTACTTTGATACTCTATTCTTGTTTGATCCTGGGTACAGTGGTAAGTGTATCGATTTTGGAATTATTAACGTAAGTTCTTGAATACTTGATGAATTTCTTGTGTTACTTATACTTGGCAGCGATGTTTATTTCTGCTCCCGCTAGGCGGCGGAAGTGTGGTTTTAGGTCTAACTAGTCAGATGCGAAAAAGACAGCTTTGATATAAAGTTAACCTATTTTCATGGTACTTCGTCTCGTTTTGATGTCTCTTGACGTGAAAGGCTTATCAACGATTTACATCTTTGTCTGTTTATACCTTTAGACATGACCGCCAGCCTAACTAACGTATGTCCTAAAAGTCCGGGACAACATATTTATCGGATTTTTAATTTGGATCAAAAAATTCATTCAAACACTAACTAGTTATCATAAATTATAACTCAATACCTAACTAAACTATACTATCGAATTATGTGGAGTGGCCCATTCTGCTCTTCCAGACGCAACTTTCCTCGAACGTCTTTCATGAGGTCCTACCCAACTAACAATTATCACTCCTATTAGAGTTGCAAGAATGATTATACAGTATTCCTTACACAGCATTGTATACTGTAAGAACATTGGCAAAACCCTCTTAGAGCAGCTATACAACCGGAATGGGCACACCTAATAGGACACTTCAGTCATTTAAGAGGTTGTATAAGGGCTGCAGGTAACAGTTATACAACAAAAGTGTAAGCCTCTTGCAGCCGCTATACGACATTTGCGTCAGTGCAAGATTCAGTTTTTGTCAACTATGCAACTATTCTCTTACGTGATTCTACTTTATTGCAACCAAACTATTTCTTATGTATTGTATAGACGAAGTGAAGAATATATAACTAACACATTACAGTCATCTTGTTTACTTACATATCGGCCATTGTGAATTTCATCCACAGGTATATGATAACTTCTACACTGTGATATAGGGCTATTGAATTACTTGCGCAGCAAATTTTATTGTGATTATCGTGCAAAGTAGTTACGCAATTTCTACGGGCTTCATATTTGATTCATTTTGATAATGATCAAAAGTATGTCTAGATTTTTATGATGGAAAACTGAACTTATCTACGTTAAATCTTCCACAAATCTATATT